AACTATTAGTTAATAAGGCACTTAAAAGATAAAAAGTAATAAGCCTACTATAAGTATAAAAAGTAGTATCTAACAGACTCTTTACCTAAAGCCTTTAACTACTTTATAACTAACTTTAAGGGATATAAGCTATTTACTTTAGATAAGGAAGATAACTATATAAAAAGTAATAAAGATAAAAAATTAGGCACTACGTTTTATATATTAATAACGTTCTTTAACTTATTTACTATTAATAGGCCTACTTTCTTTTTATTACTACGTAACTAATCTATAACCTATTTTCTTATAAAGGATAACTCCTTATATAAAAATCTATATAATAATAAGCTACCTAATATAGACGTCTTTACCCTTAATAAGTAATATTTATCTATCTTATTCTATAGTATTATACCTAACTCTAGCGCAGCTAAATATTTAATAGCTAGATATAAGCAGTATCTTACCCTTTACTACTAAATAAAAGAAAATCTAGCTATAAATAAGTTACAGATAGGTAAAGTAAAAATCCGCTTTAGTAGTAGTAACTACTTTAAATTATAAGAGGTAATTAACGTACTAACCCCCTTTAGTATGCTAACCTTCTATATAATACTATTAAACACCTTATTTCTACTTTACCTTATAGATATAGATTAGTATAGTATTAAATTTAATAACCTTACTAATAAGCTAATCTAAAGTAATACTATTATACCTACTATCTATAAATAGGGCTATATATAAATACTACTTAATTAACGTAAGTAAAGCATTACCTACTACTATCTTATAGATATTAAGTTATAGTAAATTTATTATTACTTTAGCTACTTATTAGTTAAAAGGCTTTATTACGTCCTCTAATAATCTAGTAATAAAGTTAAGATTATAGCCTTAAAGAAATTAACTAAGGTCTACTACTACTACTAGATAAATATAAAGGCGCCTAGTTACTTTAAATTTACTTTACGTAATAATAAATATAACTTTAACTATAAGATTATTATTAATATTATCTACCTTAATAGTAACTACTTAGCCTTATATATAGTTAATACTATAATATCCTTTTAAGCAGCCTATTTACTTAAAAACATTACTATAAAGTATATATAGAAGGCACTTTAGATATACTAAATTAACGTCTACCTTAGCCTACCTAACTAAATTATTACTAATACTAGCCTAAACTTTTATACTAGTAAATTTAAGTAGTTAGTAAGGTCGCTTTATATTAATATTAAAGAAATACTAATTAAAGCCTATAATAGTATTAGTAAGGTTAAAAGATACTATATACCCCTCTAACGTATATATAACATCCTCTATAGTAAAGGCTATACACCTAAGGTTACCCTTTAGCTAGCTGTTAAAGTAATTAATAATATAACTAGCCTAAATAGCCTAGTACCTACACTACTAGTCTTTAGCGCCTACCTATAAATCTCTAACTTATTACTACTTTTACTAACCTTACTTAAAAAGGCTAAAGTAGTAAGAAAAGTAATAGAGGCTATTTACTAGATTTATATAAAAAGGTAAGTTAATAAGGCAGTAACTATATATAACAGCCTAGATACTACTATAATAGTAGCCTTTTTACTTTAATCTATAGTCTGTATCTAGCGTAAGAAAAAGGGCTAGTAAGGCCTTTTTTACCTTATTACTAGTAATAAGACTACTTATACTATTAACCTCCCTTAAGGCCTATAAACTTTTTATTTAACTATTATTAAACTATACCTTAAAGATACCTATAATAAGTAATAATAGCTACTCTCTAAGGTAGGTAGGTAGGGTAATAAGGAGAATAATAATAATAGTATAGTAGCCTTATTACCTGCTAATATCCTTATACTTACTAAAGAAATATATAATAGTATTATTATTACTATACACCTATAGCTAAAGTAAAAAGCTAGCTACCTATAAAGGTATATTAATTTCTTTAATAAAACTAGCTTTACTATTAGGCCTACTACCTTCTTTACTACTATAAGTATAGTATATATCTTAATAAAAAAAGAAGCTAACTAACTATTATTAATTAAACTATAAAAAAAAAGTATTATTACTACCTTAAGGAAGCCCTTTAAGTAAGTAACTACTACTAAGATTAAAAGGCTTATTACCTATAAGGTATTTTACTTTATTTAATATAATAAGAATAAGTACGCTAGAGTATAAATATTTAAATTATAGATTATTAATAAGGTAAAAGGCTAGAATAAAAAACTATATAAGAAATCCTACCTAGTTATCTAAAGATATACTAATAATAGTAAAAAAGTAATTCTTACCTAGTTACTTATAATCTAGTAAGCTAGCTAGCGCCTTATTCTTACTTTTACCTTATCTTTTATTTATAATAATAATAATTTCTTACTTTAGTTATATAATATTACCTAGGCGTATATATAGTTAACTACCTTATTAAATTATATAATTCTTATACGCCTTTTATTATAGATATAAGACCTTTATCTAAAGGGCACTATTATATAAGTAGTAAAGCTATTATATAGTATTATAAAGGCAGGCACTTACTAGTAGGTAATATATAGTTACTACTATAGAGAAAAGCTCTAAATAAAGACTTTAACTTTTAATCTATACCTACTAATTACTAATATAAAAAGCCTAGACTTTAGGATTATTAGTATATAGACTAATAATACTATTACCTTTTTAGATAAATCCTTCTCTACCTATAAGGCTAACAAGCTTACTAAGGCTATATTTACTACTAAGGAGAAGTAAATCCTTACTATTAATAACCTGCTTACCTTTAACAGCAGTATAGTATCTCTAACTACTAAGGGGAAGCTCCTTCTCTAATAAAAAGGCTAAGGCAAGAGACTTTAACTTATTAATAAAGAATCTCTATAAGCACTTAAGTAGTACGTTAAGTAACAGGCCTATAGTATATATATTATGTTAGTCTACTAGCCTAAAGCGTGCTTTAACTACTTTATTATAATATAATACTAATTACCTAACGTAAATAAGATTAAGGCACTTAACTATTATATTATATAGTAAATAAATAACCTTAACTATAGTCTATTATTTTATCTACTTAACCTTAAATCTATAAAGCTTTTTATTTTTATAAATAGATTATTTATAAATAATAAGGACTTTACTTTATAGCTAGGATTTATTATTATTCTTACTAATAAGGCACCTATAAGTACTACTATAGGTAATAGATTTACTATAACTAGTAATATTATTTACTTTAGCTTAATAAAGTATAAGTAAGTTACTTAAAGTATACTAGCCTTTAAGATTTATAGTATAGTTACTAGCGCTAATATTACCTATATACTTAGTATAACTATTATAATAATTACTAACTACCTTAAGCTACTATATATACTAATAATCCTTTATACTAACTTATACTTACTTTATAAGTACCTTATTAAGCTTAAGACTATAAAAAAAAAAAAGCTTATAATTAATATTATAGCCCTCTAGTAGTTATATAAGTAATATAAAGTCTATAAGGTATAATAAATATAAGGTAATAATAATCCTACTAATAGATTTACTAAATTATTACCTAATAAGGTGCTAGAATAACTAGTTAGAAATAGGATAGTTTAGATTAGTATAAAGGGATAGGTTTCTTAAGCTATATAATAGATTATATAGACAAAAAGTATTAAATACTTTTAGGCTTTTAATTTTTATTACGTTTTTAAGCTTTTTAGCTACTAGGTAGTATCTAGGCTATTTATAGCGATTTTCTTTTACTTTAGAAAGTTACTAGTGTTAAGATATTTAACTATTTAATAGTAGAGCTAATCTATAGTTATGTGATTTACTATCACGTGACTTACCCTAGCGGCTCACTTACACCACTACAAATACCCACGGCAGCAACCTCTTCTCTTTTCCTTTATTATCATCTTCACCCAGCTACTAATAGTCAATTAATACTATTGCGGCTACCTTGATTGCGATCCCTGTGATACTAACACTATTATATAATGAACCAATATACTAAGTACAAGCTCCAACAGGATATTGTGGATATATCTTCTAGGCAGAGTACTCGCTATGCTGCTCGTAAATGGGGCATCCTAGAGCCTAGTTTACGACTTCGACTTCGAGACGCCCGGCCTAGAAATAACAGTTGCTCATAGGAGTATATAACATATAATATACTATAACTATTTCTTAGTTAATAGTCTAATATATACTGTTAATATATACTAGTTAATACTACTAGGTAAATGATTAGTATATCTACACTAAATTTCCCTACCTAAGTAAGGGAAACTCAATGATAATTCAAATTTACCCAAGGTAACACACATCTAAGGGGCAAGGCAGTGGCTTAGATACATACAGCATCATCAATCAATTAAGCAAAGATCATCGCCGTATATACGTACTTCAACTCAAGGCCTCAGTTACCTCCCTAACCAGACTGGCCAGGCGTACGTTTACTGGTGGCTCTGACTACTGCGCCAACAAGAGGCTTTACAACGGGGCTGTCTGAGATGGGACGGTGTACAATCCCTACTTCATGTGAGCGCATCAATTCGCTTCGGGGTTCCCTTGTTGTCCAAATTGCTAGGATACTTAGTCTTTAGGTATATTCTCCCTAAGTATTGCGACAAGTTGGGAAAACGGCATGGTGCTAGCTACAATTAGGCCATTTAGTGACGTGTAAAGTCAAGTACATATCTCGTTCCTTTACAGTCAAATGTTCTGTTCATGGATTTACTGGCTGATGCCCATAAATTTCAGTGCAAGGCCCAAAGAGCCAGATAGAGAGGAGGAATAGGCATAACGCATGCAGTTGTTTCTGTCAAAAAAACAGGCAGCGTGCAATCCGCTGCTTTTGTCTGCCACGCTATCGACGGTCCTGATACCTATCTTGTTACTTTTCCAAGATAACTCCCTCGGTGCGTTCTTCGATCCAAGAGATTTCTAAAAGGAGAAAATCCGAAAATCCGCACGAGTGCTCATTTTTGTAATAATAAGCGTTCTAAATTCTATCAACGCAGGATCTCCATCGCAACCTCCAAGTCCTGGATCTCCTTCTTCAGTCTCTCCCTCTGCTCCCTCGTCCGACGTGACTCCCCTGCCAAAACAAGCAGCTTCTCTGGATCCAGGCAGAGAACCCATTGCTCCGAGAACAGCCGAAGGGGGCTCTCAGGGCCAGAAAGCAACTTGTAGTTAACCGCCTGGCTGAAGACATTGTCGACGAAGCGCTTGTAAGCTACCTTGTAGTAAGCCTCGAGCGTGTCGTGGATGGTCTCTATGGCGTGTGATGTGTTGCTCTTGCTCGTGACTGCGTCTGCAACATCACTCAGATCGACGACAAGGCTGGAAGGGCTTTTATAACCCTGTTCTGTTCGAGCATTGGGCCGCAGTGTTTCCATGATCCGAGAGCCAAAGCTCTTTTGTTGGTTGTGGTTGAAGTAATGGTTCAGCGTGTACGGCTTCAGCTGCCGCTCGACGTTGCCCAGCAAGGTTGCCTGATCCATGCTACCCTCGTATCTAGCGCAGAGTTCGTCTAATATGGTAGACGAGACGTTCTGAAACACCTGAGTGTCTGCACAAACGATCTCTAGTGCCGCCAGGATGAAGTGATGAACAAGGAGGATAATCTTGCTAAGGTATTGCTTCGCGATCTTCTCCCACTTCGCTGATTGCTCCCGAAAAACACTTGGAAGAATGCCTTGGCCGAAAGATCCCAGGTCAAGGCCACGAGATTGGCGATGAACAGCCGCAATCCACTCCATGATGCCCTGTTTCGGAAGTTCAATAGACCAATCTGTGGTGATGATGCTATCCAAGTCAGGAAATGCCCCAGGTGTAGGAATGTCAAATGCATCAAATTGAATAATGCTGGTGTCGTCTTCTTCATCTTCCTTCTCGCTCGGATCGTCGCCGAAGCGAAGGCTTCCAGGGAAAGTGATCGGACCACCAACCACTTTCACTGGAACCATGGACTCAACCTGCATCTCTGATTCGAAGAGGTACATGCGAGCAAATTTGTCGAAATCTGTGTTGAATTGCTCTGTTGTGTTGACGACAGCTGTGATAAGCCGTAACGCGTTCCTGTCGAATGCCGGATGTGCCGAATAATCAGCATTTACCGCGGCACGAACCAGAGACTGAAAGCTGCTTGAAATGCCAACGAGGTACTGTCGTTGCTCACGTTCTGTTTGGCGAGGCACGCCGAGATCCTTGAGCTTCTTCTCGGCATTTGCCAGTTTCTGTCGCGTCTCGCTACGGAGCTCAGGGAACGCACGATCAGTGATCTCGCCAAGTAGTTCCTCTAATCGTTCCCTTAGAGAAGATATACCGATCCGATCTTTCGGAAGGCTGTCCCAGGGACGTTCTTGGAATATGGCCTCGCGCTCTTGGAGAGCAGCGAAGGTATCCTCTTCACCGTGGTCGTCGCCCCCACGGTTTGTAATCACATGGTAACCAAGCTTCAGGGGCTTTCGTTTGCCTTCGGCCAAGTTCACCACGGCAAGTCTGGCAGTTTGTTCCGTCACCAGATCGGCCTTGGTCAGGATTCCGAGTGTTCGGTCACCGGCCGGATCCACCTCTTCTGCAAGAGTCAGGATCTCCTGGGTGGCGACATCAACATTGCTGGGCAGGACGGCGAGAACGATGGTTCGACTGTCCTTGATATACCTCTTGACCATATCCTTGACAAGTTCTTTATCCTTGTTAGTGGTGACACCCTCGGTTGTGGTGCGGAAGATGCCAGGTACGTCGATAATAGTAAGGTAATCTTCGTTTGGGCCGCATTTCTCGATTTTCAGTATGTCCTCAGAAAATGTATTTTCTCCAGCTGGGTTAGAAATGGTTTTAATGCCCATGAGAGCATTAGCCTGGATTGGCAATTAGATAAAGGTTTTATTCTATTCAGGTCGATAACTTTACCTGTTCCAGGATGCTAGGAAACTCCCTGCGAAGCTGTGCAGTTGTCTGCACCTGCCTGCGGTACAACTCAAGCTTCCTTCTGTGATCTTTTGACGCATTTGGTCCAGGAATTATGGCGATATCAATCCGTTGTTGTGTCTCGCGGCGATGTGTGATCTGGGTAGCATATCGGGTGCAAAGTTCCTGGCCGCGAGGGAAGGGGATTCCCGTCAGGCTCTCCAGTAACGACGACTTCCCCGAACTTTGATCACCCACGGCTACGAGCTGTGGCAGAGGCAGATAGGCTCCAATGTTCCTTTCACGGAGTTGATCGATCTTCCGGAGCCGATCCGGGCTCGTGAGGGGAGAGTGCTTGTCATTGGGCTCAGGAGACATTGTAACGGAACGAACGATATAACACAAGAGATTTTTGGACGAACGAAGCACGAAGTAAAGGAGGACTAAGTGAGGGAAGAGACCGGATTTATCTCTCTGAAGTGAGAGCTGGTGCCTGCTCTGGAGGCATCCGCAGTATGGCCTTCCGCAGCAACGCAACGGTTGGAGGCTGTTGGGAGGATGGGCACGGATGCAGGGCGCGCCAACGGACAGGGTCACTGCCGAGCCTTTGCGGCGGTATGCAGGAGGCCGTCCAAGTCGGACAGGCATAACAGGTACAATCCGCTTCCTGGCCTCGTGCCTTGATAGGATAAGTAATGAGGCGAGCAGGCTGCTCATGTAACTATGTAATGTACATCGACGTGGCACTGATCCAGTCGCAATGGCGGACCCGCTAAGCTAGAGCTGCGTTCACCGGCTGTAAGTCCACGGCTTACAGGTCATGTTAGGTAGTAAGGGTGAATGTAGCTTGTGAGTGAATGGCTTGTTGAGCCAACCGATGCCTGTTAAGTTTGATAGACACGTCTGCGCAAAGAAACTCGCCAGGCCGCTGCGCCTCGGCTTTATAACTATAACCGGGGTGGTTGCGTCTGGCAAGCGCTTAGAAACGTGCAGCCGATTTTAACTTGGCCCGACCAACAGTTATCAGTGGCAAATCAGCCTGAGTATCTTTATCAGTACCCCTCGCCAAGAAGCGGCTAGGCGCCGGAGGCGTCCAACACAAGCTCAGGAATACAGTCAAATTTGCTTGGTAATTTCTATACACAAAGCCTTGTCCTCTCTCAAGCCAGTGCTACACGTCCTGTTAGAACGCAAACTCGTAGCGCCTGAGTGCCTTGAGAGCTCGCTCGTTGCTAGAGACACAGTTCTCAGCAATCCAGCTTACGCAACAAGTTGGTTCCTCAGGTGGGTTAAAGGAGTCCTAGACAGGCAGTTTTTACTACCTACCCTAGCGTCTAATCTACGCCTCTGATTCTAGGAAAGGGTGCTAAATAGTCACCCATAAGAGAAAACGTTATTTTAGTATAACTAGAGATGTTTATATGAACCTTGAACTACACCTAGCTAGACAGATAATAGGTTGGAAGGTCGCCTGCAACAAGCCAGTTCTCTCAATCTACGTAAAACATGAGGCATGGCCAAGAGCCCCTCAAAATCTCCCCAACTAATTACCGACTCCTTTGCCGATGTTCTGGTGTCATCCCCGCTCCGGAGGCAGGATAATCCGCCAAACTTCCTAACCTGGCTGGCTTGAATCCCTGATCATACACTATAGCCGCTACTTAATTTGCAATCTCGACGGTTAAAATGTTAGACCACCTATTACATGCGAGGCTCTTGGGGCTACTCATACCTGAAAGAAAACATGGCCGCGCCAGAGCACGGAGGACCAATGAAATGCTCAAGAAATCTTCTGGCAAAAAGCACTCGAGCCGACTCCATGCATTTAGGCTGGGGCGGCACGGCGGGCAAGGCTCCATTGATAACTTCTTTAAACCACGTCCCGTTCCAAGGACCTTTCTGTATATAAAAGAGCTCCTTCGTGATCTAGGGAATCCAGCGAAGAGATTCAACACACCGCCGCTCTTCAACATCAACTTCATCTTCAGCATCAGCATCAGCACCGACATCAACACAGGTTCCGGGCATTGAAATCCGCTGGCCAATATGCGTCTCTCCAGTCTGTTCCTTACCGTCCTCCTCTCCCAGGGCGAGGCAGCCCTGCAGCGAGTCACGAACTTCGGCTCCAACCCAACCGGCCTGACCATGGATATCTCTGTCCCTGCGAATCTGGTCGCCTCTCCTGCCATCATCCTTGCCCTCCACCCCTGTGGTGGCTCTGGCCCAGGCTACGCCAACCAAGCCAACTACATCACACCCTCTGACTCAAAGCGTACCTTTGTTGTCATCTACCCGTCTTCAACTAAAGACTTCAATTGCTGGGACGTTGCCAGCTCAGCCACCCTTAGACATGACGGCGGTGGTGACTCCACTGGTCTGGCTAATATGGTCCGCTACGCGATTACACGATACAATGCCAACCCCCAACGCGTTTTTGTAACGGGTAGCTCATCAGGCTGCATGATGACCAACGTACTTTCTGCTACATACCCTGATATGTTTGCAGCAGCAACGTGTTATTCAGGTGTTGCAGCAGGATGCTTGGCAGGGTCACCGGGCTCAAGCCCTATTAGCGCTGATCCGAGGTGCGCCAATGGTCAAATCAACAAGTCTGGTGCGCAATGGGCTGCGCAGGTGCGTGACATGTACCCTGGTTACTCTGGGAGTTACCCGCGGTTCCAGACGTACCATGGCACAGCAGATTCACTCGTTAGGTACCCCAACCTTGCCGAGCAGCTCAAAGAGTGGTCTGCTATCCATGGTGTGAGCTTCACCAGGAACAACACACTTGCGGCCGGCTACACGCAGATGATCTACGGCGACGGTACTAAACTTGTGGGCATCTCTGCGCAAGGGGTTGGGCATACTGTACCCGTCCAGAGGGACGAAGACCTGAAGTGGTTTGGCTTGTAGGAATCACATTATGATTAGTTATCTATATCTAAGTTGATTAGGTTGTTATTTATATCACAAACCTGGCTGAAATGAAGATCTGCCTGGATACGCAGTCGTTGCAGGCTATACGTCGGCGTGGGCGTCATTTGCCTGTCCTTGTCCTAGCCACAAAGCTTAACTTCTTCAACCCAGTAGCCAGCGTGCCAGCCACAACCTGGCTGGTCTCGTTTAAGCACATCCAGGAACAACCCAGTAGCAGCAAGGCACCTCAGTTTCATTTGTTACCCCACAGGAAAGGATATCCCATGAGCGCTTTTACTCCTTGAAAAGGAGGGGAAAATACAGATGACGGAATGAACACCGATAAGGTGGTTAGAATGCCGATAGCCAAGGGAAGTACCTACGAGGCAGAGCAGATGCGTTGGCAGGCATTAGAGATGATGGAGAACGTGCCAGGAGCACATCATCCTTTCGCGCTTAGGAAGAAAAATAACCTTGACGGTATTTTAGAGCATCGGTAGACAACTATAGCTTTGTGATCGTACTATGTACCTAGTTCAAGGCGCAAGCCAAACTAATTACAGTAACGTACAGAAGTCCCAAATCTAAGCTTTCAAATTACACTAGAAGACATAGAGCTATTGAGCACCTTATGACCTAGACTCAAACGTCCTGTTCGTGAAATTACTGGCTGATGCCCATAAGTTTCTGTGCGGTCATCTCGGATAGCCAACCCTTCCAAGCGCTTGCAGACTCGCGATCTTGTCTCTATAGGTATTCTTGAAAGTTTGATTCACAGCGGTGGGCCTGACGGATGTTTGATGCCGCCTGGTGTCGAGAGAAGTCCTTGCTTAGAGCACAGCCTCACTCCATGTACTCTGAAAATTATATACAAACTGGCCATCTTACGGGTATAAATATTACTTGTCTACATCAAATAAATGCACGACTGATGGTGCAAAGGTGGCGTTGCCGTTGACATTCCCGCCGTATTGTAAATAGCCAGCCGCGTCGACGGCAGGAATGCCCGTAATGTCTTGGTAATCTCCCATAACCCAGACAGTCTGCATGCCCATTATCATGTGCTGTAGAATGTGGCAATGGATCTAGATGATCATCAGCTCGTGTCTCTTCTCGGTTGACCTGACACCAAACTTACCATCCACACACCGGCATCTTTCACGCGCAGACGCCAACCTCTCCAGCCGGAAAGGTCACCCGATGTGGTTTTCTCTGCGTATCTGTATAGATTTGTTGTGTCTCTCTTGATGGGGTTGTAGTTCTTGAGCTTTTCCTCATTTTCGTCGCTGTCGTAGGTCCCATTTCCACTGCCAATATCCCAGTAATGCCCGCCGTGAGCATGGAGAGGGTGAAAGTCGAGACCCCCGTTTCCGTCGACCAAGGATCCCGTGTTGTGCCAAATGATTTCAAGAACCTTTCTACAAGTCAGCTATCGGAATTTCACGTGACAAATGTATTTAACCCCGTCCACTCACCTCACCCATCTTTGCTGGCCAGGTCAAAGTTGCGGGATCCCAGCCGTTGTTTTCGATGGCGGCAGTGTAGTTGGGAATTGCGGATGGCCCATTTTCGTAGATGTTTACCAAGTATGGCTTATCGCCTGGGTATGGTGAGGAAGTTTCGTTCCATTCTAGTCCGTTGAGCTGCCATCGGATACTTTGCGTTGAAAGTTGGCGGCTATCGATGTGTATGCGGCGTGTCACTTCGCTAGCTAAGGGGAAGTCGTCCGCTTCCATGGGTTCGAAGGCGTACTCCGCCCACTCGTAGGTTTTGTTAGAGAATGTCAACGGAGGTACATCGGGTGCTGTGCTGATCTGCGGTGGAGCTCCAGAGTACCGAAGGACGCCGTAACCATGGTAAACCTGTGGTCGTTCTTTGGTTTCCAACTGAATGAGATAGTCGGTTGTTCCTTGGAGTTCTTCTTCGGTTTTGGCCTGCAGTATAACGTCAAACCGTTGGCCAGTACTCAACTGCATGAACTTCTCGGTGTGTGGCTTGGTGTAGGAGCCGTCGACTTCTATGATCGTGAGGTTGTCGTGACCCATAATGCCCATCTGCACCATTGAAAGGGCTGTGGCACCGATAAAGCGCAGTCGGTATGTCTTTCCAGGCTCGACATCGATTACCGGCAACGCACAATCCCCTTGCCCAGCTGTCTCTCCAATGGCCACGCCGACACCGTTGATGAGGACGGCATTGGTTTCGCCTGACCAGGTGAAAGGTGATCCCATCAAGCCTGCCTCGATATCGGAGTCAGTTTTGTTGAAATAGTCCGTGAGATATACGATGCGTTCTTCGTCGTACGCATAAGGGGGTTCTTCTTCATCCTCGATGATCAATGGTCCAGACATCGTCGCCGCTTGGAATCCTACGTGCGAGTGGTAGAAATAGGTTCCGGACTCCGACTTCAGTGGAAAGATCTCATAATCGAAGAAGTGATTGGGAGGTATGGGCCATTGAGCCGCTGTCGGACTGCCGTCAGAGAAAGGTGACATGCGCATACTCAATCCATGCCAGTGCATAGTGGTGTTGAATTCCTCCATGTCGTTGTAGACTCTGATCCAACTCCTCTCCTCAGGTCTCAACCTCAGCGCTGGTCCGACCAAGCTACCATTAACGAGCACGGACTGGCGCGTCTGGCAGCCGACTGAGACATTTTCGTAGGTCAGTCGCAATACATGGTCTGGTACGAAGCTGGAATCATGCGTATGTAGGCCGCCGTAGTGACCCGGTGGGCCATAGGACGACCGTCGCGGCCCCCACGCATAGGCCTGTGATAGTAGCGCCAGAAGCCAAGAAAACAAAACGAACGAATGCATGGTGCTTTGAGACAACCCGGAAGAATCAGGATGGGGTGGGAGGAAACATAATTCAAACGTTAAAGGACGGAGGTTGTTTCTTTACATAGTCAGCGCAGATGCTCACAAACCGTTGCACGACGCTCTTGTCTCAGACATAGGATCCGCCTACTATGGCCGTGAGTCAATCCAAGGCGAGTTGCATTCCGGAGGCCATCGTTTGCCCCTCTTCTTAATTACAATCGGCAAAGCCAACTGTCGCTGAAATGTTCCTCGTTGCCGACGGCGCCGGTGCTGCCGCTACGTGTCGGCATTACATACGACGCGTTACTGTGCTGGTTTAGGCTACGGCAAACCAAACTTCCAAACCCCAATCGGGATTCTTGACTCGGGCGCAAGGACAAGGAAGGTATTGTTGGTGCTGGTCACCGGTCAGTAGTAGCGAAAATATGCTTTCAATGATCCCTGTGTTTATTCGAATGCTAGTTTAGCTAATCCTGTTTTCCTTGCATGATCGGCCTCCCTGCAAAGCCTTTCCAAGCCCACCAACTGTACATAGTAAGATCGCTGCGGAGACTAGGATTTCTAAACACCACTTCCATTGGTCACGTCGTGCCCGGTATTCCCGAATGTTTTGACGGTCAACCAACTCCCTGAAACTTGCGGGCGTTCTATAGATGGCTAAAGAATCATATTATATTGAGTTCACGGTCTGACCGTCACTAATTTTACGATACCCAGCTGAACCCGTCGAGTTGGACTGCACTGCCTGGGCCGAGCTTCGTTTGAGGTCTCGAGAAAAAGGGGCGGCCGAAGCCTATTTGGCAGCAGACGGCTTTCTCTCATCACTTCCGGCTCTCGGCGGAGGGCAGTCAATGTATTGGTGCTCGACGTCTCTGGATAGCGGCACACTCTTGTTCCTGATTGTATTTCCACGACTGGCTCTTGGACATCATGACTCATGGAAGGTGGGGGTTTCAATTGGAAAGCCAGGGGTCATTAGCAACCGCAAGGTGCCGGTGCGACAACTGTAAGTCGTCTGAACTCAATCGGATGGAAACGTTCACGCGGCACTCGGTCTACCACTTTAATTTTGAAATTCGTGCACACCCTAACCACCCCTTGTTCTTGGATGTCTTTTTTCGTCGCAAGTTGTCGCGATATAGGTTGAAATAATAGTTATGATAATTGTGTATCTACTGTTATTCCCGTGTAGATTCCAATCATCTTGATTCTTCGCGCTGTAGAGATACCGGGGCCCAACTAGGGCCAGAGAGAAGGATCTTTGTTGCGATGTTGACCATCGCCTGGATATCGGCGGTATGGATTAACGCCGATAACGGCCGGAATAACTATGGCCGGTTCGCCGTGAAATCCCCCGGGGATTTCACGGTGATTTCCCCGTGGATCCACCGGACCCACGGGTATATTACGCGGTGAATTCACCGCGTAATCCCACGATAGTTTCCCTCTTTACGCATAATTCAGAACCGGTATTTACCCCTATTATACGTCATTGCCTATTGATACGTACGGTTAACCGTATCACCACCCTGGTGATAACCAACAATCTTGACTCCAAGAAAGTAGGTACAGGAGTAAGAGATCATGAAAGAAAACATCATCACAGAAATGGTCAAAGGGCGGTTCATCATCCCCTAAGTACCAATACTCCTTTAGATCCCGCTTCATGCGAGAACAAGACAAGCTTGAGCTTTTCTCCAGAATGATGATGCCAGAGCAAATTCAACACACAAACCCATACATTCATCCAAAATCTATTTGATGAATGTAGCAAATTGATTACACATCTGATGGCGCTCAACGGCTCACAATCGGCAGCAATTCATGACGAAAACACTGCCAGAGTCAGCTTAACAGTACTCGAACTGCCCCACGCTCCTAGGCTAAGTTTGGTTCTTTCAACAATTTGCAGTAAACAGATGCAGCCATGATATGGAAAGTTCGTAGCGTAAATTGCCTACACGTTATCAAATCCGGGAATTAGTGTCATTACTTTTCTTCGGTGCCTAATAAATCACTATCTGTAGGCAAAGGTGCCGATTGGTTTATTCCAGACTGACGGCAAGGGGTGGAATATAGCCTAGCGTTCTAGCAGAAACAGAACTTCAGTGCGGGCAGAAATACCTATGGAAAGCGTATTTGCCTGGTGTATACAGCAAGGCCGACCTCATGCTTTCGTAAGACAACAAGGGTTTCTGTTTCGGAACCTTCATTCTTTTCCAGTTGTTCTGAGTACCAGGCCTGGTTCCAATACTGTGATTTTTCCTTTTTTTCAAATTACGTTAGACTATCATGGTGTACCTATGTGGCCTTGAGAGGGACCAACTTGCAACTCTCTCTCATTAAGACAATTGGGTAAACGATCAGCGTAAATGGACAATTCGTCTAAATTCAACTCAAGCGGGTTTAAAGGTCTCACGCTCCCGATACTTGACATATCAAACTCTCTATAAGCCATGTCCATTGTCCATCTGATCTGGGAAGCGGCGTGAAGTAGTCGAATTGCTTGGGGCCCTACTTTGACACGTTCTGTCAGGTAGTTGTGCGAGTCTGACTTTGTAAGTCAGGGCTATATTCGCAAATTAACATGACCTTTGAACTCAAATGGTAACCAAACTATCCATATGCCGCAAAGAGAACAACGGAAGACACGTACTCATAAACTAACAAGCAGAGCATTTCGCCTTTTGTCAACATCGTCAGTTTTTCTACACCCCAAATGCAATATCTGTCTTGCATGGTTTAGAGCTCACAATACAAAACTGGTGCGAATAACTGAACTTGAGCGGATGTGGCTGCAATGAGGCACTGGCTTCCGGAAGATGTTTTGGCAAAGTTGTAAAGAGACAATTCTCTATTCTTAAGGTTTGTGTCGACACATGCGGAAGTGATCCGTCAGGTGAGCCGATGAACTCGTTCTTCGATTCCGCCTCCCCATTCGGTAGGTGTGGCACCCAGCCCTTTTTGCGCTCTAGGCCCGGCCCGGCCCGGAATCCACGTTCACGTCACCAACGTATTGCTGCAATTGAATTCAGCGTCTTCATATGTGACTCCCTGCTATAACTGACTTACTATCAGCGTTATATATTTCTCCTAGTCAGTCACTAAAGTCTATGGCAGAATCCAACAGTCGGTTTACACAGGCTTGTGAGCAAAACTCAAACGAAATAGGAAGGCGGCATTGCCAGCAGAACACCTGTGTGGCATCACATGCAGCCTTTTCATCGTAGCAGGTGTTGCCGAATTCCTCGATGTTACCTAACATCCAGAGAACTTGCGGTGTGAGGCATTCTGTTGGAAATGTAAATTGATACCTCGGCCGTCGCCATTCGCGTTTAACTGAAAGTTCCGAAGACAGGTGTCAGGCGCGGGGATAGTATCGAGTAAAGGAGTCAGCGTTAGGCGTAGTTAGGGTTCAATTGTGACGATTATTCCAATATGCCTCCTCTAACCCCTAAGTCCTATAGAGTTTTCCCCTTTTGTTGTTCCTTCGGTGACTAGTTTATCCGGTCCTGGCCCCACTCCGGTGCCCCCCCTGGGGCCCCGCTCCGGGCACCCGACAACAGGGATCACGTGAGGCACGTCATACTGCTAGACACAAGGGGTAAAATGTTCGGGTGAAAAAACAATCGCAATCATAGAATTCCCGTGTGCCGATAGGTTATCGCATCCACGTAACCCACGAACCGCGATTCACGAGCAATGTTGCAATGTTGTATGGAGAGGTAGCAGATAGTAATGGCGGACGGCGGTCTCATACTGCTTGCGCCCAACATCTTTTCAGCATAGTTGCTTGGACTGGACTTGGCACTGATTGGTAGTTAAGTGTACGTCGGCGCTAGCCCTCGCCCGTCGGGTCATCAAGCGAGATTTCCAAGCTCTTTTCCTCAAGCCGTAAGCATGTTTCCACTTCCGCAACTTCGCTGTCCCGCCATACAAGATGACAGAGCGAGTCGGAACAATGCGCTATCCGACACGAGGGATCGCTCCGCGCCCTAGGTGCGTATTACGCCGTGTAACCTCCAAGACGTGCCACCAAGCAGACTCCACTGGCCCACTGTAGCTATCATGGTCTAAACAAGACGTTTTACAGGTACCCACATCGGGTAGTGCCTCTCCTGCTTGCTTCATAAGCAGGGAGGGGGCATTACATGATACTAGTTGGATGTTGGGGCACTCTGCTACTTTAAGGGTCACCCATCTTCGCCTGGTATCAGTTGTTCCAGCTCGACAGCAAGTCTTCAGCGACATCTACGAATACGCCATGACGGCAACGACAGCCGAAAGGCCCACGAAGCATTCGCCCCTGCTTCTCGTTACGGCTTTCCCTGGCGAAGGGCATGTGAACCCTCTCCTTACTATCGCATCATACCTTGTCAAAAAGGATTATGAGGTTGTGTTCATTTCAACGCCGGACTTCCGGCACAGAGTCGAAGAAGCCGGCGCCGAGTGGGTCTGCACGGACAGCCCTTTCACCGAAGAACTTTTCCGGAGCCTAGCTGAGACGTTTTCCTTGCCTTCCGTGCCGGATCGTTTCGCCATTGAATACAAGAAAGTTTTCTTGAATACACTGCCCCCTCGGGCCCGGAAAACAGCCGAAGTTCTGGCCCTGTTGAAAGCAAGGGACCCCAACCGCCAGATCATTGTCATCGAGGATGCCCTCAACTGGTCCTTCTTGCCTCTCAAGTATGGAATGCCTTTGGCCCAGGGCTTAACGGAAATCCCGAGAAGCATAGGCATTGGCGTTGCCGCTTTCATCCTAGAGAGTCGGGACACTGGGCCCATTCCATACGGATTACCGCCCGATTCCACCCACTCAGGTCGCCTAAGGAACGCAATCCTTCAAGACTTGGCTGAGAAAGGGCCATTGAAGCCTGCGCTAGACGGTTTGCGGGAGGCAATGGAGACACTGGGCTGCACAGACATCCCGACCAAACGCATGTTCAGATGTGCCTACACAGCCCACGATGTCACACTACAACTTTGCCCCCCGAGCCTCGAGTACCCAATTTCCGACCTGCCGCCGTCAGTTGAGTACATTGGCATACTGCCGCGCAAGACACCAAGTCCAGACTTCCGATACCCCACTTGGTGGTCCGAAGTCGAGAGAACACAACCGGACAACAAATACCGCCATGTCATTTTCGTATCTCAGGGCACGGTCGCCTCAGACTACACCGATCTCGTGCTGCCGGCTATCGAAGCCTTTGCCAACAGGCACGATGTTCTCGTCGTTGTGGCTCTGGGGACTCGTGGCGCCCAGCTTCCTTCGGAGGTCGTGATTCCTCCGAACGCTCGGGTTCTGGACTACATGCCCTATGACACCATCCTCGAATACACTGATGTATTTATCTCGAACGGAGGGTACGGCGCCTTGACTCACGCTGTGCGCAACGGCGTCCCCGTGGTTCTTGCCGGCGAGAGCCAGGAGAAGAGCGAGGTGGCCATGCGTGCCGTGTATGCCGGTCTTGGCGTGAGCCTCGCCACACAGAGACCGACGGCAGAGCAAATCCGGAAAGGCACTGACGAAGTCTTGCGAGACACTAAATACAGAAAAGCCGTGATGAGGCTGAAAGGCGAGGACGATAGTATGGACGCTCTGGCAACGGTAGAAGCAAAGGTGAAGGAGATGACTCAATGAAGCCAGCAACGAGAAAGCAGGATGAACTCTACTCACTTTTTAAGAACCTCCCAACTCAGTGCGTTCAATTATCTTGTACTTTTAGATGTATCAAAGGCTGCCAGTAGTCTTAATAGGGAATACTTGGGTTCGAACCTGCCCCCGATGGCATTTGGCCGTGGCAACTAAAAACCCCCGTTTTTCGTTTTCCTGGCACAAGTTGTGAACTTTAACATGGTTGCAGTCGCCCAGTCTTTTATAGAGTCGTTATCTTCCAGGCCATGCCTGATTCCGATCTGGAACCGAGTTGAAAGATTGATGTGTCCAGTAGGACACAGGGCTCGACGCAAACGTGCTGGTCTTACATCATCCAGGAAAATAATAATAAGATGGATCATTGAGATGCGTGTCACTTGTCTTTCGGTCTCCCGAGGGAAAATAGATACTTCAGTTCCAGGGTTGTCAGATGAAGGGTTGTCGATACGGGATTTGACATGATGTACAGAACCTCTTAAGCAAGTTTGGGAAAACTATCGATTGTGCAAAGCCAAGTTCATGGCCCGGATCCGGGTCCTGAGGGAACGCTAATCAGCATGTTGGCAATGTTGACATCTTGGGGTCGACCTTGGTTGCGTATCGCATTTCACCTTCTTCTCATTGCTTGTTTTTATAACTGTTACAGGGTGTACAGTGGTAAGCGGCAGATGCAAATGGACTGCATCACCGAAACGATGGTTCGATAACGGGCAAGCAAGGATGCCGGAAACGGCTCATGCCGTGGTCGGGACTCAATACGGACCACGGGAATGCGGGACAAAGGCTTGGCGCTTACGGCGGGCGAGAGGCTGTGAATCACGATCTCGGTCGAAGAGGCAACCCGACCCCGCTACCACGCGCCGGAGCGGAGATGAGGGTGGAGAGGACGAGTCCCGGAATTTGTGGAGAGTTTACAGGGGGGGCCAAGTGTGAGCGACGGGCCTCACGATGTCCACAGACAAGGTGTAGATGAGGATAAGCCTAGGGGGCTTAACCGTGGGCGTTTACGACGGGTCGAATGAGCGGTGAAGAAAGTCAGGTGAGTAAGCGAGTAGGAATAGTAAGTTAGGGGAGAGAGGGATTGAGTGAAGGAGTGAAAGAGTGATGATGATTGATCAGCGAGCTTGATTCTGCCCAGATACGAAGAATTTGCGGTAGCGGAGTCCAGTGCCGACTCAGCAGGAAAATAAATGAGAAAATCCCAACCGAGGTGGATTTTGTGGGGTGTCTGCAGGAGCAGGTGCATTGGTGTAGCGCACAGCGACCCACGACACTCATGGAATGCGGTTGTTGAGCCGCCTTGTTTGAGCGACCAACACGGAGGTGAAAAGCAGATAGAGAGAGAGAGAGAGAGACAAGAAGGGGAAAAAAAAGATAAAAACCCCCCGAGAAGAAGGAATGACTACGGGTAGTAGTTACTGGGTAGGTACCTCGGTACCTGGACCAACAAAAGGAGATGAGAAATGCCCGTGGGCGCGGATTGGCTGGCAATATAAGGCTAAACCATTTCGAGACTGATGGGGCAGCTCCTTCCCGCCAGGCTCCTTCCCGTCAGGCTCCTCTCTTTCCCCCTTTCAACGCCGTGCCTAGGTACATATGCATGGTTACCTCGCTTGCTGCTTGCCTTTCTTTTCTTCCCCTGACCAATGTCTATTGTCCATTTTCCATTGTTGACTTGTCAGGTTGGCCAACTTCCCAGAGAACAAGCAAGCATACAAGCAAGTAAGTAAGCGACGAAGGAAGCCCCGAAGTAGCCAATTTGACACGGACGATCTCATGATTGCAATGCGCCACATGTCTCCATCTTTTGGCCCTGACAAGCACGGTTGAGCCCCTCCATCGCCCCTGATTCCAGCTACCTAGTATCCGTAGTGCAGTCAGTATGCACCGTACCTACCCTACCGCCAAGGTACCTAGGGTGCTAGGGTAGCTCAGAGGTTAGAGAGAAGGTGCTGATACGGGTGGGCCCGCCTTTGTCTGCTGAACCACAGCAGCATCTCTTGGCACCGGTACCTGAGTTGCTGGGGTACCTCGACCTGCCTTACTAAGTACCCAGGTACCTGGGCACACACCTCAGTCATCCACCGTCGCACCGCTTGTTCCTCGTCGACGACGACAACGACGGACACGAACACACGCACGACGCGAGCCATTCTTGCACCTCTCCATCCATCCATCCATCCATCCATCCATCTCATTCTTCCAATGCCACCGTCAACGTACAAAGTAGGCACGGACTCATCATGAAGTCCCGAAGTCCCGTACAAAACAGCTCTCAACAGTCCGCTCATTAGAGCATCCGCAAAGGCCATGGGTGCTCGGGTCTCTCCACAATACCATTAATTGTGTGTCACCAACCCTCGATCTTTCGCTCTCTCTCTCTCCCTCGGTGGCCCTCAATGCCGTGGAGCCGGGTGACCATGGATGCCCCCCTCCTACCGTAGTGTAGCTGCAGATGGGCTGCCGCTCGAGTTCTGCCCCCTCCCCCCCGCCCCACGGCTTAGACTTTGACTGAAGAAGCCCTTTCCCTTTCCGGGCTTGGCTTTTTCTCGTCGTTGTTGTCGTCTCCATCGTCGCCTGCCGCCCGCCGCCTTCATTCCAGGCTCTAGCCCATTGAAGCTTTCCCCTTTCTTGTCTGTCCTTCACTTTACCCTTTTATACACAGTAGGCATCACCTTCCGCTCCTACCGCCATTGGAATGCTTGTTTTCGTCCCCCTTACCCATTCCGTCGTCTCGTCTTCCTCCCTTGCCTTCCTCCCCGCCCCTCAACTCGAGTTGAGTGTGACAAGGAAGGCCCGTGGGGAGGTGCTGCTGCTACCCTGTACATACCGCGACTAGGTAATTACATGACCGCGCTTTCCTTTTCTCTAAACCACGGACCTTCACCCCCCCGTATTCGACCTGCGTCGGCGTTGTATCTTCGAAACAAGCCTCCTCCAAATCGGCCGGCTTTTGACACTTTGTCCGTCTGTCTGCCGCACCGTTGTGTTTCTTCTTGCGCAGCAGAAATACTCCCCTTTAATCACTCCCAGTTCTTGTGAGCAGGCCTTTTTCCATCATGGCAGATGCCAATTAAAGTGCTAACCGCCTGTAGATTATACCACGCCTTCTTCTCCTTTGAACACGACGACGACATCGACGACGGCGGCGCCGGCGGACCACGACACCGAAGACGACCACCCCGACGACCATCTCGTGTCCTAGTCTGGCTTGGCTAAAGGACCTCGACGTCAACCATGCCCAAATCCCCTGAAAATGTCTATACCGAAGACCGGCCCTCGTCCTCAGTAGAAGATTTCGACCTCGACGATGAACACAAGACGCTGTTGTTGCCAGGCCCGCCGTCGTCATCCCACAATCCGAGACAGGGGACGGTTCTTGCGTGGCTCAGAGGCAGGCAGCGCTCGTTGCTGAGAAGGTTCCGTCGTCAGCCTCGCTCTCTCCCCCGCCTGCTCCTCCGCTACGCCTTCCTGTTCGTCCTCTTCGTCTTGACCGCGACCCCCATACTCTTTCCGTCTTATACGCGCCACCCGAAGCACTACAAGGACCTGAGGAATCGATGCTTGGTGTCTGACAGCCTGCCCGGCTGTGCGAACCTGCGGAACGAAAAGGTATTCATTGCCGTCAGCTTGTTCGACCCGGAGGGCAAGATTGCTGGCGGTGAGTGGGCCAAGAACGTCCTCGACCTTGTGCACATGATCGGGGAGAACAACGCCTTCCTCAGCATCTACGAGAATGACAGCGGCGACCTGGGCACCGCCGCCCTCGAGGAGTTTAAGAAGAACGTGCCCTGCAAGCACAAGATTGTTAGCGACGGCCACGTTGACTACAGCGCATTCCCCCATGTGACGATGCCCGACGGGTCGCAGAGGCTGAAGCGCCTTGCCTACCTGTCAGAGATGCGTAACCGCGCGCTCTACCCGCTGGACCAGCACGACCCCGACGCCGGCGACGTCAAGTACGACAGGATCCTGTTCCTCAACGACGCCCTGTTCGCCCCCATCGACGCCGTCCACCTGCTCTTCAACACCAACACGGGCCAAGACGGCCGCGCCCACTACCTCTCGGCCTGCTCCATCGACTACGACTGGAACCCATTCCTCGAGTACGACCTCTACGCGCAGCGCGACGCCGAGGGCTTCTCCAACGGCATCCCCATCTTCCCTTACTTCACCGCCGCCGGCAAGGCTATCTCGCGCAAAGCCATGGTCTCGCAGACGGATGCCGTCCCGGTCAAGAGCTGCTGGGGCGGCATGGTGGCCATGCAGGCCAAGTGGGTCCAGAACATGGACAGGAAGCTGCCGACCAAGGACTGGCAGGCCGTGGCGCACCACGTCATCAACCCGGACCACCCGCACAACGTGACGGCCCCGGTGCGCTTCCGGTACGAGCCCGAGCTGTATTTTGATGCCTGCGAGTGCTGCCTGTTCCTCGCCGACGTGACCACCGTCGCAGACAAGGCCGGCGAGCCCGACACGGGCGTCTTCGTCAACCCCTACGTGCGCGTGGCGTACCGCAAGAGGACCCAGCGTCTCGAGCGGTTGATCCGCCGCTGGGAGCGGCTCATGGACCTCCCGCAGGGCATCATCACCTATTTCTCGCGGTTCCCGACACCCAACCCCCACCGCGAGGTCGTCGAGGGCCAGCGGTTCCAGGAGGAGATTTACCAGCGCCGCGAGGGGTGGAAGATGGTGGAGCGGACGGGGCGCAACGGCATGTTCTGCGGGGTGCGCGAGATGCAGCTCGTCAAGGAGGGCCCGCGCAACGGGCGCAACTGGGAGAACCACTACGGCATTCCATGGGACGAGCAGACGCTGCACTTTCCCATGTGATTGATTCCGTTTTTTAACTACGAGGAAGAGCAGAAAGGAGGGGGCTGGAAAGTTTGATGATGACGGCACGGCGCATCGGTTCACTTTTGTTTTCGCTTTGGGCGGGGTGGAGGCCCATTACGCGGGCTATGTATGTGTGTGGGCGCACTCTGGAAATGATACCACTTTCGTTTAATCCTATTGTTATATCTATCCATCCCATCTAGATAGCCATATGTATGCGTGTACTAAATACACCTTTCTTCTTCTTCAAACTCCTCAGCACCCTGCCCCGCTTGCAAGTGCACGACGCACACTGCGAGTGAGGGCTCACGGTGACGAGGTGAGGAAGCAGCCGGGTGTGTATATAAAACAACCAGGTGAGTGAACCGCCGCAGACAACGCTCACGGACTCGCCCCGCCTGCCTGTCGACGCCGCCGCGACCAAAAAGCTCACGCAGAATATGCAGGGACAGGACGGTACTCGTTGCGACGGTTCACCATGTATTGGACTCCCCTAATTGGTCCTACTGTAGTATGATAGCACTCGAACCTACCCAGACTAGCCCGGAGCCCCCTTCCAACTACGCAGTGCGTGTCTCATTTCCTGCTCGGAACGTCCAGCAGATAAGACAGACCCAAGGGACGTAGTAACAAAAAAAAAGACGAATGGAAAAAAGAAAACCCCCCATGGGAATAAGTAAAGGAGGCGGCGATATGGCAAACGATCCCGCAGAAACCCCGTGGAAGAAAGTAGCAATCCCGAACGCGATCCCAACCCAAAAAGAACCCGACGTTACAAACAGCAAACCCGAGTTCGCTCGCTTAACAACAAAGTTGGTATCTTGAGAAAAGACACTAGCAAGTCCCAAAAGCAAGGAATAGAGAGAGAGAGTCATGGTATCCATGTGTTTTTTAGTTTTGGCGAAATCCCCCGCCCCAGACGCCTCGAGGACGCGGCTCATAGCTCGAAAGAGTAGTTTCAAACTGGGGGGAGGCGCGACGAGTCGAGCAGGAAAACGACCCAGAGATAAAAGACGGGAAAAGATGGGAAAAGACAACCGGGACGCTTAGGCCGCGGCAGGCGTCGCCTTGGCCTTGGAGGTCTTGGGCTTGGTCTCCTGCGCGTGGGTTAGCTGGCGAAATGCTGAGGAGCGCGTGATTTGAGAGGCAGCGCTACGCACCTTCTTGGCGGCCTTGGTGGCGGCGGCAGTCTTGGTTTCTGCCTTCTTCGCTACTGACTTTGCCTGCGGGAAATGGTTAGCCTCGAGGCCGACAGAGGACAAGATGGAGAGGCGCTGCAGCAAAAGTTGAAAGAGGGAGAAGGGGAGGGCCATGAACATACCTTGGTAGCAGCGGAAGGGCCCTTCTTGGCGGTGGTGGCCTTCTTCTTGGTGACGCCGACGGGCTTCGCGGCCTTGGAGGCGGTGGAGGTGGTGGTCTTGGGCTTCTTCGCGGTGGCAGGAGCGGCAGTGTTCTGCTTGCGAACAGGGGCGGTTTCGACGACGGGGAAGACACGCGGCTTGGAGTTGCCGGTCTGGGAGCGGGTTCCTTCGCGGGCCATTTTGATAGTGGTTCTGGGGACCGCGAGGAAATGTCAGCGCACGGAACAGGAGCAGCGGAACGAGGCGACCACAACGGGGGCGATGCGACGAGAAGACGAGGTGGCGGACTGTGAATGCGCTTCGCGTGAAAAGAGACGGGAGGAAAGAGGGGTGGGGAAAAAAAAAGGCAAAGCAGAGTGAGGCGATGGCGCGATGGGACGGGCTGAGAAGGGGACGAACTTGGCCGACTTACGAATGGATGAAACTGGGGGGGAGAGGGCGCGATAAAGCTTTCTGAAGCTGCAGAGTCGAGTTACTGAGGTGGATGAAGGGAAGAAATAAGTTTGCGACGAGGAGTGGTGGATTGCGGAGGTGTTTTGTTGTGAAGAGGAGAGAGATGGGAGGTGACGTGGTTTTCGGTGTTGCGGCGCGAAGGGGGGGAGGAGACTGCGGATATGGCTGATTGAGTTGGGTAGGTATGTGTGTGTGTGTGGGCAGAGGTCACAAGGGGTGGTTGCTGATGGGAAGAGCGGTGTCGGAACAGATCCAAAGACGGATTACTACCTTTTGGCTGGGGTTTTGGAGGAAATCCCACATAAGTAAAAATACGATTTTATTTGATTTCGAGACTTAAAACACCTATTGCTACTTATCGAGTGGTTTTGAGCAAGCTTGCCCTGTGTTTTGAAGCAGAAATGGCGACGGGACGGGTCGAGGATTCCAAAAGGAGGGCAAGAGCGCGATGGGTGTGTCCGCGCCCTCTTCCCAAAAAGGGCAACTGTCAAGCCATACAAGGCCAGACCGGGTCAGGTCGGTCGCGACATGCGGCCGTGGCACATCACTCGAGGCGGCTCCTCCTGTTGTTTTGATTTCTTAAATCACGTCGTCGCCGTGCTTTCTCATTCTGCGGTTTCCTTATCTAGTGTAAGACGGCAAGCGCCAACCAAGCGCAGGGGGGCAAGTGCGGACAGAGCAAGCGCGAGTAAGAGTGAGGCAAGTGCGTGCAGGTGCAGCAGGTGCAGGAACAGACAGCCCCTTCCTCTTAATGCATGCCAACATCGACATACCTATCTACGGATATAGGTTATAGGTATTAGCCGATGCCGAATGCCTGCCTTCCAGCGACTGTCCAATGTCCGGTTCTCTTTCCTCTTTTCAGGTCCTATGGACCTTCCTTCCGTCCGTCCGGCGTCTTTCTCCTCTTCCTGCACCTCCCCCCCTTCTCCCCCTTCGTCCCTCGTCCGCCTTTTCTACTTCTCCCACCTGTCTTTTTCTCCGCAATCTTCGCTTTTCCATTTTGATTTCCTTCTCTTTTTTCCATTCGGGACTTTGCCTTTCTTGGCCTTGCCGACCTGTTCCCGTCTTAATCGCACCGGGCTCTTCCGCAGCCACGGTCGCCGGACGGACCGCTCTATACGCGCATATCCCACTTTCCCTCCGGCCCCTACTGGTTACACATCTTCCGTCCCTTTTGAAAGGCGCGGCTGTTCTGCTTTGTTTTTCTGCCTCGTCTCCCGTCGTCTTCCGCTGCGTTTCTAGATCCCATCTCTCCAAGCGTCGGATCGGCAAATTGCATTGCATGCAATCTCGCGACAAGCCCGCCAGCAACCCTGACCGATGGTGGCCGTAACCATGTCCAACCAAGTTCAACCGAGCACACGAGGATGGACCGGGACCAAGGACGCGCCAACTCTGGACCAAAACCACCAAAGCTACGCGACCCCTAGCGCTCTTCTGCCGTCCCGACCAGCACCGCGGATCAGATGTCGTGCCAGACTTGCATCTTTCCTCAGCGGCTTCCATTCGCCTGAACCGTGCAGCACAAGCGTGCTTCATGACCAAGACCAGGACCATCGCCGCGCGTTTTGCCGCTGCCTTTCACATGGAGAAACGCTGGGTCGAAGCAACAAGGCCTGGCAGCTTCAGCGCGCTACGCTTGATGCAAAAAGGGTCTGCTGGATTGAGCCCGGGCCTCCGCTTCTATTCTCGACCGACCGTTAAACCCCGCAACCCACCCATCCCAATTACATCAGCGGCCCCCGTTTTTAGACGTTGTTTTGAAGTCCATGGCCCATCACATCGCGGTCCCAAGGTTGGAACGAGTGCCGCCTGTTCACCCCACGTCTCGGGGGGAAAAACTTGTTCAATCTAACATACATTCTAAGTCTACGCCACTCGCCCATCATCCATCACCCTCCCGACCTTCAAACGGACTATTTCTGGACCGGCAGCGGCGTATAGCCAGGTGTCGGGGTTCTTGCGCCGGACCCCGGAAGCTGTGCCTGCCACAGCTGGTAATACTCGAAAAAGTTGTCGAGGTCCTTCTCCAGTTGGTTGCCCCGCCGCACAATGGTGGTCGCATCCGTTCGACAGCTTCACCAAGTTGATAACCCCTGTGACTTTGTTGACCTCGGATATGTCCACTCCCGGTTTCTTCGCCAGAGCCTCTAAATCTGCCCATTTGCTCTGAATATTCGCCATGAGTATGAAGTCCTGGGTCAATAACCGTAGTTGTTCAAACTGGGCCGCGACTGCGACGTGAACCAATATCAGCGAAGCAAACAAGTTTGGTGGGGAAGGGATCCGCTGTTCTTACATTGATCGACGCTCTCGCGCAGTTCTGTATGTGCGCTTTCAATCACCAACGACCGCTTTTGGAGTTTGATCGCAGAATCTACCCACTGCGGACCTTGACGCCGACTGCCTTCAGTGCCCTGCTGTTGGTAGTCCAAGCCACCGCGCACCGCCTTGTATGCGTTCTCCATCTCGGCGATAGTCGCCTTTTCAACACCCCAGTCTTGCTCACTGACACGACTTCTCTTTAACTCGTCGGACGTTACGAACACGCCGTTCACGTCAGCCTTCTCCCTGTCCAATGCCCGAGACATAGACTTGCCCAGACCTGCTGCCTTGATGACCTGGGATTTCATCTCTCCAGACCGAATAGACATCTCAAATAGATGCAGTAGCTCGTTGTACCAGCGTGCAACATTCTTCATCGTGTAGATTGCCAAGTCGATATCGAGCTGAAGCGATGTGCATTCAAGCACAGACGTGGAATAAAGCGCGTTCCAGAGAGGGCTTGTGTTGCCCTCGGCACTCTTGACTCTCCAACACGCCTCTTGTAGGGCTCGGCGGCTGGACATTGGGGATACGTTCGTTTCGGGTGTGGAATCTATTGACTGAGAATTGGGGTTTTAGCAACCCACTCTCACACACGAAACCAAGCACTCAAATACGTACCTCCATATAGGAGTCGATGCGCTTTACAGCAGCCTTCTGCGCCATGCTATCCAGGCCGCCTTGTCCGCGCGGGCGGCAATTATACCTCACCCCGTCGATCCCCAAATCCTGGTTACGACCCATTGCTGAGGGAGTGCAGCAAAAACAAAAGATGTTACACTCCTCGAGGGTACCGCGCTCTTTGACGCTTGCCGTGGCCAGTGATCTCATCGCCTCCCGGATGATATCGACAGTATCCCAAAATGTACGCCTCGCAAGCCCTAGGTTATCCAGCGTCATACTCTTGTGTATGAACGTGACCTCAACGGCGTCAGTGGCTATTTTCCACACAGGTGCGGATCGGAGAAGCGGCTCACTTGGAACACGACGATCCGTATAGCTGTCTCTGGCATGTCTGATGCATCTGTGCGGACCTCGGCGACGAGAAGCTCCCATGCGGACAGACTCTTTTGATATATCTCGAGCTCCAGGTACATTTTGAGCGAGTCGCGGCACTTTTCAGTCTCCTCAGGGGTCGCATAGTAGTGGCACGTCAAGTCTAACGCGAGCTTGCCTTGAGCTTTCTTTGCCTTCATCTCGTCGGTTCGGCGCAGTCGTGGAATCGGCTGCTGACCTTTTGTGAAAGTGAGGTAAGTCAACGTCGAAAAATCGGCGAGTATGGAGGGGAGTCTGGTTTTTCTGAGGTTTTTATGGCAAGGGCTAGGCTGATATACGCCTCGACCGTCATGACCTGTTAACTGCTGCCTAAAAAGGTAGGCCGCGCCTACCCTCACAGTTGGTTGCTCCTTCCCAGTTACCTTGATTGCACAAGGCCACAAGGCCCCTCTTTGTATGGCAAAGCAACAGCTAATACCTCTTGAGATGTTGGTGGTGTAGTCCACTCACGTGATTGCTGTTGCCACCAGATTCACCAGCTTCTTCACCTTGCCAGCCAGTGGCCTTTTTCCTCCAACTTACACATCACCAATACCATCACATTCATCGCGATATCGTTGCTCCTCCACTTGACAAATCTACTCGAGTCGGAACTTTAATTGAGTAAATAGGACGAGAAGCCTTGCTGGCCAAGAACTGTATGGTTGGACACAAGAATGGTTCAATGTCAAAGACCTCCTGGGTACTCGTTGACCAGACACTTGAGATAGGACGTATATATTCCGGTAAGCTTGCAAAGTCTTTGAAGGACTGTGAACCATTCAGATGTCGTACCCGACAACTGTGACGCTAAAAGCTATTTCAAGGAAACCCCTATGGTTTTGTCATTCGCGTCGAGCGTGATCCACCGCGCATAGTATAATACGTGATGATGGTCAAAGAGAATCGTCGCTTAACCCAGCCAAGCAGTAGATCACTCCCAGACAAGAACGCCCCCTGCCATAAACACTTGATCTGCCTACGCATCGTGGACATCTAGTTGACCAAAACACCTCGAACCCTTCGTTTAGCTTGGCTCTCGATTGCGGGATAACAAGTCAAGCTTTTGTCTATCCTTTATGCCATTGCCAAAATGGCCAGTCCCATATCTGTATGCAAAACCCCTGGCCGTTTTATGAGACTAGCTTTGTTTCATTGATTCACGCCTCGCGTCTCCATTTTGCTGCAAACTTCCACTGAACTCCCGCGCCCACAAGAGCCGCCAGCTGCATAGCAACACAGACAGTAAACGCCCAGCCGACGCCGATGCCGTTGACCATGGGCATCACGAAGCTCGTGCCGCCGGCCGCAAGAAGGCATCTTGCGAGGTTGAGACTTGCGCTCGCGGCTGCGCTCCGGTCTGGGAACACGTCGATGAGGTAGGTCATGACGAGAGACTGAGTCGATACCGCGGTCCATCCTGTGACGAAGGTTGATATGACTGGCACGGCGATGTGCACACGGCGTGAGAAGTTGATTGTCCACCCGAAGACGGCGATGGATACGCATTGGAGAAGGGAGAAGATTGGAACAAGACGTAGGCGGGCCTTTTCGATGGGGAAGTCGCGGAGGGTGGTGGAGGCGAGCACAGCATTCTCGGCCTCGTCGCAGGCCTCGTGTTTCGCTTTTGCCCTGCGGTAGTCGAGGTCCAGTATCCTTCCTGTGACAAGGGTGCCGACGATGGAGCCGGCGCCGTTTGCGATGAATGTCAGGCCGATGTGCGTGTCGGAGAGTCCATACTGCGACTTGAACAGGCTTGACATGGCGGTGATGCTCATCTGCCATACAGCGTAGTAGACCGCGAGAAAGATGATGATCGGAGCTGCGCCTTTGCTGAATAGAATGCGGATTGGTCCGGTCACATCAACTTTCTTGGTCGATGATGGATCCGAGGATGAGTTTCGTGCGGCCCAATTGAGCTTGGTGCTCCGCTGATAAAGGCATAAGGGGTATTTGGTGATCCGGTTTGGGGGAACAATTGACCCGTTGCCAACGACGGACCTGAGGGTCTCCGGTAGCAAGAGGACTAGAAACGCGAGGAACACGCCGCAGTAGATGGCAAGGAACCAGAAAATGCTCCGCCATCCCAAAGAACCGGCCAGTGCCCCCCCGATGACCGGACCCACGGCGACGGGGACGAGCAGACCGGCCTGGAAGACGCCCATGTACCCGCCCCTCTCCTCGCGCGTGGTGATGTCGCTGATGACGCCGGAGCCGATGGCGATCGTGCTGGCGCTCCCGGTACTCTGGAGGCACCTCAGGGCGACGAGCGTGGCGTAATTTCTGGTTTCCGCGAGGCCGATGCATGCCCCCAGGAACACGGCGAAGGTGCAGCCGTAGGCCACCCGGCGGCCCTTGACGTCCGAGACGGGCCCCCAGAAGCTCGGCGCCAGCCCCTGGAAGATGAGGTACGAGGTAACGGTGAGATTGACCAGTTCGACGGAGACGTCGAGGTCGCCGGCGATGGTGGGCAGAGCCGGGAAGTAGATGTTGGATGCGAAGCCCGAGACTGGCTCGGCTGGTTAGCATAATGCTCAAGGCACGAGATGATGGGTAGGTTGAAACGCACAGGTAGCTGCGGTTGATACAATGAAGATGATGAGCCGTTTCTGTCGAATATCAAAAATGCTGTATGACTCACCGGGCTCGACCGATGGCGAGTGCAAGGCTGCTGGTGTGTGGTTGGTGCTCATATCGCTTTCCTACTTTCGTCAAGTCACTGGTGTTTTCCCCCCCCTTTTATTTTTTCTTGAAAGTTGATTTCCAGTCAGTCTCAAAAGTATATAAATAAAGAGTATTAGTCTGGTTTGGTCTCAAGTCCAATACCTCCGAAGATATTCATTGCCTTTGTCTGGATTACATGACGGAGGCGCTTCGGAGTTGAGCCCCACAATTCGGAGTTGAGAGTCTTAGCGGCGCGCGCATACCATCTCAGGGTTCGCTGTCCAGGATCAGGTGATTTATGGACAGACAGTTGGTCAGCCACAGGGTTTTGGCAGTAGCGCTGAGACAAGAAGCATCGTATTGGGTCGAATCTCAATCTTCCACACGGCAATTACAAAATGGTCGACAATCAGGCGATGAGAGCAGACATCTCAGGTTTGGTGCACGGAGCTCGGCCGGACTCGAAGCCCGGAGCCGGTAATACAGACCCACTATTCTCCGACTTATGTAATCCGGCGGCTTAACCCATGTCCCGCCGGCACGATGTCAGCAGCTGTCAGCTGATTCCAGCTGGTGGCAGATTGCGGGCTTGGTTCTTTGGGGAAACGGAAGGACCTTCCGCGCATGGGTGTTCATTCATTCCCCTTTCAGTGAATTGACATTCTCACCTTCAACATCCTCGACTTCATTGTCCAACAACCACGCCTGGTCCTCCCCCAGGCACCTTGTACCCCAATCATGAATAAGAACCGCAATGTCGACATTCAACGGACTTGTCGCAGAGTTTCCTGACATACGAAGTGAGTGGATGGGCCCAGGATGGAACATCCTGGGGATGCACTCACCATCCGCGTGATGGCCTTGTGTATTCTTCTATCACACTGCTAACTCGTCACAGTCGACTTCTTCCGGAGTCATGCTGGCCGTCTTCCACCACTGGCATGCTTCCTGAGCCACATCCACAGCGACCACCTCGCTGGGCTGGAGACCCTGCGCTCCCCCTTTGTCTACTGCTCTGCAGCCACGCGGGAGATGCTCCTCCGCCTGGAACGTTACCCTTGTCGCTTGAACTACGCCAAAGGCATCCTCGAGGCGCGTGTGCAGACCTACAAGCACCTCAAGAACCTGCTCAAGCCGCTGCCTCTAGAAACAACCACCACTCTGGAGCTTGCGCCCGGAATCCACATCCAAGTAACCCTATTCGACGCGAACCACTGCCCTGGGGCTGTCATGTTCCTCATAGAGGACTCGAATCGCGCCATACTCTATACCGGCGACATCCGGAGCGAGCCCTGGTTCGTCAACTCAATCGCCAGAAACCCTGCCGTCATCGAGTACACCTCCGGTCTCAAGACCCTCGACAAGATCTACCTCGACACCTCCTTCATCAGGGATGTCCCGTTCCAAACTAAAGCCGAGGGCATCGCAGAGCTGCTCCGGAAGGTGGCCTCGTATCCCACTGACACCATCTTCCACATCCAGGCATGGACCTACGGATATGAACAGGTCTGGATCGCCTTGTCCAAGGCCTTGAAGTCACGCATTCATGTAGACGACTACAAGATGCGCATGTTTTCTTCCCTGACCGGCAAGACGTCCAACGATCGCTTTGGTTCGTCGGTTCATCTATGCCCCGAAGCCCCTGCCCTGGCCGGCTATGTATGCGGAAACACACCCCACCCGGGCTGTCTCACCCGGGATGAGCACGTTCGCCTTCACAGCTGCGAAAGGGGCGCCTTCTGCAGTGTCGTTCAGAATGCTAGGGTCGTATCCATACTGCCAGTCGTGGCGCACCTTCAAAATGGCGCAGATGTTGCCGAGGCCGGCGTAGGAGGCGGTGGGGACGACTTGGAGCGCGATGCAGAGCTCGATCCCCTGTCGGCACAAGACATAAAGACAATGGTGAAACTGATGGACGAGACGCCGGAGATACCCACGGATGCGAAGATGAGGCTTCTGCAATTGATGGAGGCCGGTGCCATTAGTGGTCGAAACATGAGGTTGGACCTTGACATGACGTCCTTTGGGGAGAAGAACGAGACCGCCATCTTGGATGCCTTTCGGACCATCGCCCAGAGAAAGCAAAGTGCCAACGAACAAGTGGTCGGTTTCTCTGATGATTCGGCTGAACTGCCACGAGTCATCACATTTCCGTACTCCCGGCATTCGTCGTACCGAGAGCTGTGCGACTTGGTTCGAGCGTTCCGGCCAAAGGATGTCTGGCCTTGCACGGTGAATATTCCCGAGTGGCTCGGAGGTAACGTTACCATCAAGTCTCTCTTCGGACCCGAATGCTCCGGAGACATCTTCGCTCACGACCTCGAGATGGAAAAGGTTGCCCGCGAACGCGCAGATGTTCTTCAGCATCAGGCATCTCAAGACTTCGACGCTAACCATTCGTCAACGTCGCAAAGTCATCAAGCCGACGAAGCCAGCTGTGCCAACGCCGGGGTCGGGCTGCCAACGGCCAAACTCAACACCGCTCCCTCTGCGCCACAGCAACCCCATTGGGAGCCACAGACACCAAATTACACGGGAAGAGAAGCCCGGGAAACCCAAGGACCGTCCGCATCTGGCACTTTCACTAGGAATGCCCATCCACTTGTGGTAACATCGCGCATCCGATCAGATGCTTATCTGAACATGGTAAGGAACGTCCTCGGCGGGGAGTGGACACCAATTGGCTTGCTCTCCACGCTCGACCATCATACAGTGCCAGACAAGGACCTCGGAATGGTTTGAAGTCAACCCTACGCCAAAATGCACGTATAACCCTGTTGTGTACGAGCATTGCTTACAGCAAGATTCATGAGAGTCTGATTAATATTCATGGTCCGACCTTGCTCATCGGTCGGCTACGGATCAAGATGATAGGATATCTGGGTTGCAGCACCGTTACGGCACAGCCTGCTATGCTTGCCTCACACTTCAACGCGGGCACTTGAGTAGTTGTTCGCCGTGTTTATTGTGGTCGCAACGCTCCAGCCTCCGACGCCCCCCATCTGCCGTGGATGTACTGCCGCAGGCTCTTTCCACAGAAAGCAAGCGGTAGGGCAACAGCTCCCACGATCAGCAGAATGGCGCCATATTCGAGGCTGGCACCCAGGTATCCCTGTGAATCAAGCCATGGCGTGATAGTGGAGGACGTCGCGAAGCTCAGCAGATATCCCGCTCCTCCGACGATGACCATGGCGGGTGCGGCCCAGCGAGGGAATGCCTCTGTGACCCAGAGGGTCGAAGCAATGCCGAAGGCCGCCGCACTGAAGGCGTTGATGGCGTAGGACACAAAGATACAGATGAAGTTCCATTCGTAGTGAACGGCCAACCCGTACAAGACGACGCTTGTCACGCCGGCGAGGACGGGAGGGAGAAAGGCGATGAGGTAGTGCTCTGCATCCCGGACTCCGCCGTTGCGGAGCGTCAGGCGGCGAGCCACCCGCGACGTCAGGATGGCCGACACTGGCCAGGCAAGCAGCGAGCCGACGGCCGAGACGGGGCTGACCATGGAGATGACACGCTGGGGAAGGCTATAGGGCGGCTGCGCCATGACAACGGCATAGGTCTCACCGATGAGAAGCACGGCCCCAACATTGAGGGCGTTGAGAACGGCGACCCAAAAGACGAGGGGGTTGCATGCGCACAACATCGTCTGAACGTAGCAGGTTCCCATTTCCTTGAAGCCCGCGCCGCGCTTTTGGACTCCCCATTTTCGAACAATGCTTTGCCACAGCGTCTCGGGGGCGGGTTCCTGCCGCGCCGCGTTGTCTGGCCCCTCACCAACTGTCTGTTCCCAGCCGTCGTATATCTGAATCTTCTCCGACCCACCTTGCACGAGAATACGACCGTCAAAGGCAACGACCGGTCGGACGAAGTACGTCTCAGGGAGGAAGACAAAGACGCATACGAGGACGGCCAAGCAGGGGAAGATCCAGGCAGAGTAGAAGCCCCTCCATCCGGACGCGCTAAGGGCCGGTACGCTTGTCAGAGACAAGAGGCCGCCGGAACCGCTAAGGCTCCATAAGATGCCGAGTGCGTGGGGGCGCTCATCGATGAAGGTGAGATCGATGACTGCCAGCAGCGACTGCGATGCGTGTCAGTCCTAATCTCTCAGAAGACACAAGGTTTGCAAAATATCGAAAAGAAATTAGAAATAAGAATAAAAAAGCCCCCGTCACATACCGCGCTAAGGCCCAGTCCTGCCGAGAACCCCTGCAAACTCAAAGCTCCGAGAAGCTGGTAGAACCCCGAGGCATTCGCCGCCAGAACAGTGGCCAAAGTCAGGCAGCACGACGCAAGCAAGAATACGGGCCGTCTCCCGACAGCCACCGACAGGGGAATCCACAGGAAAGCTCCGATACCGAGAGAGAGTGTGCTCGGCGTTGAAACAAGTATGTTCATCGGGAAGTTGCCGGTCTGCTTGGGGAAATGTTAGCCGCCGTTCACCGACCCGTGAGTGGTTCCGGGGCGGGCATGACCTTGCCGTCGAATTCTGCAGCAAGAGAGGGATACATCAGGCTGGCAGCTTGCGTCTCCATGATGGACACGATTGAATATAGTATGAGAACGCCCATGGCGAGGACGCGCCTGGGCAAGCCCCAGCCCAGAGGGTCATATGGGGAATTGCTGGGCATGGGTAGCTTGAGCGTCTGGCCATCGGACGCGATCAGGTAGATGCTGCCAGAAAGCTCGCCCGAGACGGGGCGACCCATGGCACGGCTGCTTCTGCTGCTGCTGCGGCTCATGATGCCGTAGAGGACAAAATAGAAAGCGAAAAGGAGACGACGAGGTCGAAGCGAGGGGACGCAGCTACTGCAGTAGGAAATGGTTAAGTGAACGTCGGCCGGCGTGTTGTCTAGAAACAACCCGTTAGAGTCAACAGGACATTCCGGTTGTCTGATGGTAGAGGACCTGGTCCTTTATTAAGACCTCTGAGTCCCATCAAGGTGTGGTAAACGGAGTCAGGACATGCAGACGGCGTCACAGCTACATTACACCAAATGCGGCAACGCAGGGAGGAGAGCAAAGAGCCGGCGGCATCGTCGGGCTCGACTGCGACAATCAATTGACAATTCGGCAATCTTCACAAAGTTTAATTGTTATACCATGAATATCATGTGTGACAGAGCTCATAGGAGCACACTCAAGGGAGCATGGAACGAGGCTGGTGATGTCCCACTGGTTCGGGCCCCGTGATTTGAAAGCATGGCAGCTCTGTCGAGGCCGAAATGAAGATGGCATACCTAAAGACGAGGAGCGGGCTGTGCCTATATGAGGGGGGGATCTTGGGAGAAAGCTCCGGTCCGAGTACTTGCAACCGGGGGAGATGCTATTTATTGCAACTGTTTCTTTGCTGCCGAAGGGATGATGCCCAACTGGGGCAGAGGCAGGATGGGCAGACGGACAGACATGGACGCCGAAGTGACAAATTAGTTTCCGAAAGAGAGATATGCTGAGCGGAGCCCTGGGCAGTGGGCCGAGTAGACGACCTGCCCAGAAACGTTTCAAGTGAAAGCTTAATGGCAAACCTGGCGGACCAAAGGTGGTTTCCGGTGTGACGCTATTCTGCTGGCACAAACTCTATACAAACAAAATGAGGATTCCCACCGGCTGTGGTTCTATTGCGTAGACGACGATGACCAGGTGTGTGGGCTTGGGATCGGCCGTGCGTGCGTGGTCCCCTCGGCACGACCCGTTGCCCTCCGCTTTATGCCGGCGTCTGCGTGGTCTTGGTCGGCGGCGGCGGCGACGACGACGACGACGACGGAATGGTTACTGTAACGACTCATGTTTCGTCTATTAGGCCGGCAGCAGTTGATAGTAGACAAAGGTCCATAGCCAATCTTTCCCGGCGGCTGAAGCGGAACTCATAGCGAGAAGGGGGGAAGGAGGGGGAGGAAGAGAAATGTGCCGCAGGAGGAATATTCTGGAGACGGAGGAAATCAGAAGGAAGCCAATGTTGCTGTTCGTTCTTCTTTTCCTTTCCGGCGTGGTGGGCCCGAATTAGTAGTAGACGAAACTTTTCAACTGTTCTTACGCTGAAGGCTTCCACCTTGCGGCCTTTTCCCCCAATACCCAGTAGGTGACAGGGCACAGGTCCCGAGGACTCTACCAGCTGAATGTAACCCACTCGTGATTCTTTGGCCAATTACTCAGAAAGCTGGGAGTTTCGCGCGAGGCTGGCTGTAAAGGGTTGAAGGTTAAGAGGGGGGAGGGGGTAAGGGTGTTGAGAGGGGTGTCCACATGAGTCGGCGACTACAGCCGGATCCTTCGGCCGAAGCAGAGAATCGTCGGGTTTCAGGACGCGTGGTTTTTTTTTTCTTTCTTTCTTCTTTGCCGTTAGCTCTCTTTCGTTTGGGCGAACAAATAAGTCGCGGGCAGTGTTTGGGTGTGAGGGGACGACGACGACGATCTTGTCATCCGACGCATGGGTAAGAAGGCTGTTCATTTGGATATTTGGGACCTTGAGAGGGACCGCCTTGCAGATTCACCTTTGTAATTTGGATATTTGGATCGGTGGGCAGTGTTTGGAATCACCAGAGTGACTTGGCGCCGCTGTACATGTGTCAGAGTGAGACAGAGAGAAGAAGTAAGCCCGGGTCTAACGCAGCCCGACCCGCGCGAGACGGCAGACGGGAGATGCTGCCCGTAAAGTCGGGTGGAAGAAGCGCCCCCGCATTGGCGGACGGGGGGAGGGCTGCTGCCATCCCATCCCTCCTCTCTTGAGCTCTTTGGTATTACATGCTGCAGTAGTACGCCGAGCCTGGCCGCCGGAGTCTTTTCGCGGGATGGATGGATAGGAACGAAGGCCCGGGTTTGCTCTACATATGTACCCTATGCAGGTATTCGTATAGAAGCCAGCCAGCTAGCTAGCTATAGATAGATAGCCACGACCAGTTTTGTGTGCATGAGCGCGGGCGAAACGCCGGCATCGAAGCCGGGAGGCAAGAAAAGCAGATGTCGATTTCGCTTATGTTGAACGGCAGCAGCTTGTAGCCGCTCACTTGAGGCCGTTCGTCGCCCCCGTCTCTGTGTCAAATGAAGGGGCGAGCGAACCATTGGGGGGGGGGGGGGGGGGGGTTCAGCAACTTGCAGCAACTCGCCTTCCGCCGTGGTCACATTGTGCTGCTTCACACTCTACCACCTCAAACGGGTGGCAGTTCGTTGTCATCAAGATGTCGCAGTCATCCGCTGAGCGGTTGCTTCGCACTGCCAACCATCATGCGTACTCGATTCGGCGACCGCTGTTACGTTACGGGCATTCGTGCTTCGATAAGGCGGATTGGGTTTTTTCGGGGGGTGGTCTTGTTTAGATATCCCCGTCGAAGCGAAGCCCGTCCAGCCATGTCGACAAGATCAAGGACGTGTTGATTGATCAAAGACGCTGGGAAGTAACCCTGCATCACACACACATACACACACACTCTCTCTCTCTCTCTCACACACAGACACACACACACACGCACTGATGAACCTGTTACGGACTTTGGCATCTTGCACACAACCTTCTTTCTCAAAGGCGTGATCCGGGCCTAAGCGAGGGCGTCTCATCCCTCTAGGTACTGCGGCGCAAAGCCCGCCGAAGGACAGGGTCTACGTTAGTATGAGCACCCGGTCACACAGTTTACATATTATGTACCTAGTGCAGCCACGGACTCGGAGAGCCTCCCGATAATTAGCCAGTGGAGGAGGGGAGAAATGCCTCCTGCGAGAACATGCGAAAGCCGCCGGCTGGTTTTCCCCACGTCTCGCCCAGGTTCCCCCACCCATGGCCACAGCGCCCACGGAGACATGGCATGGGGGCCCGCCTGTCCTCTGCATCCACGAGAGGCGTTCGATCCTCCGTTCATAGGTAGTACTATAGTATGGTACGATGTTTGTTGGGAATGGGATGGCATCGTCTTGATTGGACAGAGGACGAAGGGGTGGAGGTCCGGAGTAACCGGTCTCTCTGGCCGAATACTCTTAGGAACTAACCCCAGTCTCTAACCAGTCCGCGCGCAGGACGATAATCCGCATATTAGCCGCGGCGCGGATGGGCGGCCCGGCGGGCAGCGCAGACGCAGACAAAGGTGGTGACGAGGGGCCAGAACCACTCAACCTGCCCGTGTCATCCGCGGCGCCCCCTCCCGTGCTATCCTGTTTTCATCCACGAGGGGGGGGGGTGTCACGATGCAGCGAGAAGCAATCTAAACCATATCGTCTCGTGCCAAACACCCAGGCCCATGCGCGCGCGGCCGGCCGGCCCAGTCTGCTGGCTATGTCTCGTGTGCAGAATATGTATGTATCTATCTATGTATGGGCGTGTGGGTGTGTGTCTTTCTGTGGCCACCCCGGGCACAGTTTGCGTCTTGCTGCGGGTCATGCTTCCATGATAAAGGCTTCGTGATGCCCCCAGAGCATGCACAGCGGGCCGAGTTGTTTTGATTTGGAAAGGGTTCTCAGGGAATTTGCAGAGCTCAGCACATACGCCGCCGCGCATACACACGCATACATACACACACACACACACACATATATATATATATATATACATACACATACACTCCTTGACGGACAACTTTCCCTTCTTGGTAACAACTACAGGACAAGACGAGTGCAACGCTCTACAGAAAGAAGTCACCAGCTCGTCTCGGCACTCTTCGTCCGTCACCATTCCTCTACCCCCTTTGGGAAGGGTCACGAGGTGCCATTTCTCACTCGATTCGGACATTTTCCGCCGTCAAAAGAAGACCCCCGACGAGGACCCGGGCTAGGCCCGCCCCTGTTCCTGCGCCATCGTACGTGGTTCTGGTTCTTCATGCTGGCAGGACTGGCGTTTCCGACCACTTTGGGAATACCATCACGTCGGTAGCCTTATCGGGCTTGGTGGTTGTGTCGACGCCATCACGAGACATCCCGGGAGATATATAAAAAAGAGCATCACCAGAGACTAGGCTCGCGAATTGCGTCTTTTCTCGAGTCCCCCCTCCCTCCCTCGGGTCTGGGGTCACGATTGGATCAACCAGTAAGCAAATAAGAAAAAAGGTGCAAACCTCCGCCAGCCCGAATTCGACAGTCCACCCGACACATGACGAAGACGCAAGTCGACCGAGCACCACTTGACCAGCAATTCCCCCCAAAGACTGGACCAGGCCATCAAGACACATCAATCAGGTATCGATAATTGGGATTCGTTAGCCCTGAAGCAACGGACAGCCCGCCTCCGTTGTTCAAAAAGAAAACCCATCTTGATCGTCACGAGGACCTCGACGTGCGTATCGATACGCAGCATTGACCTTGGCGGCGGCGGAAATTTAACAGACGGACGACTTGCAGCATTTTTCGGAAGTGGCTTGCATCGATACCTACATAGCTCGTCCACCCGGCTGCAGCAGACTCGCATGCGCTTGTAACAGTGTGACGGTGTCTCATGCAATACGTACACTTACACTTACACTGACACTGACACTGACACTACTCACACATACACACACTCGCTCTCACGCTACTGTGCACGCGTAATCCACCCTACCCCCTCCTTGATCTCGAGACGCCGACAGCTCGGATGATCTTGGCCCGCTTGGCCTCGGGCCCCACTGAGGCGCTCCCCGCAAATGGGGAGGGCGGAAAAGGAGGAGGAGACGGGGATGTTGGTGGTGGAGGCGGAGGAGGAGGGGGAGGGCCAGTTGGAGTTGGGGTTGGGACAGTTGGAGATTCCGGGAACACAGTGATCCTGACCGGGCCAGCCAGTAGCAGGGCGAGTTCGAGCACCTCGACACCGGCTGCCACGGCGCCGTCTGTCAAATCCCCCACGTCGGGCTTGGGGAGGAAGAGTCGCAGGGGGCTCGGGTCAGGTGCACGTACAGGGTCCAGCAGCAGCAGTGGCAGCGGCGGTAGCATAAGCGGTGGTGGTGTTGGAGGAGGAGGAGGAGGAGGAGGAGGAGGAGGACGCAGAACTTCATCCAGAGTTCTTAAGACGACCCCGCCGTCGTCTACCGCCGTGTCCCGGGCCACCTCCGTCTCCCCTACTTCAGCCCTCCTCACTCCTCCTCTCTCGACCGCGGCCACCACAGCTGCCACGACCCGATCGTCGACTTCGACTCCTGCTGCCGTGGCCGCCGCTGCAAGCCGCAAGGTCTTCCCCAAGAGCATGGAGCCCCCCGTCGTCTCGTTTTACGGGGCCGAGCCCATCCCGCTACCCTCGCGCTTCGCCGGCGTCAAGAAGCGGCTCATCGCCGGCCACGAGGCCGCCGTCGAGGCGTCGTGGCGTCGCCTGCTCGACGCCCTCCGGACCGAGATCGCCGACATCCAGGACCGCGGCTCCGAGCTGATCCCGTCCATCAACTTCACCGACATCAACGACCCCGTCCGCGTCGAGGCCTTCGCGCACAGGCTGCGCCGCTACGGCGTCGCCGTCATCCGCGGCGTCGTCTCGCCCAACGACGCCCGGGGCTGGGTCCAAGAGACGCACGAGTACCTCGACAAGAACCGCGAGTTCAAGCCGCCCGCCCTGCACGACCCGACCTGCATCGACCTCTTCTGGACGCCCGTCCAGGTGCGCGCGCGCGCCCACCCCAACATGCTGCGCGCACAAAAGTTCGCCATGTCCTTCTGGGAGTCGACCGACGACCTGCACATCACCCGCGCCCCCGTGAGCTACGCCGACCGCCTGCGCATCCACAACGACAAGCTCGGCGCCGTGGGCCAGCGGAGCGGCAACTCGGCCGCCGACTCGCTCAGCGCCACCGCGTCGTCGACCGTCATCGCCCAGATCGACAGCGGCAGCCTGGAGCGATGGGAGCCCGACGGCTACGGCCGCGGCGGCACCTACGAGGCCGTGTTCCGCGGCGACTGGGAGTCCTACGACCCGTGGGACCCGGCCGGCCGAGTCGGCGCCACGACCGACCTGTACAACGGCGAGGGCGCCTGCAGCGTGTTCCGCATGTTCCAGGGCATCCTGGCCCTCACAAAGGTCGAGCAGGGCATGGTGCGCGTGCTGCCGTCGCCCAAGCTCGTGGCCGCCTACTTCCTCCTGCGGCCCTTCTTCTCGCCCAAGCGCGGCCCGCCGGAGCAACCGGACGGCGGCAAGGCGGACCAGTGGGCCGCTTACTTGGATGCGTCCAACTGGGCGCTCGACCCGGAGCCCAACACCATCATCCACGGCGCCGTCCCGGGCCACGCCCAGCGCCTCACCGAACGCTGGCATCCGCACCTGCACCTGCGCAGGAGCCTGGTCTCCCTGCCCAGCCTCCGGGCCGGCGACTACGTCATCTGGCACTGCGACCAGGCCTACTCCATCATCACGGGCGGCACGAGGCTCGGCGTCCCCCAGGCGTTACAGAACGAGTCGAACGAGCTGTCTCTCCTGACCTACACGCCCGTGTGTCCCCTGACGCAGACGAACGCGCTGTTCCTCGCCCGCCAGAGGAAAGCCTTCCAGACCGGCCAGCCGGGGCCGGACTTTGACACCCTCGGCGGGCTGGGCAGCGAGGCGTCGCACCAGGACCGTCCCGGCGCCCGAGAGGTCGAGGAGTACGGCGGGGTCGACGGGCTGCGCGCCATGGGCCTGGCCCCGTACGACGTCGAGCCGGCCGGCGCGCCGCCCAAGCACGCGGACGCCATGGACGTCGACAACGAAGACAACGAGGGCGTCAGGAACAGGACCAAGACGGAGGCCGAGACGGAGCTCCTGCGTCTCGCCAACATCATCCTCTTCCCCAGCCGCTACGACTTCTACATCCCGACAAGCGGCACGCGGGGCAGCGGCGACCGCACGCCCCGCGCGGTGGCGGGCGGCGCGCCCAAGACGATGGTGAACGGGAACAAGAGCTGACGGCGTTGGTTGAAGGGGCGATGGCGGCGCGCCGGCCGGCGACAGGCGGACTCACCGGAACTAGAGGCGGAGGGAGCGGAGACCGTGGTCGAGACCGTGGACTCCAAGGGGAAGAGCAGGGACGTCGTCACGGTCATGGTCACGGCGGCAGAGGTCTAGGTTGCTGTTTTTCTTACCATGATACCCTGCAATCAGGCAATCCCCTTCGATTAGAAGATGGGAAAGGGGGGGAGAGTGTGTGTGAGTCTGAGCGCGAACGAGAGAGAGAATATGGGAAGGCCGCCCCTTCAACGTGACGCTGGAAAGCAACTATTAAGCGCAGAGACGGAGAACTCGAGAGACGAGGCATGACTGCTCAGGAGATACAGGTCGTGAATGCATATCCGTACGTACATACGGTGGAGGCGGAGCAACGCTAGATAATCGGTAGTAGACGAAACTCTGAAGTCTTTATTCTGCATTAGTAGAACCGGGGCGGGATCTGTGTCTGGAGACCCCGGCACCTCCCGCTCTTTTTCATTTTACCACATTCGATTTTGTTTGCCTTTCGGCCGCATCCACGAGACATCCGTGGGGGGGGGGGGGGAGATTCTGTGACTACGACGGATTCGTCAAACCCAACCAACCCGGGGACGCGCGCGCGCGCGATCGAGCTGCTGCGCGGTGTTCCCAATCGGCGGCCGGGACCGGAGCCGGTTCACGCCTGGAGGGAGGACCGGGACGCGTTCCCGGTCAACCGCCCAATCTGGTTGGCGGCGCACCGAGACCTTGGAACCAAGGGGCTTTTTTGTCTTTCCGCCTGGCTCACCCCGTTTCGAAATCAAGTAATATCGAATACCAAGAGCCGGCAGGATATCTGTACAATCTGGATAGTCTCATAACCCAAGGTAGCTTGTCAAACGCGCCCCTTTGGAGCAAGATGGAGATATAAGCAGACTCGAGTTCCCTTTCAGTCAAATGTCTTCAAGAGACGCTGCCCTCTATTGCTTCTTAGCCGCTGGGGAAACAGGAAAGAAAAGAAAAACACCTACGTAATTCCCGCGAGTCCTCATCAGGGCATCTCCACGCAGAACACGCACACGCGCACCGCTCCCCCGTGTTTTTATCTTAGCTCTCGGGACTCGGTGTCTATATTTCGTATACGGATGTATAGTACGGCATTCCGCTCTGTCACTTATCTCTGCATCCAACCCGCTGATTTGACCGGCCGAGCGCGCCCCTCTCGGCCTGGATCCTATCTTGGGGCGCATCGCCCCATTTACCGCAGCTAAAAGTACGTAATAAAACTCGTACAAAGGGAGGGAAAAAAGAGGGCTCGCGCGGTGATGGCCATCTCCCCAGATGACAGGACAGGGCCCGTTAGTTAGTGCCTGAAACTCTCGCTCCGACCCCACCGTCTTCCGATGCCCTGTGTGGCCGTTCTCTCTCTCTCTCTCTCTCTCTCTGTGTCTCTCTGTGCTTGGAACATCCACTGCTCCCGCGCTCTCCAGGAACCCCTGCAGCCAGCGAGGCGGGCGGTCGCTACGTTTCTCACGCATCGAAGCTTGGGACGACGCCGCCAGACCGCGCTGGGCCGGCTGGTCGGGGTTCTACCCGCTTTCTATGCAGCTTCTCCTGCGATGCCACCGCAAATCACACCCTCAGCCCATACCCTTGCCAAGTCGTTGCCACAGTCTCTAGGAATGATAGAGAGAGAGAGGGAGACACGGAGAGACAGGCGCCTGCACGCACCATCTCGGCATGGCCGCTGGGGAGGGGGGGGGGGGGGGAGCCTCATGTTTTCGCCTCCCAGGGGGCTGCCTGCTCAACCAACCACCATCTTGACGTCTATCGGCCGGTATTCGAGAGTCGAGGCTCTCGCCAATCAACAGAGCCGAAGTCGGATGTTGCTTGACCCATTGCCAAGACGTCGGAAGCGAGATGGCGCTGTCGCTGCTATTGCTACCCGACTGCCTTGTTATTGTCACGGCTGTCTACGGAACGGCAGAGAACAAGACAGCTTGGCAAAGCAGAAAGTAAACCCCCCCGATGGTAAGCTGGGAGGACATGGCCGAAAGAGTCTCACTCAGCCAACGCTTGATGCGTGAGCCGCCCAATCGACGTCCGCCGGGGATTTTTATCGACCCCCTGGTCTCCGGTATCCTGCCGACTCCTCTTTTCGGATCAGTGGCTATCGTCGGCAGTCATTCGCCTTTCGTCTTGCTATTACCCCAAAGCTTGAGGTGATTCTCTCGGGCACCGCTCCGCACAATCGCGTCAACGGACGGGAGAAGAGGAGGGGAGAGGGGGCCCCCTCGTGCAGCCTGTGGAATCGGGTATCCATCTTTGCATCGCCAGTGGACCGACCCTTTGGCGACGCAACGCGGGAAAGTCGTTGTTGGATGGGACGCGTCGATACCCGCGACGAAGCAAACCCTTCGTTTTCGTTATCGTTGGCCTTGTTCGGCTCTGACGTTTGCCCCGTCAGGGATTGTCCTACCACCCCCCGCGCGCCCACCATGTGGTCGCCTCAACCACAGCTGTCGCCCCGGTCCTCTGCTTATCTCTGCGGGGCGTTCTAGTATTGCGAAATGGGGGTCCCGTTACTCAATCTTGTCTATCATTGTCCCCGAGTAAGTCGCATGCGTCGTGGTACACTACTGATTTGCGCCTCACAGGAACCGGGAGACGTCAGATGAAGGTTGCTATGCTAGTTTAACTAAACCTGGCAGGGAGAACGGGGGCCGCAGGCAAGGTAGTAGAGTAGTAGTACCGTCGGGAACCAGGGATGGGGGGTTATACATGATCCAAACCCATCTATATAGAACAGATCATGTCCCCTCGCTCACTCGGCCTGGTTCGCTGTCCTCGTCTTGTAATCCCATTCGGTCTGATCGGCGATATCTCAGAGATACTTGCCGACCTCGCTCAGACGACATCCGTTTCTATACAGTCGGGCCCCTCGGATCAAAAAAACAGCCGCAACGCGACGCCATCATCATGGCATCCGTGACGGAAGAAAAGACTGTCGGCCTCAGCCGTGCCGACAGCACCAACAGCAACAAGCTCGGCCAGGTCATGTCTGGCGACGGCGCCGCCGTCGCCCAGAAGTACGGCGAGACCCAGCGCGGTCTCAGTCCCCGTCATGTCCAACTCATGGCCATTGGAGGTTCCATCGGTACGGGTCTCTGGGTGAGTTCCTCTCTTCCGAGCTCGGTTTGCAATTGCAACGGTCCGACGGAAAGCTGACGGTTGTAAAGGTCGGTATCGGCGGTGTCCTCTCCAAGGCCGGCCCTCTCTCGCTCCTCCTCGGTTACACCTTCTGGGGACTGCTTTTCATCTGGCCCCTCAACCTGTCTGTGGCCGAGATGTGCGCCTACCTGCCCATCCGCGGCACCATCTTCGAACTCGCCTCTCGCTTTGTCGACCCCGCTCTTGGTTTCGCCATGGGATGGACGTATTTCTTTGCCGGTCTCATGTTGGTGTGCACAGAGTACAGCGCGGTGGCCACCGTCATCAGCTACTGGAACGCGGATATCAACCCTAGTGCCTGGATCGCCGTCGCCATGATCTCGTGTGTCGCCGTCAACTTGATCGCCGTCAAGTACTACGGAGAGTCGGAGTTCATCATGGCCTCGACAAAGGTCGTCTTGCTCGTCGGCCTGTGCCTCATCACCCTCATCACCATGTCCGGCGGCAACCCGACGAACGACGCGTACGGATTCCGCAACTGGGGCGACGGTAACCACATACACGCCTACTTCACCGACGGCTCGACCGGACGCTTCCTGGGATTCTGGAAGGTTGTCATCTACGCCGCCTTCACCATTGCCGGCCCCGACATGATTGCGCTTGCGGCTGGCGAGATCCAGAACCCCCGCCGCACCATCCCCCGCGTCGCCAAGCTCATCTTCTACCGCCTCGTCGGCTTCTACATCGTGGGCGTCCTCTGCGTCGGAATCATCTGCAGCTCGCGCGACCCTGGTCTGCTGGGCGCCATTGAGAATGGCGAGCCCGGCGCTGGCGCTTCGCCCTGGGTTATTGGCATCAAGAACCTGCACATCAAGGCCCTCCCCGACATCATCAACGCCTTCATCTTGCTTTCTGGATGGTAAGTTTCACTCCGGTGACAGAAGGAAAAAGAAAAGTCCGCCAAGGACGCTAACAGTTTCCCAGGTCTTGCGGCAACGCTTACCTCTACTCCACGTCCCGCACTCTCTACGGTCTTGCTCGCGATGGCCAGGCTCCCAAGTTCCTGCTCAAGTGCACGTCCGCTGGTGTCCCCATCTACTGCGTCCTCATCGTCACCCTCATCTCCTGCGTCACCTTCCTCGTCTCATCCAACTCCGCCGTCGAGGTGTTCTTCTGGTTCGTCGACCTGACCACGACCGCCCTGATCATGACCTACACCTTCATGCTCATCACCTACATGGGCTTCTACCGCGCCCGCGTCGCCCAGAACTTCCCTCCCGAGACGCTGCCTTACCTCGCGCCCTTGACCCCCTACTTCCCCGCCTTGGCGTTGCTCCTCGGCATCCTCGCCCTCATCTTTGTCGGCTTCGACAACTTCTACCCCTTTAGCGTGCGAGGATTCATCACCTCCTACTTTGGTCTCATCTTCGGCATCTTCACTTTTGTCGTCTGGAAGGTCTTGAAGAAGACCAAGTTTGTCCAGCCCAAGGAGGCCGACCTCATCAGCGGAAAGGCCGAGGTCGATGCCGAATGCCGCCACTGGGAAGAGGGCGGCATTGAGGATGTGGAAAGGCAGAGACTGTCTCAGATGTCGGTTCTCCGAAGAACATGGGAGAAGATGTGGTAAAAGCCTTTTTGTGATTAGATGATACCTACTTTTGTTACCGTTACAATGACAACTATTGTCAACTCAAACTCGAGTCTGCTTTCTGGACAAACTGCCTTGTCATCCAAAAGACATGTCCCTGTGTCTCTCCTCACACCCAAGCCAATCAACTAATTAGTGCCCAGAGTCATCATATTGCTTTAGTGTTAAACACACCCTCGTCAGTGGTTCCAACGGGTCCTTGAGACCTTTGTCTAAATTACGTAAAACCCCAACTTCCCCCGCCTCTGGTTGAGTATTTGCGGGGAAATTTGTGCCTGATGCTGAGTCGCGTTCCGGATGCAATTTCACCTCTCTTGGCACAACTCCAGGTCGCCTGACCAGCTCGCAACGCCGGTTCAGGGATCACTTGCTCGTAACGTTGATGTCGGCTTTCAGTTATGCGGTCCACAAGGTACTCAACATCTCGACAAAAGGCCTGTCAGCAGTGCGCCACGTCCAAGATCAAGTGCGACCGGAAAGCAAGGATATGTTCCCGGTGTCGAAAACGGGGCCTTGCCTGCACCTACGTCCAAAGCCAGGCGTCTCTTCCATCTGAACCGGGCACTACCGGGATCTCCGACGGAGCCGAGTCCGAGGTCATACTTGGCTCTGCAGCAACAGGCATCGCAACAGAAAGCGCAAATTTCCCGTCCCAAGCAGCTCAACAGACCGCTTTTCACAGGCCAGGCTTCTCTGAGGCACTCCGGTTTCCTTCAAACCCTGAGCGAGTAGAAACGGCAACAGGAGAAGATGCTTCGACACCGGGTACATGTCAAGTTCCTGGGCATCGACAGGGACAACCAGCTGCCAACAGCGGCATTCCCGCAGCATCGAGTACCCGTCGAGCAGATGAGCTGGATTTCGCCTGTCTTGAGCTGACATGCCCCATCAACGCCGACGACATCGCCAATCGATGGTTGAATAGTTTCGTCCCGTTGCCAGGCCAGCAGACGAAAAGCTACACCCCTCTCATATCAGCATTCATTCACAGAATTCTGAAATCATACGCCAACTCTACTATTCGCGGCCGCAAAGTCCCGCCCTTTGTTCACTGGTCTCAAGTGAGCCTACAGTCAAGCATCCCTCTTTCGACCTGTGTTTCCGTCCTGCAGCAAGTATGCAACGAGTCGGTTACTAGGGGTCTCAAGGCCTCAGCTGAGATTCTGCAACATGAGATGACGAAACTCTTTGACCGACACCCAACGGTGGATGACATGGCTCTGCTCGCAACTTTTCAAGCACACTTGATTTATTCCCTGGTCCTGTTTTTTCAACTCACACAAGAAGACTATCCATTCCTATCGCAAGGCATGATGAACACACAGGAGCTGGCATGCGCAGCCGCAAAAAAGGGTCTGGTCTGCGTGGCCGAACAAGAGGGGACCCGTCCCACATGGGAGTCTTGGGTAGTAGCTGAGGCAAAACGGAGGACTCTCTTTACAATGTGTCTCTTTGACAGTGCTTTGCTTTCTCACGATGGACTCCCGACGCACCTCGCCACCGAGCTGCGTGGACTGCTCGCACCAGCAAGTAAGTCTCTATGGGAATCTCGAAACCGCCATGACTGGCAGAACAAGTATGACCTTCATCTAGCAGAGTGGCCGGATGGAGGCCTGCGCATAGACGAACTGTGGCCTATGCCAGAAGATCTGAACAAAGAAGGAATCAGCAAAAGACGTGGTAGGGTAGATGCATGGCTAGAGGACCTGGATGAGTTTGGAACGGCCATCTATGCAGTCACAAGCGGCACACATGGTACTTGAATCCTGATTGGAGATTATCGATCTCTTGGAGTCTTGATAAAAGCTCGTGCCACAGTTACACATGTTGATCTTGTCACAACTCAGATCAGACTATCGTGATTATCTCCTCATCAGCATCCGCGAACCAGTCCCGGCTTGGAATTTCTTCGGTGCGACAGAATCCAACGCGACGGAACTGATTCTTCTCGTCTGTTGGCTCCAAGAGCAATCCATGCCAGCGACTCGGCTCCATCGGTTTTCGTGCCACCTGTAGGTAGTGTAGAGACCGCTCTTTGCCGCTGTATTTCTCGTCGAAATATGCCAGACCAACCATCTCGTCATTGCAATTGAGAAAGTCGATGGCCAATTCTTTTGGATATGTTGGAAACCGCTTGTGGCCGGGAGTCGCGGGGTCGACACGTGAATCAGCAACCTTCAGTTTCCCTTTAAGCTTTAGACATCCAGACCGTAGCATTCCTCGTGGGTCTAGACCGAGGGGCGTCGTGTGGACATCTACAATGTCAATCATGATCTCCATCTCATTCCCGTAAGGCGCCATGGTCGCAATTTCTGGCATATAGACACGGCCCTCCAAAGAAGCCCAGCTCCAACTTGGGGCACGATAACCATCCGCAGGCTTGCGAAGCCACTGCTCACTCCGGCGCCACAGCAAGCCATAAGCCAAGTGAAATCCCCACAGCCCTGCCACGTACTTCTGTCCGGTGCATTCTTCCATGGCATTTGCGAGGCCGGAGAGGGCGGGTAGCCTGTCATAAGACTTCGTAATGCCTCTGCTGGTGTAAGCTGACACCATATCATACCAGTCCCAGACAAAGTTGGGTCTGGAGCGGCTTTGAGAAAAGGGGTATGAGAAATGGAGACGCTCGTCCCATTCCGCGTTTCCTGCACCGCCAAAGGCACCAACAGGAACTCCATCCTCTGTCAGACGAGATTCCCGGCATTCCCATAGCAGTTGATCCGTATCATAGTGGATCATCCGTGCTGATAGAAGACGTTCCTGTGTTACCCAGGCACGACTATGGAGGGCGCTCATCGGAAGGTGACTGAAATCTCGAGGGCGAGGTCGGACAAAGACCGAGGTCGATCGTGGATCCCCCGAATCGCGCACCGTAAACCTAACCTTGACATCTGTAGACGTACTGCGAGACCTGAAGCAGCCGCCGGTCGAGTCTTTGGAAGCCGAAGCTGCGATAGTTAGGTAGGAAGACGCATAGATCGTGCCCATCTTGACGCTCTCCAGTTCCCAGTCTTCTGTCGAGTCTTGGACGATGCAGAGCGAATCGATCCAGATGTACTGGATACCAAGTGACCACGTGATCAGAACCGCATCTCGGAAAGTTTGGGGCAACTTTCCTAGCGGTAGCGCTTTGAGATGGTCTTCTATGGTCTCGCTAGTTGTGCGGATTACCGGATGCAAACCCCAGCAGTGACTCAAAGTCACGTAGCGACCAGCCGCTCCACCAGTGACAACCAGACGTGGCTCTCGATGTCCATCGAGGCCGACGTCAACGACCCTCGTAGGCAACGCGCCAGGATCTGAATGGCAGCCCTTGTGAACCCTATCGCAAGACGTAACCCAGTCGTTCACAAGACTGATCTGCTCTTCTGGGGGCTTGATGAGTCTCCCAATTATCGCGCCCTCTAACCCTTGTGTTTCCTCTTCGGGATAAAGACCGAAATAAGAGTATGCTCTGGGGCTGAGGGTGTCGCAACGAACCTTGACCCAGAAAAGACCGCTAGGCAAGTAATCCTCATCCTGGTATCGGATCCCGCGTAGGATGACCCGTGAATTGGGGTCGCTCCAAGTCGACTCGTCAACACCAACTCCTTCGTCTCGGAGTTTGTTCGTGATAGAGCTGAAAAAGAGTCGGCACAGGTCGCAGGATGTGGTGCTCTCCTTGAGTACGGCGAGGGAGTCGTGTAGGACCAGGTCTTGGAGTTCGTCGTCTTCGTCTAAGAGATCGCCGAGATCCAAGCGGCTGCAAGCTTTGCATAATGGCATATCGTCGAGTGGGATCGGCTACAGGCCACCGAGATGACTACGAAGTGACGTTGGCAATCGTAAGCTGAAGGCCTCGTTGAATTTTCCCACCGCGCCAACGTGATAGGTTCGATCAAGACTAAACCAATGAGATGCGAGTCGGCTGCCTATGCCAAGGGCAACTGTGCATCTGGTCGAAACAGTCAGCACAGATTAGAGCAGTCCACCAAGGTGACCAAAGGCTCTTTTATAATCCTCGAGTCCATGTTCGAAAGTTACACACTAACCAGTAACGCATTTGCGAGACGGCTGCACCGCATGACTATCTACAACCGGATAGTGCGCATCAATGTTGATTCGTACGAACAGCGGTATATGGCTACTAGCGCAATAATTTTGAAGACTGTCAATGCTTGTGTTATTCGTTTGTATATGTATTATTCCCCGGTGTTCAATAGTCAGAGGGGGCAACGACGTTCTGCTAGAGGACATCAGCCACATCATCATAGGATCGCACAACGACGTTGCTAGGAAGATTCAAAAGCGGCCTCATAAAAGTCGGAAAATGAGCGCATGATCTATCCGGATTGGCTCTTAGAAGCTTCCTAGCGATTAGAAAGTCATCATCAATCAATAGCGTGCTTGGAGGCTAATATGCACCGGAGCTAGTTCTTGGCTACGGTTGTGATTAGGCCGGCGATAGATTCCTGTGGTTCATTAGCCTCTCAACTCGTCTTGTGGGATTAACTATACCCCGCTTTGCTATACTCGTCCGCTACAGTGACACGGGCCCACACAGCAGCAGACTTGTTACCTCGAGAGTCTGCACCTAAATCTTGAATATGCCCTCACCGTTGAATTCTAATTAACTTATGAACAACAACAACAACAATTGCAAGTCTCGTCACTTTCAAAAGCTTTCTACGCCAGTTGATTCAGATAGCTAAGAGCTATATAACGATGCTAATCTTTTTATAATCAACGTTTTCGCGATGGGAGCACTTTAATCCTACGCCTAGTAACAGTGAGTGTTGTAGGGGATATACTCCGCGATAATGCTACTCCGCCTTCGGGTTGACCTATCCGACTATATAGCCTATCTGCTGCCTAAGCAGTTGTATGTTAATCTGCCCTGCTTTTTACTGCCTCCTTTTTATGTAGGGGAGTTATATTCTAATATCTACCTCGCTAGTACCTATCATTGCAAGGTTCTTTTGGAGGCAACCGCTGGGTACATATGTCTAGCGATATAGTTATACCTCGCTAGTGCTGTAAATCCTTGAATGATATAAAGTCTGCTTGTCTGTCAAAAGGGTTAACCTCCTCTGGTAACTGTATATCGTTAGACTCTTGCTTGGATAGTTGTTGCCCGGATGGTTGTTATAGCTGCTCCTGTAACCACCTCTCTATCTCTAGTATGAGCGGCAAGGCGTAAGCCACTTTCAGCCTTTCTGTATAGTTCATTTCAGTAGCCTAGAGCAGACGTACAGATTTATCAGTATCACTCTCCTGCTTCTTGTTCTTACGTACCATAATGGCATCCTCCTCATCCTGCAATAGGGCCCGTAGCCGACGATTAGGTGATGGGGCAGTATCTGACTTTAGCAATATATTAAGCAGTTTAGTAGCAGACTTCAGTTTGCCCTTTTTGTCCTTAGTGCTGGCCTTAATATAGGCGACTTCGTGTTGAGCGGCCAAGTAAAGGATACCATAGTATTCTGCGGCAAACTAGATAGTTTGCCAGCGAGCCCAGATAGTATAACACAGCCTGCCTAGCCTTCGGACAAGTATCGGGGTTGAAACTAGGCATGTTGGATAGCTCTCAATTAGCTCAACTGATTGATATAACAATTATTTAAAGCTGACGATAGTTGCAATTGTTGTTGTTGTTGGCAAGTTGGTTAATATTCAACGAAGGGCAGATTCAAGATTTAGGTGCACACTCTCACGCAGTCGAGTGTGTCGTATGGATACCCCACTCTAACGCGCGGGTACGCTTTCGCTGCTAGAGGATTGGCGGTACTGCAGAGGCTCTAGGATATGGCTCATGTCTTTGCATGGCAAGATATGTTTTGATCGTGGGTTGATACCATCCATGCCTTACTAACACGCTGCATTCAAGCACATTGCATGAATCGCGCGGAATGTAGATACCCGAAAGACAAAGGCACTGTTCAAGCGACAAGAGACACAATCAATCATTCGATCAATATTGGCAGAGGGGCATGTCCAACTTCTAATTGCGACATTTTTGCTTCGACTTTGAATCGAAGAAACACAACAGAATTCAGTGCACAATTGACTTGTAATGCACGTCTTAACAGATGATTACCTCGTAAATGTAGCTGTGCTTATCAACGATCCGCCAGCCCTTTGGCCAAGCACCTCCGCTGGCCTCTCACCATATTTTTCTAACCTTTTCTCCATCTACGCAGCTAAGAGGAACTCCAAAGCAGTGATGACAAAAAGCGGGACCGTAATTGCTAATGTATAATTACGGCTAATATCGACATAAACGCGATCCGCTATAAGAGGCGGTCAGTCTTCCGTGCAGACACAAGCAAGCAGAGGGGGCTGGCCCCCAACGTTCCTGTTGAGGGGCACCAAAAAGGCACTCAATGGTTGTTCTGCGCTAATACTTGCCAGTCACTTTCCGGGGTTATACATGCATCGGGTGCAAAAGTTTCCGAGCAAGGAGTACACTAGCATTGAATCAACGTCTTCTGCAGAACCGTCCAAAAAGGAAGATTTGCAGGGCCATGCTTTGGTCCGATGGAACCACGGGGTAACTAAAAGCTTGGCTGCTGGTCGCGATGATGTCCGTCTGCGCGAGCTCGGTCGGTATGAAAGGAGGCCTCTATGCCTGACGGGCCTCCGACTTGCCGTGATGGATCTCGTCATCGGTGTAAACGCCAACTAACATAAGGTTCTGAGTCTAGACCTCGTGAAGCTCTTGGTCAGGCTGTGCATGTTAGAAACTGTCTTATCGACTCCATTATTTAATCGTTAAAGTGGCCTTAAGATAGAGTCATGAATTATAAACAGAAAAGTTTTCACGCATAAACACAACACATGGCTTACAGCCAAGAGGTTGACTGCTACACAATTCACCAGCTCTGCAACATAGAATCTTGCCCCTTGTGTCAAGGCGCCCACGGGAACAACGAGGCGGAAGAGAAACAGGAGCTTACATCCGCCCAACGGCCGCCAACGAGAGGCCGGAAACACTCAACCGAGAAGGGAATTGCACTCCACTCGATATGATTAGGTAGAGGCAGGATCTCGCGGCGCGGCAATGACAGGGAAAGATTTGGCGAGGTTGTATTACTCCGTACATGTGCTCCCCTGACCTGCTATCCGAAGCTCTTGGTGTGTTTCCGGCGCCGGCGGCGCGACGACAAAACTTTCCCGTTGCCCCTCGTCGAACGGGAATCTGCACCCCCTCTTTCGTGTGTCTTACTTCTTGGCCTGTCTCCGGTGCCAAAGGAGAAGCAAGTCCCGCGCCATCTGGATTTCCAGCCTGTCAAATGCGTCTAAACCTTCCTCTTGGCAGAGGAAAACTCGTCACATCCTGATGACCAGCCGCTTATTCTTTGCCCAAAAATCCCTCGTCCCACCCCTGTCTCTGAACGGGTCTTTGCCAATCTTTGACTAGTCTAATCTTCCCTCGCTTCCTCCTTCCTGTTTGCTTCGAGCCTCACCTCTCACACCCACCCCGAGAAGCTCTCCTTGATCGTCGTCGACTAATAGCTCTATGAATCCCCTCTTAAACCGCCAAGCCTGCATCATGTGCTGTTCGGTCGTTTCTAAGGTGGGCTAGAACTACGTCCCAGCGGATCGTCTTCCCCCCCTCCCTCCACACACACATCCCATAATGCCTATTCGTTTAAGCTTGTCAGAACGGTTCCCGGGTCCAGTTCACCTCCTGCCCCCCAGGCTTATCAGATGCCATTAACGATTGTGTCCTGAATCGTGGCAGTGCTGCTCTTGCCGGGGGTTCAGGTACTTTCTTTTTTGCCGCTCTTTCGGAAAGTGGAGAGCTATGATCGATATGGACATGGACATAGGTAGATGCTTGAGCTCCGAGTGAGCTGTTGACGAAAAGATGCCCTTCGAACGGGTATTCATATCTAGGCGCCGCTCCTTCGGCTCGTCTTGCTCCTGGGCTCGACAGCACTTTCTCTTATCTGCCAGTCTGTACATGATCCTCCTTCATGATGGCTGACAACTTCCTCAGCCCCAACCCCACACATGCGGACGCCCGTTCGCGGGCGACCAGTGATGCAGACACCATCACTCCTGACGGGACGAACCCTTTTCTCACGCCGTCCGGAACGGCTGCCCCCAGTACTGTCGCCGGAAGTTCCGATCTTGAAGATGCGGAATCTGCCTTGCACCCGGACCCGGGCACCGAGAACGATTTCCGCGTCGAGAACAACCCCTTCGCCTTTTCTCCCGGGCAGCTGAACAAGCTCCTCAACCCCAAGTCGCTCTCCGCGTTCCGAGCTCTCGGTGGTCTGCGAGGAATTGCCCGCGGAATTCAAACCGACGTTCGGAGCGGTCTCAGCGTCGACGAGACGGGTGTTGGATCCACCATCAGCTTCAACGAGGCCGTCGAAGGCCACGCCAACAGCAAGCCGGCTTCTTCTCCGGAAAAGCACATTCCCTCCTCCGCAACATCATTCGTCGACCGAACCAGGGTTTACGGTCGCAATGCGCTTCCTCCGAAGAAACCCAAGTCCATTTGGAAGCTCATGTGGATCGCTTTCAACGAGACGGTACTTATTCTCTTGACCGTTGCTGGAGTCATCTCCTTGGCACTTGGCTTATATGAAACTCTCGGCGTGGACAGAGGCCCGGGAGCACCGGCGTCCGTCGAATGGGTTGAAGGCGTCGCGATCCTCGGAGCAGTCATCATCGTCGTCATTGTCGGTTCCCACAACGACTGGCAGAAGGAAAAGGCGTTTGTCCGATTGAACACAAAGAAGGATAATCGCGAGGTCAAGGTCATCCGATCCGGCAAATCGGTCATGATCAACGTCAACGAGATCCTTGTGGGAGATGTTCTCCACCTCGAGCCTGGCGACATGGTACCTGCAGACGGCATCTTGATCGAGGGCCATGAAGTCAAGTGCGACGAATCCTCGGCGACGGGAGAGTCCGATGTGCTCAAAAAGACTGCCGGCGACCAGGTCATGAAGCTCCTGGACTCGAAGCACGGCAACCATGATGATCTGGACCCATTCATCATCTCCGGTTCAAAGGTTCTTGAAGGTAGGTTTGCTATCAAGTCCCTAGCACCGTGGCTTCGCTGACCACCAAAGGCATGGGAACATACCTTTGCACATCCGTCGGTGTTTACAGCAGCTTCGGCAAAATCATGATGTCGGTACGCTACGATATCGAGGCCACGCCTCTTCAGAAGAAGCTCGAACGGCTAGCCATCGCCATCGCTAAGCTTGGCGGAGGCGCGTCTGCCTTGATGTTCTTCATCCTGCTGTTCCGTTTCGTGGCCAGCCTTCCCGGAGACGACAGGCTGCCCGCGGACAAAGCATCGACCTTCATGGACCTGCTCGTGGTTGCTATTGCCATTATCGCCGTGGCAGTCCCCGAAGGCTTGCCGCTCGCTGTGACCCTGGCCTTGGCGTTTGCCACCACAAAGCTGCTGAAAGAGAACAACTTGGTTCGTGTGCTCAGAGCTTGCGAGACAATGGGTAATGCGACAACAATTTGCTCCGATAAGACAGGAACACTGGTAGGACCGACCTGATTTTGCTTGCCTTTTTGGAACTATACAGAAGCTGACAGGAACCCAGACGACGAACAAAATGACCGTCGTTGCTGGTACCTTTTCCACTAGCAGTTTCACGGCATTCGCTCAATCTGACGACGGAAAGTCTTCCGGTTCTTCTCCACACGTGTCTGCTTGGGCAGCAGCTGTACCCCGAGCAACAAAGGAACTCATCGTTCAGTCTGTTGCTGTAAACTCGACGGCCTTTGAGGGCCAGGAGGAGGGCCGATCGACTTTCATCGGATCCAAGACCGAGACAGCCCTCCTGCAGCTCGCCAAGGACCACCTCGGGCTCCAATCCCTTGCTGAGGCTCGCGCCAACGAGCAGGTTGTGCAGATGCTTCCGTTCGATTCGGGGAGGAAATGCATGGCGGCGGTCATCAAACTTCGGGACGCCTCCAAGGGCTACCGCCTTCTGGTCAAGGGTGCCTCCGAAATCATGCTTCGCCACTGCTCATCCAAGGCCGACCTCGAGACCTTGGCCGAGGAGCCTCTCACCTCCGCAGAGCAACAGTTGTTGGATGCGACTATTAACTCATATGCCCGTCGATCCCTCCGCACCATTGGCCTCGTGTACAAGGACTTTCCCCAGTGGCCACCCGCAAACATGCCCTCTGAAGATGGGCACGTGAAGCTTGAATCGCTGTTGGATGCCTCTGACCTGGTGTTCCTTGGAATCGTCGGAATCCAGGATCCTGTGCGTGCTGGTGTGCCCGAAGCAGTCAGAAAGGCACAACATGCCGGAGTTACCGTCCGAATGGTTACAGGCGATAACATCGTCACGGCGCAAGCTATCGCGACAGAGTGTGGCATCTTCATAGGATCCCAGGGGGTGGTTTTGGAAGGGCCAGCTTTCCGAAAGCTTTCCGACGAAGACATGAACGCCATTCTCCCGAAGCTACAGGTGTTGGCCCGTTCATCCCCCGAGGACAAGCGCATTCTCGTCACAAGACTGAAGGCACTCGGAGAGACGGTCGCCGTTACTGGGGACGGCACAAACGATGCCCCGGCTCTGAAGGCAGCAGACGTCGGCTTTTCCATGGGCATTTCCGGCACCGAGGTCGCGAAAGAGGCCTCTGCAATTGTCCTGATGGACGATAATTTTGCCTCGATTGTAACCGCACTCAAGTGGGGTCGTGCAGTCAACGATGCAGTGCAGAAATTCCTGCAGGTGAGTCCACGTTGTTCGGCTGCGGATGGCCCGGTTCCTGTCCTCCCGGCTTTCCAGCCGTTGTCCAACCAAGATATGAGTGACTGACCAGTGTACGAATACAGTTTCAAATCACGGTGAACATCACAGCAGTTGTGCTGGCTTTCATCACAGCCATGTACGACCCCCATATGGAGCCTGTCCTGAAAGCTCTCCAGTTGCTCTGGGTCAACCTTATCATGGATACATTTGCAGCACTCGCGCTGGCAACGGATCCCCCAACTGACAAGATTCTCGACCGCCCGCCGCAGAGGAAAGATGCCCCGTTGATCACCATCAACGTAAGTTGCAACTTACTCCGGAGCACAGACAACTTGACTGACATGTCGGATCTTAGATGTGGAAAATGATCATCGGACAAGCAATCTTCCAACTCATCATCACCCTCGTGCTATACTTCGCTGGTCCCGAGATTCTGAACTACGACAGAAGTAACGAGGATCAGATGCTTCAGCTCGACACGCTCATCTTCAACACGTTTGTGTGGATGCAAATCTTCAACGAATTCAACAACAGACGGTTGGACAACAAGTTCAACGTGCTCGAGGGCGTCCAGCGCAACTTGTTCTTCATCTTCATCAACATCATGATGATCGGCTTGCAGGTCGGCATCGTCTTCGTGGGCGGACGCGTCTTCGAGATAAAGGAAGGTGGTCTCAACGGCACCCAGTGGGCGATTTCCATCGTCGTTGCTTTCATGTCCCTCCCCTGGGGTGTACTAGTCCGCATTTTGCCGGACGCCTGGTTCGGAAGGGTAGCGGCCTTTGTTGGCAAGCCGTTTGTCGTGGTGTACAAGTTCCTCGAGAGGGGTTTCGGTCGGATCGGTGGGCTATTCAAGAGAAACTCGCCCAACAAGGCCGCAAACGACGAAGAAGTACCAGCGACGATTGTGATTTCCCCGCCCAACGGGAAGCGGCAGTAAAACTGATCTAGAAACGCAGCCGAGTTTATCGGCATAGGGTACAGGAACGGGAACGGTAGAGACATAAGGCGTTGATACACAATTGATCGATTACTGGCTTGATCATATGAGGTTTGAATTATACGGGCAACACGCACAATATCACGACGTATTTTATAAAAATCGAAAGTTTATATGTTAGATTGAAATGTTTCAGACACTGCCTTACATAACGTGAGCTTTGACGACTAAGGAACCCAGTCCATAGAGAATGCCGACTAGCACAGAGAGGCTTTCGGCTGACATAACCTAATAAGGTATGAGTTCTGCTTTACAATGAATACCTGAACTCCTTATTTTGGCGGTCGGTCATGTCACTGAACTCGACATCTTTCAAGTGTCCAAGCTCCTGGTTTTCCGCAAGTCTCTGACGTCGCTTGTTCTCCCTGATGTAGTAGAATCTCAGCGTCAAGGTGAAGAGAATGGCCAAACAGCATGTAGCAATGATTGCAATTTTTGCAGGAACGTATTCAGGGGCGGATTCGGCCGTGAAGGTTAGAGGTCCAATGATGTTACCGATACAGAAGCAGACGAGCAGGGTGGCATTCATAGTGACCTGTAAGGCGTCAGTAACGGCCGACAGTTTTCCCTCATTTGTGCTCACCTTCTTTGTATGCCCGGCATAGTTGGCGCCAACCAAGGAGTAGAGAAGAGGGAGTGACGCGCCAATGCAGTTCGTCATGTAGTTGCCGATAAGCCTGCCCGCCTTGTTGTCGGCGGGGAGGAAAGCCATGAGCGCGGCGCCGATGACTCCGGGGACGAGGAGACAGACTATATTGATGGCCCGCTGGTTGAAACGGCCCGCGACGTTTGTTGCTGCCAGAATAGAAACGATGCTGACCGCGCCCGACGGGATGGACAACAATGCCGTCTCCTTGGAAGTGTACCCGAACCCCTTGATGATGGTGGCCTGAAACGACGATATGGCGCCATTTGGAACGTTCGAGGCGATGGTAATGAGCGCCAGGAGGTAGGTTTGCGCGTCCGTGAAGCACTCGATGAACTGCGGCCATTTGAAGTGCTTGTTCTCGACGCCTGTCTGGTTTTCTCGCAGACGCTCAATAGCCCAGACCTTTTCTTCCTGGGAGAGGAACCGAGCGCTCATGGGGTTATCGGGGAGGACGAGAACCACCGTGACGCCAATGGCAATGGTGATCAAACCGCAGACGAGGAACATGATCTGCCAAGAAGTGAAGCTCGAGCTTGTATAGTGCTGGAAGCCGAAGGAAATCAGAGAGCCGACGATCGTCCCGCATCCTGTGCCGAGATACCAAATGCCCATACGGGGAGGCTGTTCTTGTCGTTTGTACCACTACGCCATGTCATCAGTTGTTTGGTTAGACCGCGAGACGATGGGAAAGAAAACAAAAAAAGCTCTTACCATGGTCGTTATCACAATGAGCGAAGGTGCAACGGCACTTTCAAAGACACCAAGGAGGACTCTCGTCGCAACCAAACCGGCCCAATCATGACAAGCCGAGGTGGATGCCAACACCGCACCCCACAAGCATACCATGATGCCGATATACTTGGCGGTGGGGAACCTCTGCATGCCCCAGGCGTGGGGAAACTCGAACGCCAGGTAGCTCACGTAAAAGATCATGGCCAGCTGCGAGTACTGGTCACCCTCGATATTCGTGTCGGCCTGCAGGCCCATGACGTTCGCGTAGTTGATCAGGGTCTTGTCGAGGTACTGGAGAATGTAGCAGGCGAACATGAGCGGTACGATGCGCCAATCAATCTTGCGCTTCAGCGCTCGCTCGTCCCCGGCGGTCATTGGCCTGACGTCGCCGCTGTTCCGTAGGAAGTCGAGGGCGGCATCGGCGTTGTGGATGTCCTTGACCTCGCCGACCAGCACTTCCGGCTGGCTGTCAAGAGCCACAGGGGCCCTTTCGACGTCCATCTTCTCGTTGGAAGGCATTTCGGAAACCTGGTCGGACCTGAAGGTGTAGGCCGGGCTCAATGCTCTATCGATCGAGAAGACGGTTACACCGAACCTCTTATGGTCGAAGCAAACGATAGCCCATGATCCATGTCCGAAGATTGCCGTTGGTCTATGACGCATGTGCCACGGTAGAACCGGGGTGAATACGTGGATACAATCGCATGTTCCCCGACATTCTCATTGATAAGTATGGGATGATGACCGTGAGCGTTGAGCTCTGGCCAATCGAGCACGGCAGCACCCCATAGACCATCCCGTTGCAGGAAGGTGACTGGGGGGTTAGTAGGCTGGCCATCGGTAGTTGTTATCTCTGTACGGAAAAGAAGAAGCCGAAAGGCCAGAGAACTGCCGATCACGCTGCGAGCCAACACTGCTCGTACATGATAGAGCCCTGCGGCCTCCGCATAAATGGCCGATAGCGATACTGTTGCTTCGGAATTGGAGGGCTGACCGGGCATGCTCGGAGTTGTCAAGCGTGGAATGGAACGGCCAGATAAGGCCAGGCCGGTGGCGGAGGAGTCTCCGATGATTGAGCTTGATATGATATGACAGAGGGTTGCAATGTGTAAATGCGTCCGGCTGGTGTAAATGAGGGAGTCGACTGACGCCTCCAAATGCTTATCAGATTGTGCCTATCTGAGTGTTACAATGCAATGCAAGGCATACTTCCGGATAAGACTCGATTCAGTACAAATATATGATTCGTTGTTTATATCAACTGGGCTTCTTGGAGGAACTCCACCTCAACATAACAGGGGTCGTGCAATGATTGTTTGGGACTAGGCAATGACGACAGAAAGCACAGTTAGATCATACAAGCAACAGATTGAATTGGAAATGCCATTTTTCGTGTCACGGCACATCAGCCCTAGCTGTTATATGTCTTTCACCAGTTGCTCTACTAGGCTTTCTGTCACTTGATTGATGGCCAAGGGCCGGCGGGTGATAGAGCTTCCAGACACCGAATTAGTGAAATCAGGCTAGACAGTCACAGCTTCAATACAGGCTTGCCTAGCCGGCCATCTTCCCGCACTTTGAGCTCACTGTGATTAGGGAGAGATCACTTAAGGGCGTCTTGACATGTCACACTAAACCCAAGAAACACGAAGCCCAACCATAAGTGACCGGGATCAGTCCAAGGACCTCCTCACCGATTCTCTTTCAGACGTGAAGCGTTATGCCTTGGTTCTCTTTCCTATGACCGGGTTCATCGCTCTTGGTCTGCCCCCCAGGTAGGTTTTCTGTATGGGGTTTTACTCCACGGCGGGGCCGGGCACACCGGAGTTGGTGGAGCGGACCGGATCCGTGGACGGTACGGGCCGGAAGGCGGGGGGAGGGGGGGCGAAGGGGCATAGAGGACCGGCCAGGTGCTCTCGGGATCCTTGTCTAGCGAGTGGGTTCATCCACTCTACGCAACAGCGGTCGCGAGGACAAGGATGCCGCCCGAAGTGAAGAGAACTCGTTCTAGCTTTCGGCTGTGTTAGACCACCTTTGGCCAAGTGTAGTAGGCTTGTCATTATTAGTCCTCGACCATTCAACTAGGTATTGCACCATAGAGCGTAAAAGGATAACACGAAACGCCTGGATGAGGGGATTGACCGTAAAGCGTTTGATGACATAGGAGAATTCATTTTGTAGAGTATGTCTTGGCTATACACAATTTGCAGACCATTTGGGGCTGCCCTCTTTTCATCCATCCGTTTGAACCTCGCCGCTTCCCCCCGTCATATCGATACAGACTTTGAGTGAAATACAACCCTCGCCGCCATTACCACATCATCTCCAACATCCGCATCTCCCCTCCCCAGTCGACGTTTAGTGTCCACCCCCTCTCGCCCTCTTCGCGCCCGCGCCTCCGCCGGCCTCGGAGTCACCTCTTGGCCTCTTGTTTCCGGGCTGGAAGTCATTGGCGCCGGGGTTCAGAGAAGCATTGTTGCCCCCTCTGCCACCACGTCCTCCTCCTCGTCCCGCCATGCCACCTCTCTCTGCGCCACCGCTTGATACCCTGTTACCGGCGGCGTACGTGCCACCGCGGCCACGTCCAGCAGCGCCACCGCGTCCAGGCAGAGGGATGCCGCTACGTGGGGCTGTTTGGCCTTGAGTAGCAGGCTGCTGTTGCGCTTGGCCTTGCTGGCCGGGTTGGCCAGCCTGCCCACCCTGAGTGCTCGAGGCAAAAGGATTCTGCTGCTGTTGCCCTTGGCCCCCTTGAGCGAAGGGGTTAGCTTGAGGTTGTGTACCGTTGGCAGCGCCGGCGGCAAACGGGTTTGCTGGAAGAGCATTGGTTGCTGCTGCTGCTGCTGCTTTGTTCTCGCCCCCGGGGACGGGGATTTGTCGTTTCTGCGGAAGGCCACTACCCGGTGGAGGAATACCGCTAGGTGCAGTGGCTGGCGGTGGAGCTTGGTTGGTGGATGCGTTGGGGGCAGCTTGGAAACAGTCAGAACTTGTCATCTGCCTCGCTTCTTCCTTTGCGTAAGACTTACCATTCGGAGCGGCGCCAGCCTGAGCTGGCGGACCGGAAGGGGCTGATATGGACGGGCGCGGTGCGGCAGGCTGTGCGGTAGGCTGAGCGTTGCCAGCGGGCTTCACCGGGCTTGTCTGAGGCGCTGCGGGAGCTGGCTTGGCAACCTTGGCCTCCTCCCACACCTCCCCGACAGGTCTTTGGGGCGTCTTGGCTGCTGCGGTAGCCACGACCTCGATCTTGGCGTTGGCGCTGCGGATTTGGTTGTCCTTCATGTTGATTTGCAGCGCAGACTTCTTCTGAGCCAGCATCTGGCCCTCCTCCCGCGCGCTTGCGATTCTCTGCTCAAACTCGACCTTCAAGCTGGTTTCTGTCTCGCTCTTAACCTTTGCAGTTTGTTCTTCCAGCTTCTTCCTAAGATTCGACGACATGATGCTGCGCACTGTGGGGTTCGTGGAAAGGAACTTCCGGATCTCGGCGTCGGGGAGCTGAGACAGGTCGGTTGGCCCGGCGGGTGTGCCAGTCATTGGCGTTGCCGAGGTTGCTTCAGGGTCTTGTTGCTTGACGGGCGTCGCAGGCACGGCTGGCTGACCGTCCGCGGATTGGCCGGGAGCGGCGGCAGCTTGGTTCTCGGCCTTCCAGATGATCTTCTCCTGCTCCAACTTGGTCCTGAATTCCTCGTCCAGCTTCTCGCGAGACTGGCGGAGCTTCTCGTTCAACGCGTTCCTCATCTTGTCTGAACGTTCCTTGATAGTCTGGGTAATGTTTGCCTCGAGCTCGTTCGCCTTGCGTTCGCATTCCGCAGCCTTGGCCTCGGCAGCAGCCACCCTATCCTCCAAAGCCTTGCGCTCCTCGTCGGACAGGCCGTTCGTGCCGTTCGCAAGTGCTGCTGCGTTGTTGGTGCCGGTGGGCTCGGGTGCAGTTTGCGTCTGTGACTGAGCAGCCTGTTGCGCCGCCTGGATAGCCTGGTCTCTCTCGGACGTGACCGTCTGTAATTGCGTTCTGAGGTTTTCGAGCTCCTGCTCGGCGGCCGCCTTCTGTGCAGATACAGCATCCAGCTGGCTTCGCATCTCGGCGAGCTGCTGCTCCAGCTGGGCGACGACCTGTGTAGACACTGAGGTCGATGCATCGGTGGGGGGCTGGGCGCCTTGAGCACCAGGCTGCGCTTGCGCAGCCTGGTCATCCTGCTGAAGCCTCTGAACTTGCTGCTGGAAGCTTTGGATCTGTTGCTCAAACTCGGTACGCTGCTGCGTCGACACTTGTAGTCTCTGCCTCGTCGATTCTAGTTCCGTATTGGCATTGTGGAGTTGCTGTTGAAGTTGATCCTTCTCGGCCACAGCGGCATCCTTCTCAGCAATAGCCTCGTTCCGCCCCGTCATGGCATCGTTCTTCTCGCCGGTAAGCTTCCGCGATCGCTCCTTGAACTGCTCCGTCATACGCTGACGGGTGTTCTGCCAGTTGGCTCGCTCAGTCTCCAACAGCTGCTTGGTTTCCTCGATTTCGGCCCGCAGAGGAGCTTCCGACTCCTTGAGGGCGTCGCGCTCAGCCTGCAATTCATTGATGGTCTGTTTGAGCTGTTCCATTTCGGCAGGATCAACACGGCCGTACTTTGTGAGAATGCCTTCGGTCCGCTTCTGCCATCTGTCGCGATCCTCTTGGACTTGCTTGATTTCCTCCTCGAGGAAACCCTTCTGGGTCTGGAGTTCCTCAATCCGAGCCTCGAGAGGCTGGACCTTGCCTTCTAGCTCCTCGATCTTGGCGTTCTTCTCGGATATCTGTGTGCGCGCCTGAGCAAGCTCGTTGCGAAGCGTAGCGCTGCTTTCACGGTAAAGATTGAGCTCGTTGAGCTTGTCCATGAGATCCTTGTGGGCGATGGATGCTTGGCCGCTCTCAGCTTGTGCGCGGCGTTCCTGATCAAGCTTAAGACGGGCCTCATCCAACTGGGATTGAGAATACTCTAGTTGTTGCTGGAGGCGTTTGGACTCTTGCACCTTGAGGTCGTACTGGACCTCCAAGATCTCCTTCTCGCGTCGGAGGTAGTTGTTGAGTTCGCGAAGGCCGTCGGCCGCGCTGTCGTTGCCGGTTTCTGCATTGTTGCCAGCATCCTCGGCAGACGCGTTGCGGCCCTCCTTGAGCGCAGAGAACTGCTTGGTGATGCTTTCCAGTTGCTCATGCAGCAGCTTGTTTTGGGCGTTGACGTCGTCACGGCGCGTTTTGATTTCCGACATCTCCTGCTCCAGTCGCTGCCTCCTCTCCTCCCAGGAGCTCTCACTCTGAGATAGGGCGACCTTGGCAGACTCGGCCTCGGCCCGCAGCGTTGCAGATTGGCTCTTCAGCTCGTTGTATTCGGTGCGCAACTGTTGGACGAGCTTGGCAGCTTCGGCATGCTTGACGAGCTCGTGTTCGTAGTCTTGCTGGGCCTTGGCCGTGATCTCGGATTGCGCACGGAGGTCCTGTTGGTGGAACTTGGCGGCCTCGGCGTGGCGCTCCGACTCTTCCTTCAACCGCTTGATCTCCTCGTCCAGGATTGTCTTCTCGTCCTCGTATTTGCGAGCAACCTCGGCCTGGGAGTCGCGCAGGTGGGACAACTCCTTGTTGGAGCTCGCCAGCTCGGTGGACAAGTCCTCGACACGCTGCTCGAGCTCCTTGATCTTGGCGTCCTTGCTTGTGAGAGCGGCCTCCATCTCCTCCCTGTACTGTTCCTGAGAGGCAGTGAACTCGGACAGAGCTTCCTCGTTCTGCTCGCTGAGCTGCTTGTACTGCTCAGTCTGCTCTTTGGCGTTTTCGAGCTGAGACTTGGCGATGTCGAGCTCTCTCTTGAGGTCGGATACCTCGTTGATGAGCTCGCGCACCTCGGCCTCAGTTTCTTGGTCGGTCTGGGTGGGAGGCGCCATGGTGCCAGGGCGGGGCGTAGGCCTGGGTGCAAGGCGACCAGCCCGCTCTTCGGCATTGCGGAGCTCGATAGTGAGCTCGTCAACCCTCGCTTGGAGATGGTCACGGCTGGTTTTGACGGCGACGTGCTCCTCCCGAATTTGGCTGAGGCTGTTGGAGAGTTCGTCGATTCGCTTCTGCGACTCGCGTGCGTCGAACTCCTTCCTGAGCTGAAGCTTCTTCCCCTCCTCCATCTCGTCGGACAACTTCCGCTTCGTGCTGCTGAGTTCTTGCTCGAGCGTGTCAATCTTTGACTGTGCCTTTCGTCTGTATTCCGACTCGGAAATGTCGCGCTCGTTCAGCATCGACTGCTGGCTGGCCAGGAGGTTGTTGAGTCGTGTTTTCTCCTGCATGAGGTTCTCGTTGTCTTGGTTAAGGCGGTCTTGGATGTCCTTCCACAGTTTCTTTTCGGCCTTGAGGTTTGCGGCCTCGTTGCGAACACTCTCGAGCAAGCCCTTGGCGTCGATGAGCTCTTCGGCGACCTGCTGGGTTCGGATTTCGTGCTTGATGGAGTCCTCGGACAGCGACTGGTTGCGCTTCTGAAGCTCCTTGTTCTCGCTCTGGAGTGCGACGAAGTTGGAGTGAAGCATTTCGTAGCGTTCGGAAGCGAGAGTGATCTGACTGGAAATCTTGGCAACCTCGCCCTGAAGGGAGTTCTTCTCGCTCGAGAGCCTGTCAATCTGCTCGCGCAACGATCGGCGGACGGACTCCTCGTCGTTACGGTACGTGTCGAACTCGACCTGCAGTGCGCGGAGGGCGTCGTGGGGGGACACATCGCCACCCTCCCCGTTCTCGATGCTAGCGAGCGGCAGGCGCTGCCCGTCGTCGGAGCCGAGGATGGATGCGAGTTCGCCAGCGGTGGCCTTTTGCTGGAGGAGGCGTCTGAACATGTCACGCTCGGCCTTGAAACTCTCCATTGTCGTTCTCAAGGACTTGGTCTCGTCGATCATGTTGGCGAGTTCCTGCTGTAGGCGCTCGACGGCCTGGTGGTCCTCTACGGCCTGGCTCTTGGCAGCGACCGCCTCTTCGCTTTCCATCTGCTCCGCCAGTTCCCGGGTGACTCTCAGAAGCTCTTGGTTCTTGGCCTGAAGCTCTTGGATGTCCTTGAAGACAACAAACTTCTGGGTGATGAACTGGTGGGTGTCGGACATGTCGGCGAGAGCGCCCTCGGTGACCTCGCCCCGAGACAGCTGTTCCAGGCGAATCGTTTCCTCGCGACTGAGCTGCTCCAGGCCCTTTTCGCGTGCGTGCATGTTGAAGACCAGCATCTGGATCTGTGTGCTGAGATCGCGAATCTGGGTACGGAGGATCTTGGACTCGGCCTGGGCGTTGGCCAGGGCACCCTCGGCCTTCCTTGCGCTCTTCTTTGCAACATCGCGCTCCTCAAAGCTCGTCTGGGAGAGCTCGGACATCCTGGTGATCTCGGCGCGCAGCGTGTCGGCTTCGTTTTGGAGTTCCTCGATCTCGGGTGTCTTAGCCTCCAAGAGGGCAATCATGTTGTCGAGCTCTTCGGCGAGCTGCTGGTTGCGTCTCTTCTCTCCGGCGAGCTGCCCCTTGACCTTGTAGAGCTCGTCGATGGCCTGGGTTGCGGTGATGGCAGACTTGCTTCGTGCCGAGGCGGGTGTGGCGAAAGGAGAGGCAGGTCTGCCGAGGAACGAGCCGTTCATGCGCGGCGTCTGCGGGGTGGGTGTCGAGCCACGAGGGGGGGCCTGCTCCATGCGAGCATGGAGCTCGTCAAGCTCGGCCTCGAGTTGAGCGACTCTCTCCTCGAGGGCACGGCAGTTCTCCCTCTCCCTTTCGAGCTCTTGTTGGAGACGTCTGACTTCGTTTGCATGCTTTTCCTTGAGTGCTTCCTTCTCCCCCTCCAGGGTCTGAACGCGGGCCTTGTGGCTGTCGGCCAGTTGGTTGGTCATGTCGACGACGCGCTGCTTGCTCTCAATCTCGTGCTTGTAGCTCTCCTCGCTACGCGCAAAGGCTTCCTGCTGCTGCTGAACCTTTGTTAGAGCCTCTTCGGCCTTGGCCTGGGCGGCACTGAGACGGTCTCGGAGCTGTTGTTCGGTTCGCTTCATGGAGTCAATGGTGGACTTGGCGTCTTCGTTTTGTCGTTGCAGTTCGGCGATGCGGGCTCCCTTTTCGCGGCGGTATTTGAGGGCTTCCTCGCTCTTGGTCTTGAGCTCGGTCTCGAACCACTCGCTGTTGCGCCGGGCCAGGTCGAGTTGCTGCTGAAGAGATTCCTCGCGGTATTTGGAGCTGCTGACGGCGGCCTGGGCCGACTGGACGGCCTGTTGCAGAGAGGTGATCTCCTTCTGGAGCTGAACGTTCTTCTGGTGTTGCTTGGCCAGCTCCTCGGAAAGCTCCGAGTCGCGGGCGTTGCGCGACTCGAGCAGGGCCATGTTTGCGCGGTTGGAGGATTGCAAGGACTCGACTCGGTCGCGGAGGGTAGTGAGCTCAGAGTCGTGGTCTGATCCACGGGCCTTGAGCGACTGAAGCTCATTCTCGACCGTTTGCCGCTTCGTCTCTGTAAAACAAGAGTTAACAGGGTGTCCAGCAAGCAGACCTGCATACGTAGTCAATGGCGCATGGCCAACGCACCTTCTTCCTTTAGCTTTTGACGGACTTCCTCGACGTCCTTCAGTGCCTTGTCGGCAGTGGCCTTGAAGGACTGGCATCTAGACTCTGCGCTGTGGTGGGCGCTCTCGAGTTCGATGTCGACCTGGAGCTTCTGGGCGTATAGCTCGTCATGCTCGCGGGCTTTCGCAATGACGGCTTCGAGAAGGCTTGCGACCAGCTCGGGGGTTGGATCGGTGGTGGCTGTCGAAACCGTGGATTCGGGCACGCCAAGGTGGCCGGCCACATAGGCTACATCCACCGCCGCTGCCATTGTGATTGTGTTTCAAGGTCTGGTTGTCGACATCGAAAAGGGAGTGTCTCGAGATCTTTGGTAGCCGATGGGGAGTTGTTTGTTGGTTTGCGCGTCGAACACACACACACACACACACTCCTCGCCAGTCGAAAGAGGCTGAAGCAGACAAAAGCAAACACAAAACCAAGTCAATGTCAAAGATGAAGACGGTAATGGTTAAATCCCTCGTCTACAGGTGAGAAATCAACCTCAGACCGCCTGGTAGGCTGAGGCGGGAGACGCGGTTGAAAGGCGCGGGGACGAGGAATTTGGGGTTCGGTGTGAGTTTGGCGGTTTAGCGTCAACAGGAAACAAATCGCAGGATTTTGGGAGGAAAGCGCGACCTGGAGGATGTTTTCCAGGCCAGCACAGCGCCACAGTGCACAGTGCATAGTGGAGCCACGAAGGCCGGGGAAGGAAGCCATGGGCGACAGAGCCGTTTTCGGCCAATCGGAAGGGGGGAAGGGCCTTCGAGCTACAGGTACGTAGTTTCGTCCGTCACCGACAATCAGCCGGCTGACTCATCGGCAGCTTCTGCTATCAAGTGGGGCTCAAAGTGCACGGATACAGAGTACGGGTACAGATACTCTGTATAGGCAGGTACAACTGTGCTCGCTTACCGAGACACACCGATGCACACCGAATACGTACCTGCGCGCACCGCCACACCTCAATACTAGTACACATTCATGTCTCGGCCATACACCGCCACATCTCTATCCTAGCTCAGGTAGTCCGTCGTGTGAAGTTGCAAGACGCACCGCTTTCAACACAAACGAACGATCCACCATCTTTATTCCACTGAAGCAATCAATGTGCGGTCGATGATGCTCAACTTCTAATCCAGTCCCCAAGCCTCTTGGTATCCCTACCGAAACTGCCATTACTCTTGTATCAACGTCTTGCAAACCCCATTCATCGACGCACCAAGCCAAGGTCGCCGCCGCAGCCTACGCAGCCCTGCTTCGTCTCATCTACGTTGCTGGCCTGCGTCCATTTCCGAATATCCCGGCGTCGGCCCTGCGTGCCATCCCATCTCCTGCAGCTCTGCCCATTTCTGTTGCTGTTGCTGTCCCGGTACCCGGTACACTGGCTGCGGCCCGCCCGGCATCTGGTGAATTGGCTGGCCGTGCGCCTCAGCCACCGCTGAACCTCCCTGTGGCTGCGAGTATCCCCCTTGGGTATAATGCGCCTGTCCATGTTGCACTTGCAGCTCAGCCGGCATATACTGACCGGAAGGCTGGACGTGGTTGTTGCTGCTGGCCGGCATCTCGTGTGGTAATCGCCCCTGGCCGTGGAGTTCCGCGCCCAGCGGCGGCGGCGCGAACATGCTGTTGGAAGTGGCGACAGGAGATACCGTGTCCGGCCGGGGAGACCCCGTGTAGGAGACGCTCATTTGGGGGCTCTTTGGCGGCAGTGTCGACAACATCGTGCCGCCCAGCTCGGGGGGACCGTTCATCTCGGGCGGGCCGATGGTCGAGGTTATGGGGAACCTCGGATGCGTCTTCTTCCTGCGATGGTAGATCATGAACCCAACGAGACCGGTGATGGATAAGCCGCCAATCACCGCAACGACCACGCCTACGACAGCAGCAAGGCCGGGCCCCCCAGAGCTTGTGTCGTTATTATCAGCACTACCGCCGGCAGCACTTGAACTTGTACTGGTAGGTTGAGACTGGGTAGCGTCAGATGCAGTACCGGCCTTTGCCGTTGCGTAAGTTTGAGCAACTAAAGTCGAACCTGCGTCAGCAAAACCTCGTTAGAGCCATGGCGATAATCCTGCTCCCTTACTAGACTCGTGGACAGTCGCGACCACCTCGTTCCTGGCAGCCTTGCAGTAAAGGTCCAAGACTGCCAGAGCAGAAGAAACATCCTCCGACGCCGTGGAAGAGCAGTAGTACTTGACGTTGGACGTCATGGTGCTCGTCACCAGGTTCGTGACGCCATCCTTCAGGCAGATGCACGACGCCAGCGCCTTGGGCCCATCCGGGCACTGGTAGCTCGTGAGGGAGTACATGGCGTTCGATATGCCAGACTGCGCGCAAGGGGCCAGCGCGCTGTACCGGGTCAGGGCCGTCATGTAGTATGTCATGTCCCCGGGAGGCGGCGACGGCTGAGGGAACGCAGTGGTGCCCTTGTTCATGGCGCAGTACGCGTCATAAAACGCGAGACCGGACGTCACGTCCGCCGCATTGGAGCACGAGTATCGGACGAGAGACGCCACGGACCGGCTCACGCGCGCCGAGTTATCGTTCCGGGTGCAGATGCACGGCGCCATGAGGCTCGCCGGCTCGGGGCAGAGCGAGGTCATGGAGCTGAGCGCGTACGAGACGCCCGATTGGGCGCACGGCGCCATGTTGCTGAACTCGGCAATGTCGGTAGCGTACTTGGTGACGATGTTGGTCGTCGGCGTCGCGAAGGCGACGGTCGCGTCTGGGTTGCAGTACTGGCTGAGGACGGCCGCGGCGCTGGTCTGGTCCTCGGAGGCCGTGGATCCGCAGCTGTAGCTGATGGACTTGGAGAGAGACGTCGACACGGCCGCAAGGTTGTTGTTCTTTGTGCAGATACATGACTGCAGATCGGTCGGCGCCTCACCGCAAGCCGAGTAGGTTTGGGTGAAGATGTTGTAAGAGAGGGCCGTCTGCGCGCATGGCGCCTGGGGATCATGGGTCAGTATTTCCGAGTAACTGAGCCCATCACCAGTTGGCCCACGAGTGAAAGAAAAAGGCATTAAAGAACCCACCAGCAGAGTGTATATAGATAGATCGGTCACGTATACGATACTCGCAGCAGCCGCAAGACGGCTCAAGACAATTGTCGTCCAAAGAAGGATCGATATCCGCGCCATCCTCACGATCGGACGGAGCCGCGAATCGAGGGACGAGAAGGAATGGTATGACGACAACCGACGGAGAGCGCAAAAGACAGGACGAACCTACCGACCAGGATGTCGAAAGACAAGAGATGGGGGCGTAGAGAGAGACAAATCTCAGAAGATTGACTCGACATGGGACGGGGAAAGCAGCGTTTTTCCAGGTGCCCAACGCCACAACATACTCCTTTGACCCTCCACGAGCAAGCTAGTCCCGCATCGTGAGCAGGAAGAAGTGACGGTTTGGAGGTTAATCACCACCCTCTGCGGCATTGAACCACCCCCTGCCGCGATGGCGCCAAAGTAGCGCAGACCCCTGACAGCTGAACCTCTGGGCTGAAAGTCCGTCTCTTGGGTGAAGTGAACCTACGTGTCGGTCCTCCGACATTGGCTTTCATGGACGGGGCAACTAGGTGGTTTATCAAGAACCAAGACTTTCTCGGCGAGAACAGGCTGCTCGTGGAGAGGGGGGCAGAAGAGGGGGGGTTTCTCGGGACAGAACGGGCATCAGAAGCGCATCGTTGACCGTTGGGAATAGGGGCAGCGGCTGTGTCTCGCGCGTGGGCCTCAGTAGTAGCCGCCAAGGCGTCTGGCAATCAAGGAACACCAGTTCGGCTCAGCCTAGGTGAGCCGACCTAGCGTCGAGCCAGCTTGACTGGCGCAGACATGGCTGGCGTGCTCTTTCTTCTGGCGGCCTCAGCGCCATATGTGTCCAAGTATGGAAGCCTCGATGTGGGTAGATGAAGATTCCAAAGCACGGTTACTGGAGCTGTATTTGTTTAATTCGTTTCTTTTTCTGCTATCATCGCGGCGTTTGTCTCTGTCACGTCTTCACGCTGTGCTTCAGCCACCAACCCTCCGACCTTTGCTTGAATGACTCAGACATCGGCAGACGCCACGGGCCGGGGGATGAAGCATGGCATGCGTTCAGACGCGCTATCCGTCCGGATTAGCGTGCTAGGGAAACTACTACTTGCCCGGCCGCTTATTGGGCCAGGAGAATGCCTTGCAATGGCACAAGGCCTTTGGCGATCTGGTGTGAAGCTGCAATAGCCGACAGAGAGCGGAGTAAAACAAAGCATCACGCCCTTTGCAATAACATGATGGAAACCTGCCCCCGGCCTAGTACCGAGGTCCGGTACGAACGGATGGGTACCCGGGGCGGGTATGGATACCCGGAACGGATCATGACCACGGCGGCTGGATGGCAACCATCACGTTATAAACAAACCATCCCAGCATCCACCACGTTTGGTCGCTCCAGACTCTCAGCTTCGTTTTGTCACTTTGTCACTTTGCCACTCAACTTGCACAAACATCCGGCCCGATCCCAGTACACGTCGCGGGTGCAGATGGCCAGAAACTCTGAATCAATTAGTCAAGCGTTCTGCCCTGGCGAGCTCATCCAGGTGCCTCGCCTCGGTTCGACGCCGATAAGCGTATAATGGTGCGTTCCAAACTCCATTGCCTCCTCCGTCATGGTATCATTCTCTGGTATCAATCTTCCATCAAGGGACCGCCACACTGCATAAAACCCACCTCCAAAACCCACGCCACCTCGAATCTTTGCTGTTCCGAACGCGTCTCGCCGAGGGAAGCCCCCCCCCTCCGCCGTAAGTCACCCAGTCACCCGGCTGACCCCATTGCCTCCGTACCCGGTGGCGAGGCCCTCTCCCAACTTTGTAAGGGTCTTGTTCATCTTGACGGAGAGCCGTCTCGAGATGCTGTCCCGCTTCCTTTCCCTGGACCCGAGCTCGTCTTCTTCGTGGTCATGTTCGTACTCGTCGTCCGACACGGTGCTGTCGTCGTCGCCATAGTCGTCATCGTCGTCGTCCTTGGGCCGTGGGACCGCTCTGCTCCCGCACGTGGTGCAAATGACTTGGTGCGGTCGGACTAGCTGCACATCGCTCTTGCGTCGCCGGCGCGCCGTAGTAGACACATGCGTTGAAGCCGTCCCCGGTCTGGACCGGACGGTGATGGCATCGCCGTCCGTGGCTCGTCTCCTCATCGACCTCGCCCGTCGGGAAGCGACCTCCTCTGCGGTGATTTTGCTCATCGCAGCCGGCGAAGTCATGGCCTTGGTCAGACCGGCACTTGCGGGCGCTGCCTTGATTACCTGGAAATCGTCGCCCGGCGCGTCTCCGCGTGCCGCAATCTCGCGGGCCAGCTCCGACCAGAGGGCGTACCCGATTTCGTCGTGAATCACCGGCGCACTGATGAGCTTCCGGCACTTTCTTGAGCCCTCAGCCTTATTCAGGCGGCCGAGTTCCTTGATCTCGTCCAGGGTCAGATCGCACTGGATCTTGATGTATCCTGCGAGCAGCTGGACCGGCCATCTTGCCTCGATGAAGTCCCTCAGGAACCAAAACGCTTCCGCAGCGTCACTCCGTCGCTTCTCGCTCTCAGGACTTGTTTCCTCTTCCAGCTCCCCTTCCTCGGCCTCGTCCTTCTGGTGAATGGCGCCGTCCGCTTCGTAGGGGACTCGAAAGTAGTAGCTCAAATCGGATCCCTCGTCGTCGTCATTGTTGTAGGAATCGGCCGTTTGCTGTTTTCTTGACATGTTAATCGCCTCGTCGACGGGAACAGCGGACCCTTTGCTGGATCTTCGGGGGACGATGGACTGGTAAAGCTGCTGTTCCAGGGCCGCGAGGAAGGGGGCGGCTTTGCCGAGAGTGCTAGCAGACAAGACGCCCATATTGTTCAATTCACTCGTCATCCTGCTTGATGACGAGCTCTTGGAGTTTGTGGGCATGGTCGGCGGGCCGTTGTTTTGTATAGCAGTGGAGGGGTCTTTCTCCGAAACCGTTGGTCGAGGCCGAAGGGTCCCTGGGAACCGTGATTGGGAATCAAGCTTCAGCGGCTCTACCGGCTCGAAACTGGATCATGCCCGGTTTATATTAAAAGCTTCGCCTCTGTAAAGCCAAATAGCACATTCTTTTTGATACTTTGCGGCTTGATTAAGGGCCAAGGTTCATGCCGAATTTGGAAAGCCTCGCAAGCCACTCGAGTCTGGGCCGATGGGGACTAAAGTCTATGCGTGCCACGTCTCACCACAACACATTGTTTTCGACCCGAAAGTCAACAAGAGAATACTTAGAAGGGGTTGCATAATTATCAGCAGTGTAGACTATGCCAACCTTGCCCCGAGAGGCACTTCGTTCAACGTTCGACGTTCGAGCAAGTGTTCAAAGTAGAGAGAGTACTGCGGAGATATATTAGTACGTGATACAACAGCCAATATAGTTCAATAGATGCCCTCCTCAATGAGGAAATAACTCAACAGTCAGAGGGTACGTACCGCATCCATGGTCAGAACTCTCCTTGGTGAATTACTTTCTGACGAGTTTCAACTTCACTTCATCACCGGGCGTGATTAAGGAATCAAGATGCAAAGCTCTTGGTTTACGATGGGCCGCCGGAACTTGCAATGTAGCGTCATGATCTCAGAATAACTGATTCAACGGTCATAGGAAAGACCCCACGAACATTTTTGCCGGCTTTGAGGGCGGCCTTTCCGTAGACCAGTGCCCCTCCGGCGCTCTCACATGCAGACCAATAGCCATGAACAGACAGCTTACCGAAATTGCATGTTTGCGAAGAGATGTCATCACTGCCGGGAGATGGAATGGCTCGAAAAGATTTGGCACCTCAGGAACAATGATCTGCTGGATTGCAGTCTTGCGTTGCGAATATGTCCTCAACGCTGTCTTGAGACCATGGCGAGGCAAAGATGTCCATTTAGACACCATGTACTTGCTTATTACGTAACCAATATCATTTTCAGACAGGGTTTTAAGCTAGGTACTTTGGTTGTTGGGCATGGAGGGATGCTTCTACGATTTAGACTGTTTTTGGGAGCATAAAAAAGTGAGGTATCCTTCTGGCCTCAATGTTCACGGGCGTCATATCGGTGAGGGATGGATTGGTTGGCAAAAGCCAAGTGTGGCAAAGTCATATCACTATGCTACATGGGCCACCATGGCCAATACTATCTTGCACTTTATCCAATAATTCTTTCCACCTTCATCGGGGAATGCTTCTCAACTGAAGAGCATATACATTAGATGTTGGGCAAGGCAAAACAGAGTCAAGGATGGTAGCATGCCTCCTCGTTCACCGGATCCAGAATGGTTGGGAGATAATTTGTACGCCATTCTTCCTGGGCAGCATGGGAAGCCATCCCGCCTGGCCCCAATCAACGATGGCTGCCACTTTCAGATTTTCCCCCAACAACAAGATGATGTTGGGCGCAACAAATCATTATGTGTAAACAAGATTGGCGCTTCGCCGTCAATGTCAATGCCGCAAGCATCTTGGAACTGACGGACAGCGTTTGAGCCAACGAACGGTCCTCTGAGCTTTAGAGGTAGGAATTTGTCGTCCAGCGGCTGCTTGCCTAGGCCACCTAAAGCATAGGACCTCATGTCAGAGCTGCCTCATATTAGAAACACTTGTAAAGTAAAAAGTCCACTTACTAACAAACTGACTGTGACTGTCTTGCTCTAAAGCTTGCAACGCCTGTAGTATTTCTTTGAGTTCTGTACAAATAGCACGCCTCTTGTCTTTGTTTAGATTACACTATCTTTATTGCAAAGCTAAGCCTTCTAGTAAGGCTATGTAGATGAACCCCTGCCCGTTATCCTCAGCCTAGCCAAAGATCTCAGGCGTAGGGACTTTACCTTGCAGTCGCTTGCGCACCATCATCTGAGTCTAGGCCTCAAGAATGTTGACGTTACCACCGTACTTGACAAGCAATCCTAGCGATGCGAATACAACTGGTGGTGGGCGATCATTGTACCACGAATGTCATCTGACTCCTCGTTGCGGGCTCTGACCTCAGCCGGGGTAGGAAGCGTAGGCGCGCACCGCTGTTTGAAGAAGCTGGACCTGGGAAAGATTTTCAACTGACCAGGGACGTAGACTCCATAGAAGTTCATGATTGTATCCACAGCCGATATCGCATGTAAAACCTGATGGGAGGATCCCAGACAATCACACATACAAAGGTAACGAAAGAATTGTGAATCGGCTTTGCATCCGAGATCAAGCGAAGCCGTGACCTTGAAGAAACCGGAAACGTTCCTACAGAAGTGATTCCTCTAAATTAGGCAGTTAAATGCACATCGTTTTGATCAGAAGACGATGCTCAACCATGGAGCGTACACAACCAATACCATGCCTGTCTGTGGTTTGGAGCTAAATCTCCTGGGAAGACTCCGAGTTCGGCTGATGACACAGTAATGGCTTTACTTGATTTCTCAACATAAACACGGCGCTTGGAAATAGGGGGAGTCTTGTGACTGCTTTGTCACAGACAACTTAAGGTTGTTACGCTGCAACTAATATATCTCTCTACGTCTTTTTACCTCTGCCACCATCAGTAAGAGGCTTCCTAGACCGAAAAGGCAAAAGACCATCTAGTAGAACTGCCAGCCTTGGGATGTAGAGGCAGCCAATTTCGTTGTTCAAGACTGTATTGGAGTGGGGACGGGGATTGCATTTGATACATTGAAAAAGGGATTGAGGGCGAGTCTGATCAGCGTTTCCGAAATATAAGAACACCGATCAGCGCACTAGGCAGAGAAGAAGACACGCTTCCTCCCCCATTTCTTTCTTCCTTCTTGAAATCATGACCTAGAGCCTTGTCTCTTATTTGATCTGGCTGACACGTGATAACTCAGGCGATAGGGAGCCTCCTGCTAAGCCTGATCAAGCTAACTGAAGTCTGATTAGCTTTGAAAGCCTGATCAGACTCTAGTTTCTCAAGATGATCTAACTTGGTACCTAAATTGCTTTGAGTTGTAGGGTGTTGTTGTGTTTATTTGCACCTCACTATCACAACCAGGGTCCCTAATCACACTGCTACACGCTTTTAGTAGATTGAATCTTGAGGTTGCTGATTACTTCTATGGTCTCAAACAATAACGGTCTCGACATGGTGTCTAGCCTCACATCAAGAAGGGTTTTGTACCCAATCAACTACTCATTCGCCTGACTCTGGCCCAGGACAGTTGTATTGAAACACCTCTAGATTCGATCCTCACCTTCGCACCTGCCTTCGGTCCAAGTGACCTCAGGTGGCGCTTTCCCCCAGTCTCAGTCACCCGCTCTTTCCATCTTTCGATTGTTGCCCCTCTCACTCACAGTCGCGTCTCACTCTTACCCTCACCTTGACTGTCCCTCTCTCTCTCTCACACACAAATACAATAGCTCCCAAAATACTTGTCAACAAACTCATCTTTTATCTCGACACCCCAATTATCGTGAGTTATTATCCCGAGTCATCATCTGGTATACGCCACATTTGATCCAAGCTTACCTATCGCTCTTATATTCATCAGAAAATATACAAGATGGAAGGAATTGACTCCTTCCGCGTCATGTTTCTCGGCTCTATCCTTGTGACAGGACTGATGGCCATCTTCGAGATCACAGGTTGGCTCTTCAGCCATTTTCCGAAGCTGTTGGCTGTCGCAAAGGCGGCTAGCAGTTTCCAGATCCCCGTATACGCTCTTATCTCTGTATTCTTCCTTTATATTCGCGTCCTTGCTCCAATCATCCGATACTTCATCCCAAGACCGACGGTCGAGGCCGAAGCTGAGCGACCTTCTCCCGCCCCTGAGCTCAGCGACGAACAACGAGCCGCAGAAGCGCGTCGATGCCAACTACCCGGCGCCGTGTGCGATTCGATACGAACCCGACTCGAGAGCAAGACAAGGGAGGTAACGAAATTAGTCAGAGAGCTAGGAGAGGCAGAACAACGCGAGCTCGACGCCAACGATGCCGCGGAGGCTCACCGAAACTCTCACAAAATCATCCGGCAAAGATTGGATCAAACCGAGGGGCAACTCGTCCGATACAATCCAGAAGCGATGACCATCCGAAAACTCGAGATTCTGCTGGCAGAGTCCGAGAAGAAGTTTGCCGACGCCGAGAAACGCGTCGAAACGGGCGAGCGCCTCCTAAAAGCCGAGGTCGAGCACTCGAAATGGGCCGTCGAGAAGAAGGAGAGGCAGATCAGCAAGATCAAGGAAGACATGGTCAGCCTCGTTCAGAGGGCAAAGGACAGGATCGGGGTTCTGAATGCGAAGGTCAACTCTCTCGAGTACGAGCTGGACGCAGCCAAACGAAAGGACATGTCGGCCAACGTCGTAGCTTTGCTTGCCGAGAGGGATGAGACAATCCAGTTCCTGACTGAGGCGGGGCTCGCTGTCGAGAAAGACCGCGACGAGAAGATGGCTTACGCCGAGACAATGTACGCTTCGCTGCAGGCGGAGAACGAACACCTTCGACAGCAGTTGACTGACTCAACGGAGCGAACTCGTAGCGACAACGATGCGGCCCGCTCTCTGAGAGACGACCTGGCCAACGCCAAAGCCCAGGTTCAGACGGCAGAGGCAGTGTTCTATGAAAAGGAGAAGACGATTGGCGACCTCGAGAACCAGCTCAAGAAGGTGACGGATGAGTCCGAGACGATCGTGACCGACGCCAATAACCTGAAAGCCAAGCTCTCAGCCGCGAACGAGAAGATGGTGTCCGGGGTAACAAAGGAGAACATCGAAGGACTCAACCGCCAGTTGGACGAGCTCAGAAACCAGGTTGCAGACGCTCACTCCATCCACGACAGCAAGATGAGCGAAGCTTCGGCCATCCACGCCGAACAACAAAAGTACATCGAGTCTCTGCGCGAGAACATGAACGCTGCCAGCATTGAAAACGCAAACATGAGACAGGATATATCCAGACTGCAAGAGCTGCTTGACCAGCACGCTGCCTCGGGCGCCAACAGCAGCAGCGCCATCGAGCAGCGGATCGCGGGTATGCAGCACCAACACCAGGCGGATATGAACGAGGCAAAGTCGATGCTCGAAACGAAGGACGGTGAAATCAAGCACCTCCAAGACAGTCTCGTCGGCACGAAGACACACATCGCCAGCCTCCAGGAAGAAGTGGACGAAATGCAGGGGTGCGTGGATGAACAGGACGAGCACATTGTAAAGTTGGAGAGGAAGCTGCACAAGGCACTCATCAACGAGAAGAAGGGCATCGAGCGCTTCGCCGAACTGGAAGAGAAGAGGAAGAAGGAAGCATCCGCGGATCTCCTCAAGTACAACCGATTCAAAGTCGAATACAACAAGGTCACGCAAGAGAGGGACAAACTACTCGCTGGCAACTAGACTGACGCGACCAAGAGACTCGGCAGCCTGCTGGGTAAGTGAACGCAGCTGACGGATAAGGGACAAATACTGACTGTTTGTTTAGCAAAGACGCTGAACTTGATGGCGACGCGTGACCTAGAAAGCGAATTGAAGGAACAAATCGAAACAATGACGAGAAAGACGGGGAACAAGCATGCCGGTGCCAACACGAGCACGAAAAGGCAGAACGACCCCAAGACGAATCGCAAGCAGACGCAGATATGACCCCCACGTCACCCTGAGACCAGAGAGTGATCACGCCCCCCTGGAAGATGCATGAGACTTTCTACCCTGTTCAGTGCGGATGACACCTTTTCTGTTGTTTTTCTTGTCATTTTTACTACAGATTCTATGATGCTCATATGGATGTAGGGTTGCGGCCGGCGAGCCGAAATCCACGACAAGAGTCCCGTCAGTCTCCTAAGAATGCGATCAGAGGCACGGACGGGTATATGGAGGCACGGCAAAAGGGGCCACACGGGGCCTATGAGGTGAAGATGATGCTAACTGAGAAAACAAGCCGTTTTGAAAAAAAAGAAAAACTGGCTTTTCCCTGTCCATTGATATTGTGCTATTTGTGCTCGCGTAACTATGCGTGCGATAAGTGGTATATATATATGTACAATCATCACCCCTCCCACATACAACAACATGACCGACGACCGCGCCCCCTCTAGAAGTCGTCCATGTCTAGGCCGTCGACCTTGCCGAGGAAGTCGCCGGCGCCGCCGCGCAGCAGCGCGTCGACGTCGAGGGTGCCGGAGGTGATGTACTTCTCGCTGACGCCGGTGTTGACGCGCCTGGAGAGCAGGTCGCGCAGCTGGGCGCGCATGGCGGCCATCTCGGCCTTTGGCATGTTCTTGTCCTCCTGCTGCTTCTTCTTGCGCTGGCTGCCGCGGCCGGTCCAGCTGCCGGCCTTGTCGAGCTCGTCGCTGTCGTACTCGACGCCGAGCTCGTCGGCGGCGGCGCGGACCCAGTCCTCGTCCTTGGTGCCCTTCTCCTTGGCGAGGGTGGCGTCGGTGAGCTTCTTGGCGAGGTCGACGCGCGGCTTGAGGCGGGAGGCGATGCGCCGGTCAATGTCGATGGTGCGCATGAGGTACTTCTTCTTGCCCGTCGCCTGCTCGTGCTGCTCGGCGTGGACCTTGGCGGCGAGGCGGCGGGTGGGGACGACCTCGTCGGGCCCGCAGAGGATGATGCTGAGGCCGGTGCGCTCGGCGCGGGCGGTACGGCCGGAGCGGTGGACGTACATGTCGGCGGCGCGGGGCACGTGGTAGTGGATGACCTGGTCGATGCCGGGGATGTCGAGGCCGCGGGCGGCGACGTCGGTGGCGATGAGGACGGCGGTTGTGTTGGGCTTGGAGGCCTTGAAGCGCTCGATGGAGCGCAGACGGGCCTTTTGCGCCATCTGCGAGTGCAGCGCCGTCGCGTTGATATTGAGGTTCTGCAGGAAGGGGGCAAGGCGGCGGACGGCGCTGATGGAGTTGGTGAAGACGAGGGTCCGGCGGTTAGGGTTGAGCAAGATGACGGTGTAGAGGTAGAGGTCCTTTGGGCGTGTTAGTGATCGGGGGATGAGTAAGAAGAGAAGGTGGAAAATAAGAAAACAAAAAAAGGGGGGGGGATTACCTTTTCCATAGCACCGCACTCGATGAGACCCTCCTTCAGACCGGCGGCCATCTGCTTGGCCGGGTTCACGTCGATGAACTTTGGCTTCTCCTCGCGGAAGTTGAGCTTCTTGAGCAGATACTCCATTGACTCCTTCTCCGACATGAGACCCCATTTGCCCTTGCCCGCCAGCTTCTGCTGCAGCCCCTGGTGGAACGTGGCCGAGAAGACGAGCGTCTGCCGGTCCGAAAGGCCCTTCTCGTTGTCGTAGTCCTCTCCTTCGTCTTCAATCACCTCGCGATCGAGGGCGTCGAGGATCTGGCCGGCCTCTTTGAAGTGTCCCTCGCTCAGCAGCCTGTCGGCCTCATCGACGACCAGGTACCTGATCTTCCTGAACCCGGCGAGCAGCTCCCGGCTGCCGCTGATGACCTCCCACAGACGTCCCGGCGTGCCGATGACGATGTCGGCCTTGGCCAACTGTCTCTGCTGCTTGAAGACGGACAGGCCGCCCGTCACCGAGCAGACGAAGGGGGCGTTGAGCAAGCCTGCGCAGAGGTTCTTGATGTGGTTGGTGATCTGGTGTGCCAGCTCTCTCGTGGGCGACAGGATCAGCGCGAAGGGCGTATTGTCGGGCTTTGAGGGCCTCTCCCCGTCGGCGTTGCCGTCGCCGTCGTGCTTGTCGACCCATTCCTCGACGATGGGGATGGAGAAGGCCAGGGTCTTGCCGGAACCGGTCGAGGCCTTTCCGATGACGTCGTGGCCGGCCAGGATGTCGGGTATGGTGGAGGACTGGATGTTTGTGGGCTTGGCGAACTTGAGCTTGGCGATAGCCGCGACCAGAGCGGGCGAGAGGCCGAGGTCGACCCAGGGGGTCATGTCGAGGTCTTCGTCGGCGTCTTGGACCTCTTCCAGGGCGGCGAAGCCGCTGCTCTCGAGCTTGGCGTCGTCGGGATTGGGCTGGGCCTTCTTCTCCTTCTTCTTCTTCTGGTTCTTGCTCTTTGGCTGTTCTGGCGGTCGCTCGGAGGCGTCTCTGGCGTCGTCTGTCTTGTCTGCAGGCTTGTCGTCCTTGGGCTGTTGTTGTTCCACCCTTGCTGCCTTTTTCTCCTTCTTCGACTTCTTTGGTTCCGCCTTGGTGCTCGTCTCGGCGGTCTCTATCACCGGTTCGGATTGGGCAGGGGCGGGTTCGGAGTCGCTGAAGCCCTCGAACTCTGCGTCGGTGTGGTCCTTTTCGTCGCCGGAGGGTATGGCAGCGACCTGGGCTCGGGTCAGTCGCTGTAGCACGAGACAAAGAGAGGGATGGGGTTAACAGGTTATGTTGGTTACGTACGAATTGCACATTGTCGCCATCCTTGACGACGTCGACGCCCTCAATGACCTCGAGGCCGTAGAAACCTTCGGCATCGTCAAACATCTCGGGCACCTCGACCTTCTTCCATGGTAGTGCGCTAGCAGGGACCTTGCGCTTCTTGGAGGGAGCATTTTTTGCATTGGCGGACTTTTGACGTTTCTGGGGGTTTTGGCCAGCCTCGGAGGGCTGGTGTTTCCTCTTGTGCTGCATCGTGTGTTCTTTGGGGGGAGGTATTTGTGGTAGTGGTAGTGGTAGTACGAATAGTAGTAAATATTGAGCCAAGGGCGGAAAAGAAAAATGTCGGAAAAATGCCCCGCGACTAGCAGCGCAGCGCAGCGCCGGCAGAATGCGCAGTACAGCTCTTCGCGCGCTGCACTCGAAAATTTCAGCGGACCCGGAAGAATAGCTGGGCCGTAGGGGTGAAGCCCCCCCTCGAAAGGGCACAGACCATAGCTTAATTCAGCCCTACAGCGGCTGTCGAGGCCACTGAGTCGCTGAAGCAAATTTTCTCTTCCGGCGGACGGAGGGACGCTGGAACCCCGCCATGTGGATTGAAGAAAATAAAGATGGAAATGAAATAAAAACAAATAAAAATAAATCTCATCATCACGATCATCAACCTTTACCCCCCCTCTTCATTCACCAACTCATTCATTTCTTCTCCCCCCCCCTTCAGTATCCACAATGGGCAAGTCTTCCAAGGACAAGCGCGACGCCTACTACCGCCTCGCCAAGGAGCAGGGTTGGCGTGCTCGCAGCGCCTTCAAGCTACTGCAACTGGACGAGGGTGAGTCACTTTACCCCGCCATTTCTGATGCCCCTTGACCGACACATTCGATGCTGACGCGAGTCCAGAGTTTGACCTCTTCGCCAACGTCACCCGGGTCGTCGACCTGTGCGCCGCCCCCGGGAGTTGGTCCCAGGTCTTGTCCCGTGTGCTTATCAAGGGGGAGAAGTTTGGCCGGTCGGCATGGCAGGATCGCGAGGCCAAGTTCCGTCAGGAGATGCTCGGCGTCTTCCCCGCCGCTCCTTCGGAAGCCGGCGCTTCGGCTGCTGACAAGTCCGACGCAGAGGCGGCGGCCGGAGAAGAGGAGATTCACCCCCGAAAGGACGTCAAGATCGTGTCCATCGACCTGCAGCCCATCAGCCCGCTCCCCGGCATTGTCACCCTCCGCGCCGACATCACACACCCCGCTACCGTGCCCCTCCTCCTCAAGGCCCTCGACCCCGACTACGACGCCAACTTGACAGCCAAGCAGCAGGCCACCGACCGTGTCGACCTGGTCATCAGCGACGGCGCCCCGGACGTCACCGGCCTCCACGACCTCGACATCTACGTCCAGTCGCAGCTCCTCTTCGCCGCCCTCAACCTCGCTCTCTGCGTCCTGAAGCCCGGCGGCAAGTTCGTCGCCAAGATCTTCCGCGGCCGCAACGTCGACCTGCTGTACGCCCAGCTCAAGATCTTCTTCGAGACCGTCGTCGTCGCCAAGCCCAGGTCGTCCCGCGCGAGCAGCGTCGAGGCCTTTATAGTCTGCATCAACTTCCAGCCCCCCGTCGGCTTCCACGCCAGCCTCGAGAACCCGCTCGGCGTCGGCCATGACCTGGACCGCATGCTCCGCGACCGCACGAGCCGCCTGCCCGCCGTCGCCGCCGCGCTGATGCAGGACCCGGCCACGGGCAAGTGGAACGCATCGCCCACGGCGTCCGCCACCGGCGGCGGCAGCGGAGGGCAGGCCGTCGTCGAAGTGGAGGCCTACGACGAGACGGACGAGACGACGGACCACGAGAGCAGCATTCGGTGGATCGCACCCTTTATTGCGTGCGGCGACCTGTCGGCCTTTGATTCTGACGCTTCCTACCAACTACCCGAGGACCACGTCTCCCTCGACCCCGTGCAGCCTCCGACGGCGCCCCCCTACAAGCGCGCCATCGAGCTGAGAAAGGCCGCCGGCGGCGCGTACGGCAAGACCTCTGTCAAAGTCTAAGCTACTTTGTACCGCCGAAAACCAACCCTAGAAAACCAGCCCAAGAGACCTCGCATTGCTCATTCATCATCGTCCGTATCGGGCGGGCCCGCGGGCATCAACGGCCCCCGCTTCTCGAGCAGGAACAGCTCCCCTGAGTTCGATCGCCCCCACTCGGACACGCCCAGCGCCTGCTCGTACAGTTGGCTGGCCTGCGGCGACGATGTCAGGAGTAGAAATCGCCTCAGGTGCGGCCACTCGTACAGGACCTCGTGCAGGCACACCATCAGCCACGGCGCCAGGCCCTTTCCCTGGTGCGAGGGCAGCACGTAGACGTCGGCGAGGTAGCCGATGGTCACGTAGTCGGTGACGACGCGGGCGAGCCCCACGAGCGCGGGACCCGTTTTGCCTGTGCGGGCTTAGGGTTTGGGAAATGGAAAAAAAAAAAAAAACGAGGAACCGGATCAAGGATGGGGGAGGACGGAGGTAGGGGGAGGCGACGTTACCTGCAATGTCGGCGGTGGCCGCGGGGAGCTTGTAGACGCCAAGGCACAGCGAGTTGTCGACTAACCGGCGCAGGGCGGCCTCGGGCACCCGCCTCGTCCACCACATCAGCTCCGAGTCGAAAGCGTCATTGATGGCTCCGAGGTCGAGGAGGGACCGGTCGGTCGAGATGAAGTAGTCATCGCGGTACCACTGCTTGGAGATCTGGTTCGGCATCGTAAGAAGAAGGGGGCGGGGGAACAATTTGACATGTAGTTGAAGGATACTGTGAAACCGCTGACACCGGCGCCTCTCGTTCATGGGGAATAAAACCCGCTCTCTCTCTCCCCCCTCGTCTCACAAAAGCTGGAGCTAACGAACCGTAAAACTCGCGGCGCCATGGACGGGGGGATCGAGCGTCTCTCCCGCCCATCGGCAACGTCATTATCTTACCCGTATCAGGCCATGGTCGGAGAGTTCCAGTGTGTTGTATGCTGGCGTGAACCCAATCTGAACCCAATCGCGCATTGGGCGCCATTGGCCGTGCTGCTAACACCATAGTTTGCGCCGTTCGCGATGCCCAACATTCAACCATAATCGAGAACAACCGTTGCCCTTCTTATTCATCACCCCGCGACCGTCCTCTGCGTGAAATAATTGATGGCAGGGTTCGACACTTTTCTTCAAGTCCGCTGACGTCAAAAGCCGTGATGGTATGAGAGGGGCATTTGAGCTCTGACGTGAAGCTCATTGCCAATTTCCTTCCCCGAACGATATTATCATAAACAACACCGATGGTGTCCATGGCTGTTGTTCTACAGATGCGAAGGAGTTAACCAACATACGGTCCACCATTTTCTGGTTGTTGACCGCGACCGTATTACTTCTTATGTCACTAGACTCTGGGACCCCGTTTGTCGACGCGGGTTACGACTTCCAGATCTGCGAGAGAATCGAGGTCCATGTCATTGACATGGACGGTTCGCTTCAAACTCGACGTATCGCGCTTCGAAGCCACGACGACGGCACAATAACCCACGATGGAAACTACGTGACGTTGGAAGAGATCAAGAGGAGTGCCATGAAGATGAAGAAAGGGGTTTCTGAGAAACCAACCCAAACGTTCGAGTTTTTTTCGTTTGTATGAGCGAGACACAGTCCGATTAAGGCGGTGGCGGTGATCGTATTCAAAGAATACAACCCTGCAAAGTTCTCACAAAATGACATGTCAAACGAATAGGCAGGTTGTTTCTCGTGATTTGACCATTCCGAAACAACCGTCTTTGATATTCCTGTTCCAAAAACACCCCGCCACCGTGACCTTGATACTCCACCCATTGTCCGTCAGCGTGAGACATTCCGACATTGTCTCTTGCCTACCTTCCGATTCGAGCGCACCTTCCGTCTTGAACGGTAATCACTGGCAGCTTCCAAAGCACCTGCCTTACTATTACTACCGTTCGTTCTTTCTACAAAAAAGCCTCTGTTGTTCCACCCATCATCTCTCACTCGTCCTTCACCTTCACTACATCCAATTTCCGCCCGTTCTTCTTCGCTCCATCCGGGTCTGTCCAATCCTCTATTACAATCCTCTCACCTCATAGCGCCTCTTCTCACTTTTCTTCTGCTCATCCAATCTCTGTTCAGTCTGCTGACAACAACCGAAAGAAGCGCTTCCACGGATTTGATGGTATATCAAGAAAAATCACCTTCTTTACCCAAGCACACCTTCTCATTTCGAGACACATCACTCTGAAAGTCGTCCACGGGTGACGGATCAACGGCGGTAAGCGACATGTTGCTATCTTCTTATCTTGAATTGATGCCAACTACTCTCACAGAAATACAACATGACTCGCTACGACCAAGACGCTCACGCCGTCTTCGTTGAGCAAGTTAGCGGTGAGCTTCGCGATCGCCCCCTGCGAGCGACCATCGATAGCAAGATTAGACACCTTTTCAAGTGCTTTGACGACGAGAATTGGGATGGTATGAGAGCGCACTTGAGCCCCAGTGTGATACTCATCGACCAACTCGACGGCCCGGAAGATATCTACACACATACCGAAGATATCATGTCCTGGTTCGAGGAGTTCTGGCACCCTAACCAGCACACGGCCCATCAGCTTCTTCTCGTCGATCGAGGTCGGGTTACTTGCTACGTCACTCACTTCTGGATGAATGATGAGTGCTTTGTCTTCATTGCGGAGCAGGAGGTCTACATCATCGATCTAGATGATAGACATCAAGTTCGACGCTTTGAGCGACGACGCCAAGAGCGTCACAACTTGGATTTCCATTGAGACTTGGCGGAAATGAAGCAGGCATGCGAGAAGGCTAAGTTGAAGGCTATTCAGTTGAAAGAGACTTTCTGAGAAGCCCATCTGAGCTATAGCAACTGAACCGATGAAAGGTCTGAGGGTCTTGGCGACGAAACACATGGAAATAGCATGGTCTTGGAATCGCAACGCTGTCTGATATCAATAGAACCCTTTTTACGTCGTTTTCCTTGCTTCCAAGAGCCGTATTCGATTCCCCCGTAGCTTTCCCTTCCATCTCCTACCCCCCTCCTATGCCCCGGAATAGCTTACCACGGCGTCATGGGCATCTTCAAAGGACACAAGTGAAGCCACAGGTCCTCGGTGCTTCCTCCGCCCCCAGTACCCCGACCAGCCGCCGAGGCCCGAATGGGTCATTCCAACGCCGACACCATCAACAGCATCTTCGACAGCACAAAGGCTAGATACCCGGCGACACCCTGATCGACGGTTTCATGGAAGGGGAGTAGTATTAAGCCATGATGACTCCAGTCAAAGATGCGCAGACCAGCATTTTTAACCGGAAATAAGGTGGCGCCTTCCCTGGGGGATCTCGGCGCTGGCGTAATGGCCCAGTCGATGGACACTCGCTCTATTTTCCAGGCCAGTGGATTTTCTCTCGCTTTTCAGGAACATGGATTCCATTAATGAACTACGTGGCATGGGCTGGAAAGGAAGCCCGCTTTTGGACACAATGACATTTTCGATGCAGCACGTCAAAAATCACGCAACGTGGCCACTGATAATCCTTTGATGCTGGTTATATAGGTATGTATGAATCATCAAGAATCCTCGCTTGATGGCTATGCGGTGCTAGTAGGAGCTCTGTAGGTCAAATAGTGCAGCGAAAGAAACCAGATCCCAAGTTCTCGAATGCGCTTTCTCATCCCCTTCTTCGAGACATGATCCTTTTGAAGTCCTCGGTATCATATGGTAACAGACGGAGTGATCGGAATCATCCTGTCTAGTAGTTTACCAGCCCAGGAGGGCGAGGAGTTGCTTGGCACGGTCGATGGCCCAAGACCGCCAGGTGTCCTCCAACGAGTACCATCCCAATTTGACGTCGACCGGGTAGCGTTCCGGCTTGTAAATCTTGAAGTTGCGCTCGTCGAGGGCCGTGTGACCAGTTTGTGCTGCGGGAAAGCCGTTCTGTCGGGCGATCCCCGATGCCATGTTTGCCCAGAGCCGGTGGATGATGGATAGGTGACTACCATCGGGCGAGTGGAACCAGGAACTGCCAAGGATGTCGGCCAAGGAGGTTGAGTCATGGACGACATCCGAGTGGGACACCGGACGCGATAGGAGTGGCCGACTGTGAAGGCTGTTCATCTCGCCGGCCATGTCGCCGAACAGCCAGAGCTTTTCGCGGGGCAGAAACATGCTGGCGCTGAGAGAGTGGACATTGAGGTCGCCAGGGTTTCCGTCGTAAAACTCGCCGGCGTTGTCGAGGTAATCGAAGTAGGAGGTATGCTGAAGACTGCGGAAGTGATCAAGGCTGCCAACCTCGATGCGAGTGTCGGCAGCACACTCCTCGTAGTTGGAAGCAAGCCGGGGAACATTGGCGTCAATCGTCGAATGGGAATTGTACTGCTCATCATCAGCCTCATGGGAAACACCGGGACAAACGCTTCCCTCATTCTCTGATCCGCCGCGTCTGCAGGCTTGGGTTCGAAAGTCCAAGTCCTGGTCAATATGCACCTCCTCCTTCTGGCCAACATGGTACTCGGAAGAAAAGCTGGGCTCGCTTAGGTTGCCGCCGTCGGTCAGGATCCACGTGATATCGGCCGCCGGTCGAACCAGTTCGGGGTGCTTAGCCATGAAGTACTTGGTACTCTGCCACAACTGCTTCGAATTCTCTTCGTCTTGGGAGGGCATCTCGTTGAAACCGTAGGTAATGCCATGGTCTCGCATCAGACGGAAGATGTCCAAGTTGATATCGCACATAAACTGGGTCTGTAAGACCAATCATGTCAGCCACATGAGAAAAGAGAAGCGGAGCCCGAAGCCAACTTACACCAGGCTCGACCATCCAGAACCAGTCGTAAGCCTGGAGACGTTTCTCCCGTGCAAATGGACCAGCAGACCAGCGTCGGCTGTGGTGGGAAACTTGTGTTTGAGCTGTACCAGTGTCCACTCTCTAGGTGTGCACCAGACCAGCATTGGAGCGACCCATTTCAGCCTGGCGAGAGACAGAGCAGTGTTGCTGAGTGATCAAGTTGTAGGTGACAGTTCCAGTGGTGGCGTTAGAAGTGGCATCCTTGAAGTCTTCGCTGAGCTCTTCAAAGCTGAAGAACACCCAGTCGTAACGGTACTTGCTGTTGAATCGCTGTTCGAGCTGGGTGACGGACTCCACCATCTGGTCGAGCTGGTTCTCGGACACAAGGGCAACAAAGGCGGCTCTTGGAGAGGGGCTGCGAACGTAGAGAGGCACAGAACATGCTGATGGAACCTGGAGAAGGTTCAGGAGGATCGTGAATATGAGAGCGCACCAAGATGGCAAGACCAATCTGCTGCGTCTCGCCATCTTGCCTGGTGGCTATGGGGATGAAGATTGGAGGTCGAATGAGCAAAAGCGCAAACGCGAGGGAATCGGAAACAAAGACAGAGAGGAATTGTGATCCTGCCGACAGAATACAGGAGAAGAGCGTTTTGCAAGTCACTTAGACTGCAACAGTGTGTTTGCTTTGTTTTGTTGAGGTTGTTGTGCAATTTGTCCAGGGGAAGATGTGTGGATGGCAGTGACCAAGAGAAGTCAAGGCGGCCAATACCTCACTTAGCTTCTTCTTTGTGAAAAAGGCAGGAACGGTTTGTTGTGCTTCCTAGCACACGTGATTTGGTGATGCGCATCCATCACAGAGAAATATGCGCCTCAGGCGTCTGTGTGAAGCCTGAGTAATGATATTGTGGGCAGAGGACAACCTCCACAGGGCACGTGACGTCACGCTGTCTACTGAAAGGCTGCTGGAGGACTTCAAGTGATGCTTTGTGTGGTTATTTTGACTAGGAGCTGCTTGAGTCTGATGATGCGTCAACCTCTTTCACAAGCAAGGTTAGTATAGTACTATGGTTCACCTCAAGAAACCGGGGTTACCAGATGTGTATCAAAGTCATCAACAAAGAACACAAGCTGGTTGTTCTTATGTTTCATTTTATATATTGAAATGTGTAGAAGATATTTCTTTCCGTAATGTTTTATGCAATTTTCACCTCTGGTTATGTACCAAGAGAAACATCCTTCCAACCCTTTGCTACAGTCCTATGTTATCATCTCTATTAGAGCAAGGTGAGATTCCATTAGAATGCCTGCTCAATCTAAACTAGACTCCAACGACTTTTTCCTTTTGATGTAATTAGTTGTAGCAGAACTCTTATCCCCATAGTTATATATCACACTCAAAGGGGTGTAGTTATAGTACCCGTTCTGTTTGATCATTGTATGATTCTTGTTAATGGCTTACAATGCACCAGTCTTCAGTTGTCTGCTGGACCCTTCACAATTCCACCCCCCATGTTTCTCCAACATGTTGAATTCCCAACTCTTGACGTTCTATCCTACTCTCTAGCCTGAACCCAAATTTGGCGTACGAGCGGCGCGCGGAGCCAGACAAGTTGCTCGTTGACAACACAAGATGCCCATAACCCAATTCTCTTGCCGTATCGATGCAGCCTTTCATCAAGCTGGTTCCCAAGCCAGATCCTCGCGCACAGTCCTCCACCAAGAAGCATCTCACTCTTGCTGTGCTTGGTGTTTCAAGCTCTTTGATGAGCATGATGCACCCTAGAAACTCGCCGTCTGTCTCGGCAATCCAACATCGCTCCTTGATAGGGTCGTAGTTGCAAAGGAAGTCGGATGTAATCCTGCCCACAAGCGCTTCAAACAGCCCCTTGAATCCGAATTCTTTTGCATAGATTGCTCCATGTCGATAGGTGATGTTGTCAAATGTGGCGGAATTACACGTGAATTAACCGGCGAATGCACGGTTGCCCTACGGCGAATTGTTGGGGAATGGGCGGAGAATTAGCCCCACTTTAAGGGGTTAATTCACTAATTAAATAGCTAGGATTAGTCTGGGATTACCCTACCTAGAAATAGGGGAATTTCTATAGTTCTATAGGTTCTTAACTAGATCTATATATTATATAATTAATTAATTAACTATTATAATCCCTATAATTTAATAGTTAATAGTCTAATATATATATCTATAATAGCTAATATATCTTTTTATTTAATAAATATTATTATAATATCTAATAGAAATAATAATAATAAGGTAACTATCTTATAAGTATATAGTAACTAGTTTATATAGATTAATAATATTAAGGTAAAAGTAAAGTAACTTAACTACTAGGTATATATTAACCTAGAAGTTACGCCTAAGACCTACCTAAGCCTTAAGGAACTCCTTATAAAGCTATTATAGCCTAAAGTTATAGACTATTACTATATATTAACTATAAATAAACTTACTACTTACTAAGAAATTACTATAGCTATAGTAATGTTATAGGCTAGAGCTATAGTATATATAGTAGGGCTTTACTTACTATAACACACTATAACGTATGCACCTATAACTAGTCTGCACTTACTTAGCGCACCTACTTAAATACTATATATATAAAGGCATACTATAAAATAACCTTTTCTCTCCTTAGCTTAAATTAATTATATTAAGTTACTATATACTTATTAAAAGGTAGTACTAGCCCTTTATATATCTAAGCTTATAATAAATAAATTAAATAGTATAATATCTATAGCGCTTATATAATAACTTTATAATAAGAATATAAAGTTAAAAAATAATATAAAGTCTTTTTATACTATAATAAAAGAAATACGCTATAAGGTAGTAAGTATATATAATATACTTACCCCTAATAATAATATAAGACTTAGATATAAAAGCTTATATAATTATAACCTTAAATTTAACCTTAAATTTAACCTTATTTATAACCTTAAAGTAACACTACTATATATATATATATATAAGATATCTAATATAACCTTTACTTCTAGATATAGACCTATAGAGATGTACTCTCTAGTACTCTATCTCTAAGAAGTATAAAAAGTAAATATATATAAATAGTAACTAGATTTACTCTAGGGTACTAAGAATAGAAATATCTACTTAAATAAAACTAGATATTAAACAGACTATATTATGCTGTAACAAGCTGTAATAAGTAGTGTAACAGGCTGTAACTAGCTTAAAACAAGCTATAACAATATAAGGTTTTAAATCTATATAATAGTATAATAAGTATAATATAATATAAAGGTTAATATATATATTACTAGAAATATAGAAGTTAGTTAATTATATATAGAGATAAGATCCCCTTAAGGGATTCTAGCTCTCTATGCCTTCTAAGTATAATAAAACTACACCTATCTTTCTACCTATCTATTTACCTATCTATCTAGTTAACCTACTAATCTACCTATTATTTCTTATTATAGGTACTAAAGTGATAGCTAGTAGCGCTACTATAGGCCTAACTACACCTACTATACTTATTACTATACTACTATACTAAAAGCTATTACTACTACCTCTAAAGTTTTTTAGGCTATACTATAACTTTTTACTATAGTAGTAATAAATATATAATAAGGTAAAGATTAATTATAACTTCTTTACTAGTAAGTATAAAGTATAGTATCTTATTAACTCTTATTTAAAGATTAGCCCCTAGTGTATAGTTTTAACCTTTTATAAGAAAAGTAAAATACTATATAACTATAAGCTAAAAAAGTTCTTATAGTACTTAAAGTATACTTATAGTAACCCTAATAAAAAGTAATATATAGCTACTATACTTATTAACCTATATATAAAAAAGACTAAATTTTTTTTTTTACCTTAAGTTTAAATAGACCTTTACTAAAGTAAGTAAGTAGTTATAAAATAATAGTACTTCTATAGCCTTACTTATAAGTATACTTTTAGTATACTTTTATACTACTTTAGTAAGTATATCCCTCTTAAAGAACTATAATACCTATATTACTTAGATTGATAAGGTAGCCTAAAAGGTTAAGGACCTTATAAAGGCTATATAAATATACTACCTTACCTACTTATTATATAAGGATACTAATAAGGACACTATAATAGTAAGATTAGCCTATAATATTAATAAGCCTACTACTAGAAATAAGAAGGCTATAAAGTATATAAAAAAGGTATATATAAGGCAGAAGACTAGGACCTACTTTAACTACTAGAAGCTAGGACACCTTATAAGGTACTATAATAGTATACTAATATATATAGTAAAAATAACTACTATATAAATTAAAGAGCTTATAGATAGTAAAAATAATAACAAAGAAGCTAACTTAAGTAATAAGTTAGAAAAAAAGTAACTTTAGAATAAAATTAGGCTTTAAAGCTAATAAGTAAGGAATATAAAAAATAAAAAAAGTTTTTATATATAAGAAAATAATTAGATTATTAGTACTACTAAATCCCTAAGTTAATAAAGGTTTTTTTACTTAAGCCCTTACTAATACTAGCTATAATACCTATATAATAGTAAATAGTAACTTTATATAAAAATAATACTTTTTATATATCTTATAATATAAAACCCTCTTAAAGGGATTTACTAAAGAATTATAATATATATTAATAAAAGGTATTATTATATTTAACCTTAAGCTTAGTAAGTACTAATAGTATATATATATATATATAGTACCTAGATTAAGTTAAAATATCTTCTTAAAAAAGCTATAAATAAAGGCTAATAAGGTTATTTTAAATAAAGTAAAAAGTACTATTTACTATAAATATATAGACCTTACTTTATAATTAGTAAGCTAATATAAGTTAGAAAAAGTATATAAAATCTATACTATAGGCGTTATTAAAGCGCCCCTATTTATAGCGTTATACTACTATATAGTCTACCTAGATAAAGTAAAATAATATAGCACTACTCTAGCTACTTTTAAGTAAGGGGCCTTCTTTTAAATTATAGTAGTAAGCCTTAAAGATATTAAAAAGGTACTAATACTAAAAGAAAATAAAAAAGTAAAGTAGGCTATAGTAGTAGTAGCTTTTTTATAATAAGTATATAATAACTTTAGTAACTTATTTAACCTTACTATATTAATAAAAGTACTACTATACTAGCCTAAGTAAGATTACTATATTAAGCTTAAAAAAGATATAACCTTACTATAAGGACTACTTTATGGTATATTATATAAAGAGCTACTAGTATTAAAAAAACGCTAGAGAACCTCTTGGATTAGGGGTTTATTTATATAAGTAGTTTTATAGCTAGGGCCTTTATACTATTTATATAAAAGCTAGGTAGTAGATTACGCTTTTATTATAACTACTATATACTAAATATAATTACTAGAAAAGACTATTACTTTTTACTACTAATTATAAAAACACTTTAATATATATATACTACTAAGTAGTATACTAAGGTAGATATTATAATAGCTTTATATAAAATAAGGATTACTAAAAGAGATAAGTATAAGACTATATTTTAAATATAATATAAGCTCTTTAAGTAGCTAGTTTACCTCTTAAGCCTTATAAATATACCTACTAGCTAGTAGCACTTTATTAATAATATATTATATAAATGCTTAAATAACTTTATTACTATATAGCTTAGTAATATCCTTATTTATACTAATAATATAAAGTAAGACTATAAAGATAAGGTTAAAAAGGTCTTTATAAGGCTATATACTATATGGCTTAGCCTTAATATAGTAAAAAGTAAGTTTAGTGTTAAGAAAGTAAAATATATTAGCTTTATCTTAAAAGCTAGTAAGGGCGTATTAGTAGACCTTAAGAAGATATATACTATTAATAAGTAGTTAGTACCTAAATCTATAAAAAGTATATATAGTTTTTTAGGCTTTACTAATTATTACTATATATTTATAAATAACTACTTAAAGATTATAATACCTCTTATAAGGTTAATAAAGAAAGATATAGTATTTTAATAAAATAATAACTATAAGAAAGCCTTCTATAAAATAAAAGTATACTTCTAGTATACCTCTATACTTTATAACTTTAATCTAAAAGCACTAATATATATTAAGACTAACTACTTAGGTTATACTACTAGAGAAGTATTTATATAAGAGGGTATAAATAGGTATTACTAGCTAGTTACTTTCTACTTATATAAGCTTACCTTTACTTAGTATAACTATCTTATTTATAATAAGAAGCTACTAGTAGTAATTAACTACCTCTAAGCCTAAAAAGTAAAGCTATAAAGTATAAAAAGCGTATTTATAGTTATAATAGACTATAAGTCCTTAAAGTACTTTATAAAGAAGTAGAAGTTAATAAAGCGCTAAAGCTAATAAGTAGAAATCTTATTAAAATATAACTTTAAGATTACTTACTACCTAAGTAAGAAAGCTATTATACTAAATATACTATCTTAGTGTAAGTAAGATATACTAAAAGGTTAAGATAATAAGAGAGAATAAGGCTAGGTTATTTAGTTAATACTAAATAGTATAATCCTTATAGTAATAGTATGCTATATAAAGACTATATAGGCCCCCTATATATAAATATTTAAAGCTAATAACCTTTAATAATTATAAGATACTACTTAAGATAATAATAACGTTTTTTAGTATATATACTATATAGTAGTAAAAAGCTATAGGTTACTTCCTCTTAACCTAGAGGTATACGTTTAGATTATAAACTATATACTAAATAATAAGTATAAGCTAACGTAGTAAATAAGGCTATAGGTACCTAGTAATACTAAACTAGATTTACTAGCTAATAGCCTTTACACCTAGTTAATCTAGTAAAGCTATAACTCTATAGTTACTAGTTACTTAGGATATAATAGTACACTTAAAATAGTCTTCTATAGGTTCTACTAGCCTAGCTAGATATAA